CCCTATCTGCGTTCCGTTCAGTCTCTGAATAACAAGGCAATCAACGAGGCACTCAACGGACTGCTCATCGACGAGGAGGACTACCAGGGTCTGCGCAATTCGATCGATGGATTCGACAACTTTGACAACATTGCGCTGGCCCAGAAGCTCGAGAAGCACGAGCTCACCGAATTCCGCAGAATCGCCGCCTACTTGTACAAGGGTGAGTTGTAACTATAGATATATACACAGAAAAAAAGGGAAATGGTCAATTTGATATTTTTGAAAGATCAATTAATATCATTTTGATATGAAAAAAAGATTAAGTTAATCTTTTTTTATATTATTTGCTCAAAAAATACTACATTTGGTTATGATAAAATTTATGATATGATAAAATATCATTTTGATATGTTTGAATCTTAAATTTTAACTTTTTAATTTTTTTTTAACAGAAAAAAAAATGGTAATGGTCAATTTGATGTTTTTTAAAGATCAAGTTATTAATATCATTTTGATATGAATTAGGATTATGTTAATCTTTATTTTATATTATTTGCTCAAAAAATACTACATTTGTTGTTTTTTTATGATATGATAAAATATCATGTTGATATGTTTGAATCTTAAATTGATATGAAATAAGGTAGAAATAATCCTATTCCATATCGGTTTTTATTTCTGTGTAATTAATAACCGTATTTATTACTTTATCACAGGAAACAACCGCTGGAAACAGAGCGTGGAGCTGTGCAAAAAGGACAAGCTCTACAAGGATGCCATGGAGTACGCCGCCGAGTCTTGCAAGCAGGATATTGCCGAGGAGTTGTTGGGCTGGTTCCTAGAACGTGACGCTTACGATTGCTTTGCCGCATGTCTATATCAGGTGGGCACTAATATATGCTAATTGCTAACTAATTACTAACTAATTACTGATAATTTTCAATCATTTTCAGTGCTACGACTTGCTGCGCCCGGATGTCATCTTGGAGCTGGCCTGGAAACATAAAATCGTGGACTTTGCCATGCCCTATTTGATCCAGGTAATGCCATTTTAATGTCTAGAGATCGGAAGCCTTATTAACTTTGGTTATATACTTAACAGGTTCTTCGGGAATACACAACAAAGGTGGACAAATTGGAGCTGAACGAGGCCCAGCGCGAAAAGGAGGACGATTCAACCGAACATAAAAATATTATCCAGATGGAGCCGCAACTGATGATCACCGCTGGCCCCGCAATGGGCATTCCACCACAATATGCACAGAATTATCCCCCCGGTGCGGCAACGGTAACGGCGGCAGGAGGACGCAACATGGGCTATCCCTACTTGTAGAAGGGGTCTCTCATGCGCACCCAAGAAATCCATCAAAACAACTTTAAAACAAATGTATCAGCATTAAAGGAATACCAATAAAATAAGAAAAATAATCTATTAATTGCATGTGCGCCAAAAGTTACCAAAACAAAATGAAACAAATCGAAACGAAACGACAAACATTATTAAATTAAAGCTATGCAATTAACAATCCAATTTTTGGTTTGTTTGTAGACATTTAAAAAATGATTATATGTTTTGATAATTACAGCACTCTTTATTCAAATATAACAGAATATATTACTTTTTATCATAATTAACGATGTTATTGTCAGTCGGTTAAAGTACCTTTTATTATTCTTCCGGGGGTTCTCGAAAGGTTGGTTTTTGTTTTAGCAATCAAAGATGAAGATTCTTCTTCGGTCAAATTAAAAGGTTAAAAGAAAGAGCTTTTTGTTATGTTTTCTGGAGCTACTAATCTGGCAAATAAATGTTCAAAATATCTCAAAATTGTTGGTCATCTTTAAAGATCTCGAAGTTTTATTTGGGTAGTATAATCCCGGTCAGAAGTTTGCAACGCCTAAACCTAACCTAAAAGCAGCAACGCTCCGAAGTATGCTACATTTTACTAGCACGAATTAAGAAATTTGGACCCAAACTCAGCTTAGAAATGATCAACATTTACCGTAATCTTCGACTTGTGCATTTCAAGGCAAATTTCCTGATTTTTAATACCAGGCGAACAGAATCAGCAGAAAAGTAGTAGGTCGCTACTGATTTTTGTGACTTCTCTCACATAAAGGTTATTTTTTCAAGATGGCTGCCTGGAAGCCCGCTATTGACCAATCAGAGTCGAGCTTCCTGGAAGACAACCGTTAGTTTAAAGGAAAGCCCGAATTAGGGATGGGCAACCACGATGTTCTTGTGTTCGTGGCACGACAAGCACGAGTTTGTATGGAGCGTGCCGAAAAGAGGCCATCTCTAAGTGAGAGCGGATTAAACTAACCGTACACCTGCTATCGTTTCTGTTCGCCTGGTATGAAATCCAGAAATTCAACCATTTGACTGAGTTTTTTCAGTGGCGAAATGCTAACGGAAATTTAAAATTCTATTTAAATTCCTTTTTATTTTCATCGGGCGTTACAAACTTTTGATGTATTTTTATACCATCTGCCACTTCTTATGAATTGCTAACCAATTTTTTGAGCCCTAAGCTAAGAAAGTATAAAAATGTAATCCAATGCTTCTTGCTAGATTCCTGGAATTCTGAGAATTTGGACGTGCCGCGGCGGGAGATTTGATCGGATGTTTTTTGTGCGAAAAGAATACCCTAAAAGACTCTATTTTTGTAATGATACATCTGATCGGCGATCAAGTTATTCTGGTGAATTTAACTAATTCGGCTGCTAAAATTTTGAAATCAAAGACTTTCGGTTAAATTTGAATTTATTATATTTACTCTCCACCTATATTTTGCCAACCATATTCATTAGTGATCTTTAATAATAATATTTTTAAGTCTATAGCTTTAAAATATTTTTGTTGCTGGTTTTCTTAGCTCTCGAAATAAAATTCAACTGTCATTGTTGTGGAACTTTTTAGTATGCAATCATATTATTTCTTTCACATTAACTTATCTTATCTACGAACAAAAAATGCGTATTTGTTGTAGTCGTATATACTTTAGAGCATAAATATGTTATATTATTTGGTAAATATATATGTGTAATTATATTATTATTATTACGATAATTTTAATTAGGCTGTTTTACATTCAGAATACATTTTCGTTATCGTTATCTCTATCATTACTTTTACTTTTATTTTTGTTTTTTTATTTAGATCGGAAAATAAATCTTTATGTTACTTCTTCTGCATATATGTATAATTTCTTACAATTTGGACATTTTAGATGTGTTCGAGTTCGAGCTTGTCTTCGGTGGATGCAGAAAATGGCTAATTACATACCAGTTTTACTTGTTATATTATATAATATGGGCATTTTTAATACTAATGAATTTAAATCAGTAATTAATAATTTAATTAACGGTGGATCATTCGACACATGCTTAATTCAATTACTTACATATCCATTTTGCCACTACAATACGAATGGATAGACAAAAACCATCGCGTAACACACAACATCTTTCGCTCGATTCTATATCCTTTTCCCTCCTCATCGCGTCTCGCCTCTTGCCAGGATTTCGATTTCGATTTCGGTTAACAAATTGTAATATACTTTGATCTTAAGTTCTCGAAGTTACCTTATCTAGCTCCAAATCGGTTTCCACTCCAGCCAGCTATCCTATCTTTCCCTTTCTATTCCATTCCGCTCCTTTGCTCTCCCTTTCTTTCCTCTGCACTGCACTCTTGCTAAATGAAAGATCAAGCTTCAAATAAAATAGAACTAACATATTATTTCTATACATTTTGTAGCCCTATGCAAAAGCTTTTATATAAAAAAAAAAGTACCTTAACTCTATTTGCACATAATCATGCATATCTAATGGTAATTCGGAAAACTATATTGTATCTGTTTCTTTCGCGGCGTTCTTTGTTTCAAACATATTAGTCAATATATACTCTTACTATCCTATTTTTTAAAAATCAGCGCACGATCATCTCTTCTCTTTTCTTTTAATTTTTTTTTTTCATTTTCAGGATTTTGTAAAGTTTTCATAAAAAAAATTATACACAAAAAATATGTTTTAAGTAACTTTGAGATCATTTAAATGTATTTTTTTTTATGCATGTATAGTACAATTTTACAGAAAGCACTCTACGCTGAACTAAAGAGCCTTTCAAATAATTATTGTAACATAAAATATGATACACTTTTTATTTTGCACAAATAAAAATCTGATTTCGATACTGAACACCACACCAATCGATCGTTTTTGAGGCTCCTTTTTTTTCGTTTTTCGTTTGGGGGTGGAAAACAAAAAGTTCTGATGGTGTCGTTCCTTATATTTCTAGCCCTTAAAATTAGCCTCAACCTTGCTTAAAGGCTGCTGGTTTTATATGGCGCTCACGGCTCACGGCCTTTGTTACTGATGATCCCACAATCGGCAGTGGTTCGGATGTCCTCTGTCCGAAATTCTGGGTGATCTTCAAGTTCCGGCTTGGATTCACCTCCCACTGCTGATTCCTTTTCGCCAATACTGCTGAGATTTAGAGCAGCTGCGGAGCTTCTTGGTTCTGATTGCGAATATTCATGAGCGGACAGCTTGAGGAACTGCTCATAGCTAGTGCTCTCCAGCTGCTTCTGCTCCAGTTCGAGTTCCAGTTCCTGTTGCGGTTGCGGTTGCTTGTTGCCGATGCATAGGTCGTATGGTGGAAGGACTACTTGACGATCCTCATAGGCGGTATGTTGCTGTTGCTGCTGGAGTGTTGTTGGCTCTGGTACGTTATTGTTGTTGCTCGATTCGGAGTCCAACTGGTAACTGGTATTTCCTTGTGACTGTGTATATATAACCTCCTCCACTTGAAGTGCAGTCAAGGCATCGATTTCGTTATGATGTTGGTTCGGCGAGCTAAGTGATTGCTTAATAAGTGTAGCAGATAGATTCCTATTCTTAATATTGCTGTTGCTGCTGCTGTTGTTGCTGCTGCTGTTGTTGCTGCTGTTGCTGCTGCTGTTGATGTTGCTTCTGGCACTCTTGGTGTTGTCTTGACTCGCCTTACCCTCGCAATTCTTGGCATTCGCATTGATACTATTATCGTCGCTGATATATTTGTGAACTTGTGTGTTGATGACGGGATTCGCAGACAGGTCGGGCTCTGCTCCATGCAGCTTTTGCTATTCCTTAATTAACCGGTATATATGGTGGGTGGTACCGCTGTTCTGGGCCGCTACCTCAAACACATAGGCTATGCACAGCAGTGTCTCCTGCGTTTCGCGGGCTCTCATTACCTTAAAATAATAGAAATGGATTGATTACAGAAAGTGGTTATTAAGATCTTCAAAAAATCATACTCACTTGCAATATTGTAAAGTTTTCCAGCACACTGTTCATCATATAGCGTTCCGGTAGGTTCTTCAGCTTCTGAATGAAATTGATCATGTACTCGCACATCGGAGACCGCTGGATGCGGTACACATAGCGATTGTTCTCCAGCCGCGAGTACTCGCTTTCCACCTTCTCCACCACCTGTTTGCCAAAAGAGCAAACGATCGTGGAGCACACGAGCACGACATTCTCGTTGCTTTCGTATCTGTAAAAAGTTTAGAGTTGGGATTAGAGTTTGGATAACTAAATTACAAAGATCAGTGATCACTAGACATTGGATTATATGCAAAACAGCATTCTTAACATTCGAATTAAGCCTAAATATAGTTTTGAATTTTTGTAAAATATTTGGTCTTTAAAGTATTGATAATAATTTAGAGTGAGAGACTTTTAATCAATTGATTAGTGATCTACTGTTCAATGATCACTAGAAATCGGATTATGCGCAAAACAGCATTCTTAACCTTCGAATTAAACCTAAAAATAATTTTAAATTTTTGAGAACAATTTAATCTTTAAAAATTTCATATAAATATTGGAACACGTCTTTGCATATAATCCCATGTTTAGTGATCACTGATTCACGGTATTTTTTACAATCAATCTCAAGCAATCTATTCGAATAAAATCAAATTTTGAATTTTTGAGAAAAATTTGATCTTTAAAACTTTGATAAAAATTTGGAACAAGTATTTGCATATAATCCCATGTTTAGTGATCACTGATCATGACGTATTATAAGCAACAAGGTATTCTTTACAATCAATATCAAGCGATCTATTTTTTAAAAATCAAAATTGTCTTAAGCTTAAATCGAACATTGCATCTTTGAGAACCATTTTATCTTAAATCAAACTTCTATTAAATAACCGATTAAAAATCAACTTACTGGCTGGTTACGCCATAGAAATCACCCGTTTCGCTGCCGGTCGTTAGGTCGGTATTCAGGTCCGCCCAGCATTTAACTAGGTAAAACGCATTCTGTGGACCCTTTTCGTAGAGATCTTTGAGGCCCCCCGACTTTTCCGGAAACTTGTCGAATATTTGTCGTATATCAACGGTCTGTGAAATCACCGGAAAAAACAATAAGTGTTATGAAATTTAAAGGTTATTCAAAGTACTCACCTCAAGCAGTGGATCGGAAAAGGATGGCTTACCGCCGAGTTGAACGAAAAGGTGACGGTTATACTGTAAGGATGTGAAAGTGTGGAATTATTAATAAAGCATCTCGCTTGATTGATGGTGTGGTGCCAGAGCTACCCCCAAATATTCCCCCAGATATATAGATAGATAGATAGATAGACCCGTACCATATCATCTCTCTGGATTTCCATGAACGCCGTAAACTCGAGTAGGCGGAATTTGTGCGTGGCAATGGCTCGACCTTCCCAGGGCAATTGTGAGGGCGGAATTCCAGTCTCGTCCCCGGACACCGCCGTCGACGTTTTGCCGGCGGGATAGGGTGGCTGGGCGAAGGGCTTGATGCTGTAATCATAGAAACTATTGGTCAATGCAAATGCGTTGTATAGCCAGCTGATGGGGTAGACGAGATGCCAACTTACTCTTGGGACGTGCTTGGCTGTAGTCCAGGTTGCCAGAATTGCTGTTTGAAAAACGGGGGAGAGATTATAATTATAATTATGATTGTGCAATAATCCTTATTCATTTAAATGCTTTGTAGGCGTCAGTAGATAGTTGTTGATGATGTACAGATATTTTTGATATTTACTGGAGATGGTTAAACATATGGTGAGGCGACTGGTTAATCAACTGTTCACTAAACACTAAACCGATTGTCATTAATCAAACATTACCCAGCGAGATTTCCTTTTAGGCCAGTGGGTGATTGTTACATACGGATAGTAATAGTAATACACAATATATAGTACATGTCTATAGCTATGGTTCTACTAACAAAAATAGTAGTTTCTTCGTAGAGCTTAAAAACTATCGATATTTTCGATATTTTTAAGGGGATTTCGATATTTTTTCAAGCTCTATTTCTTCATATCGTTTTTTGTATTTCGTATATCGCATATCGCATATCGTATAGCAAGTCAAAAGCAAGGAGTCAATTTCAATGAGCAAGCGAGCGCATTAGGGTTGGCATGGCAGTACAACGGGCATCTCAATTGGGCCCCGATGATCCGATGATTCGAAATTGATGCTGATATTGATTCGAAAGGAGTGATGAAGGAGACAGGAGGATGTGAGAGTGGGAGAAGATGCCCAACGAAAGCGGCACATATGTTAAGTACACGTGGGGGCCACATAAATCTCTATTGGTTTCGAAACCTCTTAAAAAAAGAGTCCATATATTTCCAAGCATACTTTTAGACACCTTTTCATGTGTTTGTATAGTAAAAGGGAGTCTAAAAGTATGCTACAATAAACTGAGAGTACTTCTAAGGATAAATAATTGAAGTCATCTATTTAAGAGCATACTTTTAGGCACCTTTTCGTGTGATTTCAAAACTCCATAAAGTGCAACAGTTGAAAAGACTTGTCTCTTATTATTACATCCTACTTTTAGACACCTCTAGAGATTTGATGTTGGGGTGAGTACACAAAACAGAAAGCTAAACAAGAGCATTGCAAATCCAAAATGAGCATTGCGGATTATGGCAGCGATGATTCAATGATTCTTTAATGCAGTTTGTTTGATGCAACGGCGCAGTAGCTTTGGTAAATGGAGTTGCGTGTGTTTTTTTTTTTCGTTTTCTTTTGTTTTGTTTTGGATTTCGAACGCGGCATGACAGCATACGAGTGTTTTTTGCACAAGGCGGTGGAAATCGAGGTGGAAATCGAGAGTTGGAAAAAGTAACGGTAGCTTACGCCAGAATACAACGGCGGGTGGTGCAGCGGCGGCGGCGGCGGAGGGGGTGGCGGAGCGGGCGGTGCCGTCGCTGTTGCCTCCGAATCGCCGCCAGTTGTTGCAGCGCCGTTCGCATCGTTCGCCCGCTGTTGCTGCTGCTGTTGCAGTTGCTGCTGCTGTTGCTGTTGCTGCTGTTGCAGTTGCTGCTGTTGCAGCTGCTGCTGCTGCTGCTGCTGCTGTTGCTGCTGGAGATGATAGACCGCTGCAACGGCTGCCGCATGTTGGTGATGGTGTGTATGCATATGACTATGCGGTAGGTGCGTCAAATTGGGATGGGAATGGTGGTGGTGGTGGTGGTAGTGGTGCTGCTGTTGCGGAGACGACGGCGACCTGGGGACCAACGCGGCTGAGGCCGCCGCCGCTGCTGCTGCTGCTGCAGCTGCTGCCGCCGCCGACGACGACGACGAAGACGAGTGTCTATGGGGATGGGGTGGTGGTGGCGGTAGTGGTGGTGGTGGTAGTGGGGGGTGCAGACTGAGGTTGAGGTTGAGATGCCTCGCGTGGTGGACGCCGCCACCACCACCTGCCGATAGTGCCGAGGCAGCCAATGCCAGATTGTTGGCCGCTTGGGCGGACACGATTTGCGAACTGGTCATTGTGCTCATGACCTGCAACGTTTGCTCTTTCTCGTTTAATAAATGCAAGGACACACCATTGGTTTCCTGGAAGAGAGTTTCAGTTGGTCGGAGTGTTGATATAGGGTTTGCTTTGGTTTGTGTGGGTTCGGGTTAACCTAGGTTAACATTGACCCTTCAATCGGGGGGTCAACCAGAATTTCAGGGGACTTCCATCTGACACTTTGCAGCTCAACTGACAAACGTCTTCCTTGCTTTTCATGCTTACCTAACTCTAAGATCTAAGATCTAGCTTTTGACTTTATTAGAATAGAATATCCTACACAATGCGATCAAAAAAACTCTACCCCAAAAAAGTATGCGATTGGTCTACGCAGGTCACTTACCACTTTGATTTTCGCCTGGATCTCGCGGAGTTTCCGTCTAGCCAGCACTTGGATGTGCGAGCTGACTTGTTTCCTGGTTCTCGTCTTGCCTGTGCGCAGTTTTATATATCGTGCGATCAGTTCGTTGCGACCTGTAATATTTAGGGAGGAAATCAAAATTAAATATGGATTTATTAGGGCAGTGACAGCTTACATATATCTTAATTTTACATATAAAACCTGATGGCGATATATATTATAAAGATTTTTCCTTTGACATTGACTAGAACTGAAAAAAATCCACCCTTAAACGTCTTTTAACTCCTTACAAAAATCCTCTGTTAACTTTTCCTAAATATACACCATCATTTGCCTTTTCATCTTGATCCTGACTTTGGCGCTAGGCTTTAGAATAGAAAGCAAGTGGAATTCCTTTATTTTATCCTTTACTAAGCATTTAATTTTTTTGATTATACTCCCAACCGAGAAAAGATCTTCACTTGCGACGCTATAATTCCCAATAGATTCTAGCTGCGCAGCTCCTAAGTCATCGAACGAATGCTGATAATCACGACTATTTATAAAGGATATACCAAATAGTCCTACGACCTTGATTGCATTCAAAATACCATCATGAGTTTGTCTAAAAATATATCTTAAATATTTTCTTCAGCACTTACCATACATTTTACCCTCGTCGGATAAGATGATTTTTCTACGTCCGCACGGCGGATATATAGATAAAGCCTCTTGAAAGCTCTGTTCGATATCGGGACTCCATACACCTTCGGCATCGGCGGAGGATAAATCCTTTTCGTCCTGAAATATTTAATGAATAAACATTAGCACCAAACGAACAGTATGTAATGGATTCTCTTAAAAAATTCATTTTAAAATAAAAATAAAAGTATAAAAATTTAATTTCGTGACTTCAGAAATAATAGAAAAAAGGCTAAGAGGAGATAGATGTTTAAACTTACATCGCTCATATCACCAACATCCAGGTTTTTGCTATCCACCATGCTGCCATTTGTGTCTGCCGATCCAAGGGCACCTGGAGGACCGGCATTCACTGGAGTCCACGGTGATGGTATGGTGCCGGGTCCAACTAAAAACGAAATAAGAAACACAATTAATTATAATAAAGCAATCATTAAAGTGTTAATATAAACTCCATATGCATTAGAGCATGCAGTTACATATTTCCGAATTTATATGTGCTACCCATAATAATTATCTAGTTTATATGAAATTCTATAAATATGAATAATAACACAGGCCAACAGTGTTTTTGGTGCAGCCCTATGGGCATTAAATTGTGTTAATATAGACGGATATAAGCATATCTGCATACTTAGTTTTCGAGTTTAACGGGTGGTATTTGTGCAATCGCGGTTTGAAAAAAGTAGCAACATTTTATATTTTCATTTAAGATATCTTCGAGGGTCTGTGCTCAGTTGTAATAAAACCTATGCCAAAAAATTGCTTAGATGCCCTTCTACATAATTGCATTTAAGGTTCCATCATTATTTGAGTTAATAAAAGCCTATGAGCCATTAAAGTAATTTGTTCACCTCTATTTACAACCAACTTGATGCGGTGAACAGGCTTAAAAAATACAAGGAAAAATATGTGCCCTAAAATATTTTACATGCATCTAGAGGCGTCTTTTCCCGAATTTTTGAGATAAATCCCACTATTGTACTTCGAAAAATGGAATTTATAGAATTTTTTCCGTAAGAATGGGAAAAGTAACAAGTATTTTAGAGTCACTCTTACGTAACGAGTTTGTCGTGATTTTACACAGTAGGCTTTTTAAAGATAACAGTGGCGTCGCCTTAAAATTGTGGTGGGGATTTTTTTTAAGGCATATTAACCCCTTAAAAATATAATTTGTCTATGTTCGGCGCCTACTGCTAACCAAATTGAAAGGCACATTTTTACGAATGTGTCAGATATTTATGTAAAATGGGATTTAAAAATAGTTGTTACTTTTTAAGTTCTTACGGAAAAAATTCTATAAATTCCATCCTTCGACGTACAATGGTCTTATTTGTCTTAAAAATTCGGTGAAAGACGCCTCTAGATGACTGTAAAATATTTTAGGGCATATATTTTTCCTTGTATTTTTTTAAGCGTGTTCACCGCATTAAGTTGGTTGGGAATAGAGGTGAACAAATTACTTCAATGGCTCATAGGCTGTGATTGACTCAAATTATGATGGAACCTTAAGTGCAAAAATGTAGAAGGGCATCTAAGCAATTTTTTGGCATAGGTATTATTACAACTGAGCACAGACCCTCGAAGATATCTTAAATCAAAAAATTAAATGTTGCTATTTTTTTCAAACCGCGATTGCCCAAATACCACCCGTTAAACGCGAAAACTAAGTATGCAGATATGCTTATATACGTCTATATTAACATGTTCTAATGCCAATAAGCCTGCACCTTTTAATAAAGTCCATTTTGTTGACCTGTGTAATGTATTGGTTTATTTCAAAAACTACTTCTCCCTGTATCTGATTTAATGATCATTCGGCTATATTCTGTACAAATACTGAAATAATACCCCAGTTTCCCTTCCTACACTTTTGGTTTATAAATCGTAATGGGTCATATAATTCCCACTCACTCCAGGATCAAATGTTAAACCAATAATGTTGTTTTAGAGTATTTAAGAGCTAACCTAACCTTCTGGCCTAAAACAATTTATAAAACTTTGAAAATGATTAGAAACTTAAATAGTTTCCACATTTTGTTGTTTACATTTTCTTTGTAAGCATTGGGAAAGGGTTGAAAGGAAAATCATCGCCCAAGTATCGCATCAAACTGTGCGGATTGGAACATCCCTGGTGGATTTTGGACTGGATGAATGGTCTACAGGGTATACAGGGGTATAATATTTTGTGGGGAAACTATGTAACAGGTAGAACGAACCTAAGAACAAATTATTTAACCCACATACATTGAATGATATTTACATTTTTCAAATAGGAACATGATTTTCCTATTTGGAATATTACGAAGTAACTTTCGATAGTTAGGGGTCATTAACCAATAAGATAAGTAGTACGATTTCAAAGTTATCTAACAACTACTCGTACTATCAATCCTTATCACAGATATAGGATCGAGCATTACATGCCAACCCGTCCTCCACTCACCCGATAACTCCTTGAATTCCTCGAGGGAATCTAAATGGTTTGAAAAGGGCGCCACTTTAAAGCCGATATCAATAAACTTCGAATATCACTAATAGTCCTTTCGATTCGAAACTTCACTGTTGTATCAGATCTATCTGTATCTGTTTGTACCACACCACACCTATCAAATCATTTTCTTTTAAATTATTTTGTAATTTATTTTTGTTTTTTCTGTTTTTGGCTTTCTGTTCTGCTCTGTTATGTTTTTTTTTTTGGTTGCGTTTCGTTTCGACTTGTTTCCACACAGCGTGAAAATGAAAATGAAAAAACAATCCCGGACGGCGCAGAAGGAAAAACTAAAATGCGTCTGGTTAAGAGAAACGCGCACGTCAAACTGAAACTGAAATGTGCCGTATAGTTTCCACATATTTCTATTCTTTGTTTTGGCCGGTTCCTTTTTTCTGCCCCTGGCGCTGTGTTTCGCCCATATAAACCTATAGGGATGGTATGGTCTGTTCTGGTCTGGTATGGCATAGTACGGTATGGTATGGTTGTTCTAGGTATTTGTGAGACAGAGGATAGAATGCAGTGGCAGTGGCACATACCCTCGCAGCGTACTATTGATAGAAGCCTTGTCGTATGCAGTGTGGGGCGTCAAGTGTGAGTCCGCAGGGGTATGATACGGTACGGTATAGGATAGTATAGAGTAGGTTATAGTGTAGTATAGAATATGGTATAGTGTAGTATACAATAGAGTATAAAGTATAGTATAGAGTATGGTATAGTATAGTATACAATAGAGTATGTCGTAAAGTATAGAGTAAGGTATAGAGTAAGGTATGGTATAGTATACAATAGAGTATATAGCATAGTATAGAGTACAGTACAGTATAGTATACAATAAAGTATGTAGTAAAGTATACAGTATAGTATAGAGTACGGCATAGTTCTGATAGAAAGTTAGAAAGCCAGATGAAGAATCAAAAACCATCTTTCCTTTCCCCACCCCACAAACACCAAAGTCGATCAAAGGAAAATCCTCTATTCTGGACATTTTCGAAATTCGGAAACGCTGTAAGGTTATTAAAATAATGCATATTGCACAGCTTGGAACTGCATGGCATAGTGCAGGGGTTGGGATCGTTTTAGGGGGTGAATGTGCCATTTTTCATAATCTCGTAAGCACTCGCACACACACACACACACGCACACTCGATTCCTTTGAACAGGGGCGAAATACAAAAAAAAGAAAGGAGCGAAATAGCTGAACCGTGCATTAATATTATCACATTGAATTCCTGAATTTGGACAGAAGCGGTTCAGGATAATTTCCAATTAGAAAAACTAGAAACAGACTTTGGTATTACGGTCCTCTGGTTTTTCGGTTTTCAGTTTTTGGTCCTTGCTCTACGGTCCTCGGTCCTCTACGCTTGAACTCAATTTCCGCCTGAAAACTCAACTCGCAGCTGCTCGTGTTCGGTTTTAATAAGGGAATGTGTGTTCTTTTTCCTGCCTTTTCCATTCCTACCCTTAGAAGCCGCAATTTTGTTGTGCGGCAATTGGAATTTATGGTATGCATTCTGCTTTTTCATTTTCTTTATGTATGCTTCGTCGCAGATATATGTATGTACTATGCATGCCAGTGCCTCGATGGGACGGTAAGGAGCTGCTAGCTATATGATGACGTACTTAGCCCACTCAGGATCAGAATTGGGATCCGTAATGCGTACTCGGATAGCCGGAAAGCACAGGTCAAATTTATTTTCACATCGTCCTCGTAGAAGTCCGATGATGGTTCATTGATCCCTGATAGGTCCCTACGGATGTCATCTTTTTATCTTTCCCATACATAACCAATATCCATATGATCCGGAATCAATTACGTAAGTAAATACATTTATCAATGAAACCTGCACAATACTTTTATTTATATCGCAGGTAGTATATTATAGTTGTCATAAGAAGGATTAAATTATTTATGGCTCATCTAACAAAATAGGTATAACTTTAACCTTTTATACAAATCGTACGTCCAGTTTACATATTTCCTAGGGTATACAAACTTCGATACGCCTTAGTTCGTGCCCTTCCCATTTGTCATGTCAACCCTTAAAATGCACCCTCATTCCTTTTGCCCAAAAATCTTCTGAGGTCAGGACAAACGAATTTGCAACCTGGTAAAGGTTAAAACAAAGCATATTACGAGGTGCAACCTTAATATAATTACAAATAAGAAGGGATTTTCTTTATTTATAATTTGTTAATAAAATTATATTTTACGGAAACAACAAGATTATGAGAAAAATATTATTACATTGCAGCAAATAGATTTTTCGAAAATTTTTAGAAACTCAAAACAAAATATTACAATCAAAAGTATCCAACTTCCGTTCCTCTCAGGATCGGTCAACTTTGCGTTTCGAAATAGCCCCAACCTGTTGCTTTTGAATAATTATGATTAACTTTATCAAAATCGGATATGTTTCCGTTGGGTTTGAAGATATACATATGTATGTATGTGCCCATGACTCATGACATAGTCATTTCGTAGACGTCTGTAACCTATAGTTGTGATAGCAACTGGTCAAATACCTACATGACTAATACATTTATGCTATAACTTCAAGGGTATAGAAAGTTCGTACACTTCTTGTTTTTGGTCACTTGTGTAGTTTTGATGGAGAAAAGCACGTGTGGGGTTTACGATATAATTGAACGCGCGATAGCTTTGTAAGTATTTATGAAAAGATCGCTCCTTTGACAGAAATACAATAAAAATAAAGTTCTCTTTGGAAAGGTTTTAAACGATCATCGAATGATTCTTACAAGAAACGGTGAAACACTAAAAAAATATAAATGTAAGAACTCTTAAACTGAGGGAATGGACCACTCTACAAATTTCGCAACGATCCAGATCATACATATATAATTCTGTGGTCGCAAATCTCTCCCACACTGCAGTTTACAAGCTTCTGACCAAAAATATTATTATGCAATGGCATGAAAAAAAGCTCTTTCCGAAATCCGCTTGGCTTGCAAAATAATTTGAGCTATATCTTATCCGTAGAATCAGTGGGGGGGATGGGGGGGTCCGACAATATTATCTTAAACCTGACTATTCCATTGAATCTGGGCAATCGAAAGTTGGCTTCTCTTTTTGGATTTAGATCGGTTAGTCTTGTGTATGTATGGTATGATATGATATGTACATCGGCTGGTAGAGAGTGGAGGGCCCTGCAGTTCTGGTCTCTGTTTTTGGTGACTTTCTCGAATGGAGAGAACGAACGGGAACTCACGAGGAAAGTCACCAAAAGAGATGAGATCTTCAGGTGGTGGAGGGGGGGTCTTTGGGGCTTTGGTCTTAAGTTAAGTATGGGATGATGGGATGACTTGGGGATGGGGTTTCGGGATTCGAATGTGCAACGGACCTGCCTGCTGTTCTGCCTTCTCCGCAACCTCCAACTCAGTGCAGCTCAGGTTGTTCTGCAATTGCAGCAGCCCAGTGCTGCAAGTGCTCGAGCTGGTGATGTTTTTCATGCAGCCAGTTTCTTGTCGTTTTCACGGGTTGGTTGGTTGGGTTCACGGGTATGCCCGATATGAGAGGTACGTAGACTCGGTACTCGGTGACTGTGCGTCGTCTACTAGTTCACGGAATTAAAATCTGTTCGCGCTAGATTTAGACTCTGATGTCACCATCAAGAACCGTACCGTACCGTCGTCGTCTCGGCTGGTCAAAGGCACTCACTCCGGCACTCACTACTCACTCTTATTATTATTATTCGCTTGTAACAGTAACTGTTTTTTCAGACTTTATATTGGGTGTGTTATTATCTATGTCCGTTGATAACGCGATGGAGCGGTTTTTTTGTTTCTCTGTTTTATTATTATACCATATAGCTTAGTTATACTTAGTAGCAGCTAACGTCTGGGACGGGATGGAACTGCAAAGGTAGTAAAACCCTTTCGCTTTGGATTATGTGGCTTATTCGAGGCGATACTTGTTTTTGCACTACTTTACTTTTTCCCCAACTCGTACTCGTATTCGTACTCGTATCGAATCAAATTTCGATTCTACGTGTTTGGTATACACACATGCATATTCACAATACTTACTTACATCTGCAATAATTCATGAATCGGAGTTCTTGAGTTGAGGAAGTGAGAAAGATCTTTTTTTTCAGGCAACATCTTTACTTGTTCGCCTGTGCCTCTCTCTTCTCCTGCTCGCTCTCTCAAACACTCCCACTCTCCCTCTCTCTCTCTCTCGCTCTCGCTCTCTAGATATTATATATATATATAACTGTGTATTTAGTAGTACGAGAAGAGCATGAGCAGCTTTGTACAATATCGTGGTCTTTGTGAAAGTGAGAATGTGTCAGTAAGCCTTTCAGTGGAAATAAGGCGCAGCTGCGGCAATAAGATGAAGTGAAGAAAGAAGCAGAATGGCCACCAGAGAGCTACTAACTATTGGATAGGTTTGGTTTGGTTTGGGATTGGGATTGGGTTTGTCGCCTTTTCTATATTTTTACATCAGTTAATGGGGGGCTTTTGGGCGATGACGATGACGATTGGCGATTATGATGATGATAATGATAATGTCCATTTGTATTTCTTCATCTAACCAAATAGTCTGTTTCTCTGCTTCTGCTTCTGTTTCTGTTTCTGCACAAGTGCAGTTCTAATTGTGTGCATATATTTATGCGACTGTGAGTGTGCAAAAGCACACGCACATGTGTGTGCATGCACATGTACATCTGTACTTCTGTATTTAGATATATATTTTTATGAAATCCCCATTCAAATGCCTGATTTCAGATTTGATTTTTTTTTTTTTTTGGGTTTTTCGGTTTTCTTTGTTTTTGGGGCACCCAGACGCATGGGATAATTTGCTTAGAAGCCACACACATCCATATCTTACGATGCCCTCCCCACACGCCTACTGTTTATAAGATACGTATCGTATAAGAAAAAGATAAAACAAAACCAGAGAGAGAGAGAGAGCGAGAGAGAAGGTGAATCAAAAAGTGGCCACATATTAAACAAATTTTCAAAAAATCTTTCTCTACAAATATGTACGACAAACACAAATTAAAAAAAAAAAAAGGGAAAAGAACAAAATTGCAAAGGAAAATGTATTTAATAATCTCAAAAACCCACGCACACTTTTACAGCCACTCACGGCTGTACGAAAAAAGGGGGCTGAAATGAGAGGAGGCGGCGCACTATACACCACACACCACACACAACAACGAAACGAGACGAGACGAAACGAAACGATACGAAACAACGATGACGACAACGAAAAATCGCGGAAACACTGCGAAAAACGCAACGCGCAGAAGCGAGAGAAACTCATCGACTGAATCCGAATCCAAATTCGAATCAATACAAAGAACGACGCCGACGTCAGCGTCGATAACACACTATAGCACTATAGCTGGTCTGGTCTGGTCTGGTTGTTGGGTTGTCCGATTCGTATTGCTGGGATTGGGACTGGGATTGTTGTTTTCTTGTTGTTTCCCTGCGCTCGCGTTCGCGTTCGGTTGTTGCGCCTGCTTCTTGGCCTGGCCAACTCAACTCAACTCAGCTAAACCTCAACTCTCGACTCATTTCAACTCATTCTCTGCTTCTGCTTCTGCCTCGGCTTCTGCTTCTGCCAGCATAACTGGTGGATCTGGTTGTTTAGTTTCAGTTTCCTAACACAGGCGATGACTACACGACCAAACACAGACGCAGAATACAACCCGATCAAACCCAGAAACAGCACTACTATATCACCATCTCACCATCACAAGTGCACTGCTCGAACCACACACACAACTCGAATTGGGCGGCTAGAAGAGAGCGGCTCTCTCGCTCTGCCTCTCCCTCTCTCTCCCGATATATATATATATATATATATATATAGAGGTGTATATCTCTCCCACAGCCGACGGGTGTGACTAATAGTCGACGAGCTTTATGCCGCTGGCGCCTTACCGCACGATTTCGATTTCGCTCACTTTGTAACCCTTTAGCATAGGGTGTTATACCTCTTGTCCCGAATTTCGCAACGGAAGTCCTGTCCCTTATCACTCAGCCACTTTATCTTAGCTAACGAGAAACAGAAAAGAACCCACAATTTCCTGATCGTACAGCCGATCTCCCACAACTCGAACGTCTCTATAAGTCAAACTAGTTTTATTGGCAATAGAACGGAGAGTATAACTGCACGTGAAATGTATTCCTCATCCTAAAGTCTCTCAGAACTCGATCTTTTCGGTGGCAGAAAGTGGTTCGATTCGAGGTTAACAATATCTATTCACGATCTGGCCGTAAAGCCCGCCAGTTTTTATCACAAACTTATCGCACTAATGTTTTTTAAACACACCTTAAATATCAAGCCGATATATCCGCACTTGTTCTTGCCATACACGATGTTATTTCTAACGATATCGTACGATCATTTTCCATAAAAAAGCTTGCATTTTTTGTTGGAAAGTACTTTTTTTGAGAAGATTATTTTAAAAATTATAATATGGAAAACTTCACATGTTTTTGCTAAGCACGTTTTTAACGTTTTCGCAACAGCTGCGGCGGTGTAAACGATCCGCAACAAGATTGCTGCTGTTGCGTTATCCAGCGCCTGTGCCATTCGTTAGCATTAATATGATCTGTACATAGAAAAAATAACCCAAAAAATATCAGTATTTTTGCCATAACATTAGGAATAATGGTCCTAAAACGGAATGTCATACCTTTTTGAGCTCGTAATTAAATTCGCAATCAATTGGCATTTCAACCTGGAAATTTTTAATTTTTGCCATTTTTCGCAAAAAAATATGATAGTACCCCTTATCAAAATTGCGAAAATTTGGTCAAAAATTAATTTTTCCAAATCAGTCGGAAAGTGCACTGATATTAATTATAAGGTCGTAAGCTGCTCAAAACAGTACGTCTTTTCGATTTGGGACCATTTTTGACCAAGTTACAGCAAAATATCTAGAACAAAATAATCACATTTTTACCAAAAATCAAGATCCTGATTTTTTTCCCCAAAATCAAGCAGTATTTTGGCCAGAACAATGGAAATAATGGTCCAAATATGGAATGTCATACCTCGTTGAGCTCGTTATTTAATTCGCAATCGATTGGCATTTCGACCTGGAAATTTTTAATTTTTGCCATTTTTCGCAAAAAATTATGATGGTACCCCTTATCAAAATTGCGAAAATTTGGTAAAAAATTAATTTTTCCAAATCAGTCGGAAAGTGCACTGATATTAATTATAAGGTCGTAAGCTGCTCAAAACAGTACGTCTTTTCGATTTGGGACCATTTTTGACCAAGTTACAGCAAAATATCTAGAACAAAAAAATCACATTTTTACCAAAAATCAAGATTCTGATTTTTTTCCCCAAAAACAAGCAGTATTTTGGCCAGAACAATGGAAATAATGGTCCAAATATGGAATGTCATACCTCGCTGAGCTCGTAATTTAATTCGCAATCGATTGGCATTTCAACCTGAAAATTTTTAATTTTTGCCATTTTTTTGCAAAAAATGATGATGGTACCCCTTACAAAAAATGCGAAAATTGGTTCGAAAATTAATTTTCTCAAATCAGTCAGAAAGTGCACTGATATTAATTATAAGGTTGCAAGCTGCTCAAAACAGTACGTCTTTTCGATTTGGGACCATTTTTGACCAAGTTACAGCAAAATATCTAGAACAAAATAATCACATTTTTACCAAAAATCAAGATCCTGATTTTTTTCCCCAAAAACAAGCAGTATTTTGGCCAGAACAATGGAAATAATGGTCCAAATATGGAATGTCATACCTCGTTGAGCTCGTAATTTAATTCGCAATCGATTGGCATTTCAACCTGAAAATTTTTAATTTTTGCCATTTTTCGCAAAAAATTATGATGGTACCCCTTATCAAAATTGCGAAAATTTGGACAAAAATCATTTTTTCCAAATCAGTCGGAAAGTGCACTGATATTAATTATAAGGTCGTAAGCTGCTCAAAACAGTGCGTCTTTTTGATGTGGGACCATTTTTGACCAAATTACAGCAAAATATCTAGAACAAAAAAAATCAATTTTTACCAAAAATCAAGATCCTAATTTTTTGCCCAAAAAAAGTAGTATTTACTATTAGTATTTTGGTCATAAAAATGGAAATAATGGTCCAAATATGGTGTGTCATACCTCGTTAAACTCGTTATTAAATTCCCAATCGATTGACATTTCAACCTGGAAATTTTTAATTTTTGCCGTTTTTCGCAAAAAATCATCAAAATTGTGAAAATTTAGTCAAAAATTAATTTTCTCAAATCAATCGAAAAGTGCACTGATATTAATTATAGGGTTGTGAGCAGCTCAAAGCAGTGCGCCTTTTTGATTTGGGCCTTGATTTGTCCAAATTACTTTCAAAAAACCCAATAAAAAGGCTTTAATTCCAACTTTTTTATGCCCCAAAAGATAACGTTGGGACCCAGCTTGGAATTCAAGAGATTAGCACATGTGAATCAATATCAGTTTAAAAATTGCCGTACAAATGCCACGCCGTTTCGCTTCGATCCTTACAAGTTTATCTGTATTAACTGGTTTGACATTTCAGGGACCTTCGGTGGCAAACGAGGTGACAGAGTCATTCTGGTTAACTGCGCGATCGGGAAAGAACATGGCGTTGTTCGGGTCCTTCTCATCGACCACCTGTCGCAGCATCCAGAATCGCTGGTCCTCTTCGCTGTCCTCCTTCTCGTTCGCTTTGGATTTCGATTTGGTTTTCGGTTGAAAGGCGCTCGGCTCCTGGAAGCCGAGAAAGGACTCTGGCTCCATGCTCACATATCTGCTGACCGGCGGCGATGGTTCCCAAAGATTGGCCTGCTCTTCTGCGTTCTCCTCCTCCTCCTGGTTGTGCCGCTCCAGGTACTGTGCCCCCAGATAGGCCCGCTCCAACTGGTTACCCGGTGGCATGGCGGGTTCAAACGACATGAGTTCACAGAAGATGGCCTGCTCGAGGGTCTGAAAGGAGCAGAGCACCGTGTCGATATAGTTTCGCTCCAATCCCCGATAGACCTGCGGCCAGGTGGGCACCGAGAGCAGGCTCCACAGCTGGAAGGCCACCTGGCTCAGCTGGCCACTGCGCGATCGCTGCAAATGCTCCACGAGCTCCAGCATCATGTAGTCCTGCTGCTGTCGCTGGACCTGCTGCTGCTCGCACTGCATCGGCGAGAAGGGACTATCCAGCGAGAGCTGGGCGGCACCCCACAAATAGGGCAGCAGGCAGTAGTCATCGATGGAGGACATGGGATCCTTCACCAGCGGCAGCGAGTAGGTGGCCACCAGGCGGCGAACCAGATGGATATACCGATTATAAAGCATCAGGGCTGCGGCAATCGTATCGCCGGCCAGGAGGATTCCGGCCCGGAAGAGGCCGCAGAGGAAGAAGACGAACATCAGCTCGTTGGCGGGTCCGAAGTCCATGGTGGTCACATTGCCGAAGGAACGGCGAAGGTATTGCCCCAGTTCGTTGATGTGCTTGCAGTTCGAGCGAATGGCCTCGTCCAGTTTGCTAAAGACATGCTGGAACATCTGCTGCATCCAGGTCTTGTAGGATACAGGATCAGAATCCTCCGGCTTGGGCGTATGCTCGATGAGAAGGTGGTCCAAACCATCGAAGATCTCGCACAGGCGACGCATCTGCTCGGAGACTGGGAAGTCAAAGTTGCGCGATTCCCGATTCCGCGACATCCGATGGCCCTGTATCGCCCTGCTTGTGTGGTTGATATAGGCGATCGTATCGTGGTAGGCCTGCGATCGCACCCATCGGTCCAGATCCTCCAGGCTGCGAACCTGCTTCACCGGCCCGTTCTGCATGAAAGCCGAGGAACGAAGCACCTGGACAGTGGGATCGGTCACATCGTAGCCCAGTCGGTCGCTCATCATCAAATGGGATCGGATGAGATGGGAAATCAAATCAAAGACTATTTGTGTATTTTCGTGTCGAAATGGGTATAGGTCGGAATGCTTTCGAATCAACCGCCACGACCTACTGAAACTATAACTATAACACAGGTAATAAACACTTTTAACCACTTTTACGCTTATAATTCCCAACTGGTACTGGCGTACAAAACTTTATAAATATTTCACACTATCGCGTCGATCAAATTCTTCAACTTATACAGTTTGTTTTCAATTCCAATCTAATTCGTGGTAAAATACATAGATTATAATTCTTGATTTCATAACAAGATCTCTTTGTTTGTTTTGCCATCTCATTGTAAATATTAATATTTTACATCCACCCCTACTGGCGACAGGTTAGCAAAACGAGAGAATTACTTAATGGGTAACCCATTGTGGTTTGTCTTTTGGCTCGTAATTATGCTCTGGTTCTCGTTTTGTGTGTCCCTAATTGGAGCTTTTTTCTACGTGTGGACATACATGTTTTCTCAATGTAGTAATAGCTTCCGGGTAAGTTAAATACCGAAATCTAAAAATTAATCATAAATTAATACATATCCACATAGGGCATCTCCGATTTCTTTCTAAAGTGCGTTCAATTTCCAGGATATTGTACTGCAGCCATGATAAACTGCCAGCCCATATGCTAAATTTCATAGGAAAAATTGTAACGAACCGTTTTGAGCAGGAAGATCCAGTTCATAAGCGAACAAATATTTCCATTCGATACTCCAATATATTGTATTGGGTCCAGCCAGAAAATTCCAAATCCCATTATCCCATTAGAGAAGAAGCTATTTCGGATAATTAAATTGATAAGTTATTGGCAAATGTGTGCTTAAAACGAAGATTGGGCAATTAATTTAGCTCAAATGATTTTTTTTATATTTTCTATCAACAAAACGAAAGTAAAGTTGGAAGTTTGAGCATAAAAGCGTTTCATTTTGTATTACTTATATAGGCTTTGCCATAAGGGGTTGACAATTTTACTTGTTTTCTATAAAAATATGAATAATATTTTTATTTTCGCTGCTTTTGCACCTGAACTAATTGATTTTCTCAAAGTCTAGATAAAAGTCACCTTAAGCTAAAGCAACGAATGCCTTTCAATGGCTGTACCATATAACTTATAACGCACAAAGCGTAGGTGTTTTGCCGAATTCGAACTACCTTCCGATATAGCTTAGTTTTAGAACACGGCAGCTGTCACGTTCCGCAGACATGACAAAACGATCATTTTGCAATTGTACACGATTTACTTTTCCATATATACAATATAAACCGTTAAATACCACATAACTCGGTTGGACGTCATTAAAAAATGCACCAACTTGCCCACATTTAAACAGTATCCCTAACTTTTGCTTTGTATTATTTGTATCATTTCAATTCAAAGCGCGAACTTTGTACCTTGTAAATTAGGTACATACATATATTAAAAATAGTTTCTAAAACGGGAGCCAATTTAAAACTATGTATGTACGTTTGTACTTGAAAATAATATAAATAAATATTGGCCCCCATCATTGCCACCGGAAGAAATATTTCCAACCCAACTCCAAATGAAATTCTTCTATTAAAATGGCATTTTCTTTTTAAGAATTTCGTTTGTCAAGAGAAGTAGTTTATTTCTGAATTGTACGTGCTTCGAATGAACTTTATGAAATTCGGTCACACTGGAAATATTTTTTCTATTCATTTCTTGTTCATTTTCAAAATGAAACATTTTTGAACCAAAAACAACGCCTTATTGGCTATATATTGTACATACACATATCGGGGTTATATTTAACCAAATGTGAGCTTCAAGCAGATCTTTGGTCCAAGTCCAAGCAGGCAAACCATTTGTCTGTGTAAAAGAAATTCTTTGTCTCATACCAACGAAGATACGAGATACAACAGGAACGGCAACAGCAGAGAAGAATCGACGGACCGGGAACCAAAATAAATGCGCAATGCATACATGGAGCGCACACAAGAGTGAGACGGGACTACAACGTGACATTCCTTAAATTTTTGTTTGTGTTCAGGGAACATTAAAAAATATTTTTATCTTGTGCAAAAGAACCAACTTCTGCTTTCTGATGGGAAGAATCCTTTTTTTCAAGTTGCTGCCGCTTTTGCCGCTTTGACGTTGCCGACGCTGCCGTGCTGCGCTTCTTTCCGTCTGCTTTTGTAGTTTTAAAGGGAAGCCGAGTCCCCGAACCCGAACTTTCTATGGAAGAAGGAAGTAAGAAAACGCGCAGCACTCTGTGTCTCGAGGAATTTTTCGAAACTGAAAATAACTCTATGGAAAAATGTGCCTACAAACTTGATAAAACCAGACGACTGACTATCGTCGTCGTCATCTGCAACAAGTTCATTTCAACCTGGCGGTTTTTATTTGAAAACGAAGCAGTATGCAATGTGATTCGAAGGGATTTCGATTGGAAATATAAAGGTAAGATAAAAAACGAGTGATATCTAAAATATGGTGGAGATGGAGCTTATACATCCTGAGATCTTGATTTTTTAAACAATCGTCAGATACACGCATATGATAACTGAACATTGGTTTAGTCTTAGAAAAAGGTTTCAGTAAGAGGATTGATATTTTTTTATTGATATTAGATTGATATCGTCAATTATTCGCGCCATTTACGGATAATTTTCTAAAAGTTATCCAAACTTGACAAACGTTTACCTTTCGCCAGTATCACTTGAAGTTTTCCCACTTATAACATAACAATTTAATCTCTCGAGTCTCAGTAAAGTATCTGATCTTAACTTAGTTCTTCCCTCTTTTGACTATTATTCAGGACGAGGCTTTCGGTTTTAATAGTTTTTATTTGCTGATCAGTGGATATGTTTACTTTTTAAAAGGCGGAAAAGTTAAGACCACAGTTTCTAGCGACTAATTTTCAAACTTTTTCCAGAGCCTCGTGTTTTGGGCCTATGTATTTTAAGGCTTAATAATAATTAAAGAGACCATCGGAAAAGGTACCCAGATCTTTAATCTTCATAATAGGGTCCTCATTTTTTTACAATAACTATAAAAAATAGTGACAAAAAAACCTACTAAAATGCGGGAAATATTTAAGCTCACAAGATATCACTATAATATCAAAAAGACATTAAACTTCTAAGACACATTCTAATTTAAGTAAAATCTGAATAGACCTAAAAAATATAGTCTCAAATGCAGTAAGCCCTTTAAGGGGTTTTCGAAATACATTTTCCACTCTGCCAAATGATTAGTAAGCTAATATTCAAAACATTTGTTCGCCCCAATTGCCGTCGGCAAGTGAAGAGACATGTGCAAAACAAATTAAAAACTTACTTTTGTACAGAAATTTGGAGTAATCACAATCCATGTCGCATTGGTGTAAAGGTCCAGGATTATATTGTATTGCAGTGGCTGCTGTTTAAAGTTTGGAATCCGAACTCGAAGTATTTGTTGATTGATTGATTGCCGATCGCTGATTAAGTATTCACCGCACCTTCTTTGGCGGACTTCTTTCTTGGACTTTGCTGAGATAGAAGAGAGCACAGCTGCGGCAGTTTCTTAGAAAGAACCGATCCATTTTTATCGATCGACTAGGATGATCCGCGTTATCGATATCTTTGGGCTGCCCGCGTTACATGACCATAAGCCCCGTTTTTTGGTCTTAATTTGCATTTATTCACTTTGTTTATGTTTTTTATTCTTATTTTTTTATTGTATTGTTTTCGTTTTGTTTTGGCGAATCATCTGTGCACTTTCGAGTGTTGACAACGTTGCTTATTATTTATTATTTCACGGTTTGTCATTACTGCAATTTGAATCCGCTTCTGAATAAGTACATCGTGCGTTTTTTGCTGTTGTTGTATTATTCTTGTGGATTTATTTTCTGGTATTTACACAGTAGTAAGGGGATCTAAGTTTACGCTTACGGACACACAAACCCGTCGAGTCTTGGCCATATTTAATTATTCGCAATATCTGTGCGCCGCTTCAAAGTTATTTCATTTGTGGTAATTATGTGTTTTTTGTTTAGTAAATGCACTGCAAAAAAAAAAATGAAACAATAACATGGATTTGTTTACTATTATTATTTTCCGCTCGAGTAGGTTTTCCCGAAGACGATGGACGTGTGTGGAGAGGTGTTTTTTTGAAAGTGGGTGCAACAGTTGTGCTGCAATCAGCGCAAATGAATCTCTGCGGTGATTCATAAGCTGTCAAATAAATGCACACACAACACACTACACTACAAGGCACTAGAAAAGCACTGCACAACAAATAAAAAGAAAAAAAGCGACGGACGATGTAGAACAAAATATTGTGGAGTAGAGTGTGGCCGAAAAGCGCTCCGAATTACCTGCGCATTAACAATAACGGCGCGAATCGAATCGAATCGGATAGGATGGTGGATAGGATAGGGATACGGATACTAGACTACTGTGCACCGCTCTCCATATAATCCATATAACCTGCACACACGAACGCAAATTTACACTGGCATACACGAGAAATGCAATTATTATTTTCTTTTCCACGGTCTGTTTCAGATCCGGTTGCAGCTTATGCGGAGCTAATTAAACTAAAACTTTGTTTACCCAACACGCTTTGGAACGGAGCCCCGTAATACCCGTAATAGACGTAAACGTAAACCCATTGATGCCATGCGATTTTGATTTCCAGGCTATTTATAAGCAATTTGTCATTTATAGACAAATGTACACATCTGAATCCGATGGTTTTCTTAAACTTTGCGCTTATTTTTACCGGCACGGGCACGGTCTCTGTTTGGACTTGTAGTACACCAGCGATAAAACAACATATCCGACGGATAACGAACGGGATGGATTGTACTCAGATATTCAGAGTCAGATGGAAATTCTGTTCGCTCGGAACAAGAACAAGAACAAGAAAAGAAAACCGCAATTCTATTATATCCCCTGCTGCTGCTGCCGCTGTTGCTTTTCGTTTGTTTTAATTTTAACTAATGTTAACTAGCTCTCGCAATCGAAATAACACAGACGCAAACGATGGCATAAACAGAACTACCAATAAGAAATTATCTCAAAATGTATTTCAGGCAAAAAGTAAAACAGTAAAAGCTCTTCTCATTGAGCATTCGCATTCGCATTCGACCGATAAACCCGACCGAACCGAACCGAGACCCGAACTGAGACCCGAACAGAACCAGAGAGAGCGAACGAGCAGAGCAGGCGTACATATGAGTAGAAACTGACAGCAATACCATGCCGTGCCACCATCCACAAGAACTGAGTAAACGTAACCCCCCCTGGTACACCCCCCACCATAGGGCAGTGCTTACTCAACAGAGACCCCAGAAGGGGTACATTCCATTTCCATTCCTGCAGCCTCAACAGATTGCTGGATGCGCGTTAGCGGTGCAGGAACATCGATGGTTTCGGTGTTTATCGATGTTTGCCTGCTAATACATCGAAAAAGCGATTAGTTCCACTGATCTGGATCTATACGATTTTATTATATATATTCATATTTTTTATTATACGGTCACACCTTCTTTAGAAACCAATGAACCAATTTTTGTAGGTTGTAGGTTGCAAAAGATTTTTTTGAAGTACTGAACAAAGTATTTAAAATATAAGAATTAAGAATACATACAGCATTTAAAATTTTTAGTTTGAATAGTGAGCTTCAACTGGTTTTTAAATAAAAATATCGGAAGTAAATGCAAGGAGAGGCATGGCATACAACGCAGAACAGCGCAAAAGCGAGAGTGGTTGATGTTTACAGCGCATGAATTAACTTGCGATGTTTGGACTAGAGAAGTAATCCAATCAGGATGGGTTGAGACTACCATGGGTTTATTATCAAACACGCTGCAGTGTTGCAGTTAACTATTTTACTTTGAAGCGGCAAAAGCGCGCGCGCAATATGGGCAAAAGCTTTTTTTCGCCAGGACTGGGTGCATTGAACTTGCATTTGACGTGACAGGTGATGCAAAGTAATTATACCTATTCACAGAAATCTAGAAAAAAATAAGGAGAAACCTTTTATTTCAGTATTTTTTTAAATTTATTTAAACCGAATTATTTAAATGAATTTTTCCTTTTTTTCTATAAACAACTGCTTTTAGTTGTGCAAAGTGTGAATATCGCATTTACGGGCAAGATCATAGATCTGCAAAATATATATCGATACATCGATATCCAGAATGATCGTCGATAATTTAAACAATAATTAATATATATGACTAAATTTGCAATAAAAAAAACCCCAGCACGCCTAATATCCAATAAAGTATTTCACCATAGCACCCAAGAATATAATGGTGGATAGCCAAAGGGAGCGTCCTTATCTTATCGGGAGAGGTGGACACGAGACGACCAACTAATCAGGGTATAGAGTAGTGCTAGCTAACAATATTGATAAACAAAGTAGAGGCCAGCCGAGAGTTACACGCGCATTTTATTGGCCAGTGAAGAGGAGCCAATACTACGGATATGTCCGAATCGGGAATCAAGAAGCTGAGTCAGGAGCGGACTCGCGAATGGCTGGCCAGCCAGGAGGACGAGGAGCTGGAGTCCATAGCCGAGTCCTCGGTGGTGGATAGCTTAGACTATGACTACACGGAGGAGGAGGAGGATACCGATCAGAATACGAGCGAGGAGATCAGCACCATGACACTAGGCACTCAGATCTGTGGGTAGTTCTACTATATTATATTATAATAGTTTTTAATATCCATTATCCACTATCCACTGAAGCTGCGCGAAAACGCTCCATCATCAGCGACACCATCAGGGACCTCATGAACTCGATCAACAGCATTCAGACTTTGGGCAACGTGAACATCAGCAACTCCACGAACGTCCACATCGGCAATGTGACCAATATCAATGGAAATATACAAATCATAGCCGATAGCCTTAGCCAAAACCGCAGAGATAGGGATCGGCGAAACGTATCGCCCCCGAAAGATAGCGCTCCCAGGCCGGAGACACATTTCGATGAGGATTATCAGGACGAGGCGGAGGAGAGGGTGCGCTCCGATGTGTTTATCAGGCGTCAAAGTGAGCTAACTATCCTAAATCCCACATCAGGGTAATGATACGCTAACGATTTCCTTTACAGAGTTCAAAATACCCAAGGAGCTGTGCTCCATTATTCCACGACACTCCTGGCTGGCACAAAAGCCCATGGAGGATCCGCAGCCCTTGCAGCTCCCCGTTAAATATGTGGTTATTTGTAAGTTTAATATTAGGTATAAAAAAAAAGTTTTCTTGAAGGAATAGGAATAGAAATCAACTAATTCCTGTATCCTACAAGCTTTTCTCGCGCTTTGAAAACTCTAAAAACGCAGCATAAAAGTATGCTGTAAAATATGTATCATATTTTAGATCGTTAAGCTCTTGGGATTTTTTTTAGAAAATATAAAATCCTGTGAGACAAAGTAACGTTAGTATGAGAAAATCATCTTCCTGAAAGAAGGAAAATATTTTTCTTAAAGGAATAGGAATAGAAATCAACCAATTCCTCTATCCTACAAGATTTTAATGCAGTTTGAAAACTCTTAAAAACGCAGCATAAAAGTATGCTGTAAATATGTATCATATTTTAGATCGTTTTTAAGCTCTTGCATTTTTTTTTGGAAAATATAATATCCAGCTCTATGGAGACATTAGTTAATTATTAAAATATTTTTAAAACGTATTTAACAAATCCTTTTTTAAAATATTTTACATCTAGTACACACGGCTACCGAGAGCTCAGAGAAACGTGCGATCAACGTAAGACTTATCCGTGATATGCAGGTAAGTAAACTTAAACTACATACATGAAATTCTTAAATAATTAATACACTTAACTATACATTTACAGTGCTTCCACATCGAGTCGCGTGGATGGAATGACATTGCGTACAACTTTCTGATCGGCTGTGACGGCAACATCTACGAGGGACGCGGCTGGCAGACGGTGGGTGCCCATACACTGGGCTACAACAAGATATCGCTGGGCATCGGGTTCATAGGATGCTTCATGCGAGAACTGCCCACAACGGACGCACTGAACATGTGCCGCAACCTCTTGGCCCGCGGCGTGGAAGATGGACACATATCTGCGGACTACAGACTTATTTGCCACTGCCAGTGCAATTCAACGGAAAGTCCAGGCCGCCAACTGTACGAAGAGATACAGACGTGGCCTCACTTTTACAATATCGAGGAGGAGGAGCAATAGAGGACAAAGAAATCACCCTATTTACATATGAGTTAAATGCACCCGAGTTAAGTTTACATCATTGTTGAACATTAAATCACACGTTTATAAATTTGGTTTCTATTCCACTTCATGAGTAAAAAAGGAAGAGCAACACACGTTGCATGGATACGAATGAGCTAGCACTACAAAACAACATTTTTATAATTAAAACAAGATCTCTTAAAGTCAAGTAAGCTTAAGTTAGAAGTGATTTTCCTCTATCTTTGGCGGCGCCGAATACTTCTCCTTGGCATGAGCCCGGTATTCCTCGTCGTCGTCGTGGCACTCCTTGTAGCATTGGTTGCAAAAGAGCTCGCCACCGCAGCCGTGGCAGCGGAGAACCGCATCCTCGTTGCAGATGTTGCACCAGGGCAGTTCCTCGGTGCCCGTCGAGGGCACTTCGCTGTTGATTGGACTAATTTCGTTCTGCGAAACTTCTGGTAGCCGCGATTCCTCCACGTACTGGTAGTCATGGTAAAAATATGATGATTTTAAAGAACGTACAGTTGGCTATATAGTTTATACAAACTTTTTTCATTATATTCTGCAAAAGGGTCTCGTCGTCCTGCTCCTCCTCTTCTGGGATCTGGGTTCTCGATGGGCCTGCATCGCTGCTCGAATCCAAGGGCGTGTCGCGCAGAGCTCTTAGGCGTCGCTCAATGTCGGATATTGAGTCATCCCTGTGGCGATCGACATTCTGATCTAAGTGCGCCTCCTCCACAAACTGCGCCAGCAAATCCCTCATTTTCTCCTCATCGTTCCTCTGGTCAGTGGACAGCAGGAGATCCTTTCTATCGTAGCTACTCTTCTGCGGCATTCCCGTGAGATTGGCGAGACGGGCGCGAATCTCGTCATCGGTGGCATCCACACGCTTGTAGTCCGCCATTCGCTTGGTGAGTGCGCTGTCCAGGTTCTCATCGATGTGATCTTCATGATCTTTATGCGTGGAACTGGGAACCAGAGCCTCTGGGAGCTCATCAGAGGGCGGGGATTCGCTGGAAAGGTTTGTGGGGTTAGGACTTGGATTCCTCTGGGCGGGATTCACTTACTCAAAGAGCACATCCGCTGCACCGGAAGCCTCTGCTCCCTTGGACGGAGGTGCCAGGCTGAACTTGGTGACCAGGACACCGGGCAGAGCCTCGCAATCGATGACCTTTTCGGCATCTGCGTTGGCCTGCAGCTTGGACAGCTTGTCGTAGCAGATGAGGCACACATTGAGCACCTTGCCCGCGTGACGGGGCACGGGCATCGGCCTCTTGAGGCACTTGGAGCAGAAGGAGTAGCCGCAGTTCGGACATCCATACTATTTGCATATTATATTATTATATTAGAGCTGTAATCTTTGAATGTAAACGATGTGTGATACTTGCTTCCTTGCAGAACAGCCCGTACTTACGACCGCAACCAAAGCAGCTCATTGCAAACAGCAACTCCGCATATATATTTTTATATAAACTTTTAATTTAATTTGCTTTGTTTTAAACAAAACAAGTCACTTCCAATTGGAGATGGTCGCGTGCTATAATACCGCTTACACACCGAGCTGGCTTCGATAACGATAGGCATAGCGTTTACACTGGGATTCCCCCATCTTACGTCAGCTGTTTTGCTGTCTTGATTTTCAAAACTTAATTATTGTTCGAAATTAACGAATTAAAAAAAAAAATTACATTTTAAGTTTTAAAAATAATTTCACAATATTTTTTACACACCGAGTTTACATCGATACCGATAGAAATAGCGTTTGGGACTGGGATTTCCCCATCTTATATTGTTCGAAAATAACTAGTTTTATTTTAATGTTCCACTATTCATTTTTTTAACATTTTATTTTCACTAAATACTATATAAAAATAAATCAGGAACTGCCAAAACTTTTATTATGAATTACCGGGTTTTTTTTTACTTATTTTGTAAGAAATCATAAAGTACTTGATAGAAAAATTATTTCTTTAAACGTTATTAAATGATGTTTCCTTCTTTTAACGTTATTAAATATGTTAACTTCTTTCAACTTTATTAAATGATATGTTTACTTCTTTTAACGTTATTAAATACTATGTAAAGAAATAAATAACTTGTAGGACTATAAAGCTCTTGGAAATCACACAGTTCTTCAGTGTACAAATTAAAGCGTTTTCCTCTTTCAACGTCATCAACGTATATCTATAACATATGACTATATGAACTCTTAAAAACTTAATAGAACAATTACTTCTTTTAGGGTTATGAAATAATATTTAAAGAAATAAATAATAGGTAAGCTCATGGAAATCACAGTTCTTCATTGAACGAATTATAGCGTTATCCTCTATGAACGCCATTAAAGTCTCTGGCGGTCTCTTAAGTACTTAATAGCATAATTACTTCTTTTAACGTTATCAAATAATATGTAAAGAAATAAATAATATGTAAGCTCATGGAAATCACAGTTCTTCATTGAACGACTTAGAACGTTTACTTCTTTAAACGTAATTAATTTATCAAAATATGACTATAAAGCTAAGTTCGTGGCAGTCTCTGAAATGATACAAGGGGGGACTTCGGTTGAGCTGGTCTGGCCAAAAGAGTATCAGTAGCTTCTTCACTTACCCGGACTTTGAAGCTCGGTGAATCTAGCAGTCGCTGAAGTTGGGAGCATTCCAGAAGCGAATCGCCAGCGGCAAAGTCCTGCGAGGGAGTGATGTTAACCTCAGGCTGCGGCGAAGTGATATCAGTTACATCCATCGACTGCTTTTCGTTAACCAGTTTAACTCTCTTGCTAGCCGAATCTTGGCTGGCTGCGCTCCTTTTTCCAGGGATCACGGAAATCTTAATTATATTGTATGGCAATTCTGGAGCAGACGAGCTTTCCCAGTCTATGGGTTTCTTTAGCATTGGATCCAGTATCGCGACACTAGTATCATTCTCTTTTGGTTTAGGCATGGCAAAACAGTCCAAACTTTGGCTGGCATTCAAGTTTATTACTTGATCCTTGAGCATTGGATCCAGTATCGCGACATTTGTATCATTCTCTTTTGGTTTAGGCATCGCAAAACAGTCCAAACTTTGGCTGGCATTCAAGTCTATTACTTGATCCTTGAGCATTGGATCCAGTATCGCGACATTTGTATCATTCTCTTTTGGTTTAGGCATCGCAAAACAGTCCAAACTTTGGCTGGCATCCAAGTCTATTACTTTCTCCTTGAGCATTTGATCCAGTATCTCGACATTTGTATCATTCTCTTTTGGTTTAGGCATCGCAAAACAGTCCAAACTTTGGCTGGCATCCAAGTCTATAACTTGCTCGTGGGGTAAAATGTTAGGAGCCAGATGAATAGGAGTTTCTGGGACATATGACTGGGAAATATCCTCAATTTCCTCGGTTATTTGTAGATTAGGTGGAGTTTGTGGTAAATATGTGTGAAAAATATCCTCCATTTCCTCGAATATTGGTGGACTGATCTGAGGGGAAGGTTCTTCTTCTAAGAAAGTGATTATTAGATCAAGTTACTATTACTTTAAATCGAGAACCTACCGTATTCTGTATCCGAACCCGATGAGAGGTACAGGATTTCGTTATCATCAACGCAGTTGTTATTAAAATTTGGGGAGGTGATAACATCAGTGGATTTATCTACATCGTTCTTGGGTTTGCTAAAAAAAACAAAAGTACTGTGAAATAAAATGGGATCAACACCATATATAATTCAATTACCAAGCTGAATCTAAAATCTCCGAAATGGGCGACGGTTTTACAGCATTTAATTCGGATTTCTTTGGCTCAACTTGCGGCTGGCTTACACTCCTAAAATGGGCAAACTCACTTGTGGGCTCCTCGGGCGGAAAACTAAGCAAATGGTGTAGCTTCTTGGCGGGACAAGGCTTAAAACGGCACGGGAACTTCTGGCGCATCTCTGGTCCGGAATAGAAACCCTTGTAGTACTCCCGAATAGCTTCCTCCTTGGATTTTCCCCTGTACTCGTCGCACAGCAGCATCTGATTAGCAATATTTTCGAGATTGCTCACATGACGTCGGAAGACTTTGAATGGTATGGGACTTCCTTCTGCAGACCTTTTCGGAGCCCTCTTCCTGGGCATTACAAGTGCTGGCGATGGAGTGGCCAACTGCGGAAGACTTTGCCGCAGCTCTTTGGCCATCTTTTTGCCGGGAATGGCCAGCATTTGCTCCTCCATGTTTTCGTTGCTGGGGAGCAGCTCGCATTTGTACTTCTTTCGAATCTCTGGTGTTATATAGAACGCCAGGTAGAAGTCAAAGGCGCACTGGTCGAAGTTCTTGCGCACATAGTTCTCGTCCCGCTGCCTCATTTGCTCCACAATCTCCGGTAGGTTTAACAAATTCTCGCTGAACACCTCAAAGGTGATAATGGAACTGGTTGATATAAGTTAAATGCAACATTAGCTTACATTTACAAGTGGGTTAAGAGTTTTCCTTGCTTACTGGCTTTGAAGAGCCTTAATGGTGGCATTTTCCGCATTAGTCCTGGTTGCCTTTTCCTCATGCAGTCTCGCAGATTCGAGCAACTTGGCGAAAAGGATGTTGGGGACTTCTTCCTTGAAGATTTTGATAGTAGGTCGCTTTTCAGGTTGCACATAAAAGCGGAAAAAAAACTCCTGAAGAGTTTGGTAGCGATACGCATCATTGGCCGCTAGCATCAGCAAATCCTCTAAGCCCTTGCCGATCATATCGAATACCACCATCCTGTTGAGGTTGTTTTCGAATGTTTTAAATGATACCGGAAAGACAAAGGGAGAACTGCAAGGAGTAAAAAGTTAATAACGTTCGACTAAAGGGGAAAATGCAGCAACTTACTGGTCCACGTTATATACAGCATCCTGGCATCCAAAGATCTGAGAACGTGCTGAGTGACATGCATCGACATGTTCGATCATGTCTTTCGGCACTCGGTTCTCGGAAGACTCCCGGGGACATGATGCGGCCTCCAAGGGATACCGCTTCCATGTAGTGGGATTTCGCTTCAACTCCTCGCAGTTCCATTGAACACAGTCACACAATGTATTATCGGCAGCTTTCAAATGGAGTGCTATATCACGCAAGTGCACGATCACCCTTTTTATGTGTCGGAAAGAAACGGGATAATGGTTTTGCATGAAAGTACGCATTGTTGGGTTCGCGATTCAAGCACATCACAGTCCATTCTCTTTGCACTCACCTCCTGCCTGTTGATGTCTGCTTTTTTGGCGCAGACATGGCCTAAACTTAACAAAATTAATCTCACCCAGCCGAAGCAACTAGAACCGCCAAAATTTGCAAGCCGAAAGAAATAGTGGGCACGCACAACGGATAGACGAGAAATGCCATTGTTATCGAGTATTCGATAGCCGTGACAGGCGTTCACACTAGGCAAAGGCGATTTGCGTATCCCTTAAATCGGATGTCGGAAAACACAAATGAGCAAACATATTCATTTTTAATTGAAACTACAATTAAATTTAATAACATTCCAAAAATAAGATATTAATATTAAGTTCACTAATTATTTTCAATCATCCCTCGAAAGCCATGCAGGCTGGACGCAACTTCACATGCTATCGAACGCGAACGCTTAGCCCGCCCCAGTGGAGTCGGGCTGTTAGCTATGCGATTATTAAACGATAGGGTAAAGGTCTATCGGCAGGTATCGTCCGAGCAATTGTTTTGAGGTGTTAAGACGTCAATTGATAAATTACCAATTTTACCACAATTCACCTGATTTTTCCACTCACCCCTTTGATAACGGTCCTCGATTTGGTGCATTTACATTGAGCACGGCAAGTAAGAGCGAGGAGTGTGGTGGGAAAACAGTGAAATGGGGGCAAACAAAAGTCGGGGCTTGCAAACAATACATTTACAATGTAATTTCGATAAGCTATACAGTGCGAGGTGCATCGGGAAATCGGGAAATCTATAGATTTTAATGGCATCAAGCCGTTCTGGTGCATTCGAATGCCCTTGCTGGTACGCTCAGTACGCTTTGTATAATATAATTTAGATGATTAAATTCCTGGGCTCTCGCATAGAACTGGTTGAAATACATCATGTGACTTTTATAAGAATTACACGTAGTGCATAAAGGGTGTATTTGATGTGTTCCAATGTATGTAACAGGTAGATGGAGGCTTTTTCGACCCTACCAAGTACACACATATGTGATATATGGGTATTTACATGGGTACTTAGGTATAACTACATATAGATCTAGATATAGATGCACCTTTACATGGGGAATGCATTATCCTTAATCGCTGGATGCCTTATATACACACACAGATGGGTAGTACGCCCTAATGGGCACACCACCCCCTCGCATTCTTAACAGAATAAAGCTAAGTGCTATAGAACTCGCAGAACCCCCTTGAAACTAGAACTATATAATTAAATTAGGTATTCTCTGTTAGTCCAACGAACTTTAATCAGCTCGTAGATAACACCAGGGTGCTTATCGTTTTTATCTAAATTTTATTCGTATAATATATGCTATAAGTGTCAAACCGAAATAATCTTAATTTCTCCCATTTTGCAGGCTGAACGTCGAAAACTAACTCGGTTATCAGCATCCTGGGCGAACAACCATGGAAGAGCCGAAAATGGAGCTGCCCACCACATCGTCGGGGGCATCCTCATCCTCCATCCAACCCACTGAAAACGTGAGCTACGACAAGATCGCCTGGTCATCGCGGGACATCACAGAACCGCTGGCGGAGGAGTCCGCCACCAGTCAATTGCGACCCCTGGGCACCTCGATCTCAGCCGATTCGACGGCTGAGGCCAGTGCATCCAACACATCGTACTCCTTCACAGGCGACTACCTTTCCGGGGGCAACAAGGCGGATTTGAAGTCCACCTCCTCGGAGGCGGAAAGTGGGCCAAAGGCCGCCGAGAAGGACAAGGAGAAGGAGCAGAACGACGAGTCGCTCTACGAGTGCAACATTTGCCTGGACACGGCCAAGGATGCGGTGGTCAGCATGTGTGGGCACCTCTTCTGCTGGCCCTGCCTGCACCAGTGGCTCCTGACGCGACCCAATCGCAAGCTATGTCCCGTCTGCAAGGCGGCCGTCGACAAGGACAAGGTCATACCGCTCTACGGCAGGAATAGTACACACCAGGAAGATCCTCGGTAAGAGAAAAACCTATTCTGTGAAGGGTGAAAAAAACCATCTTCCAGTACTTCTTTTCTTTTGGCACTAGGCTCAAATCAAAGGTCTTGATTAGCACTAAAATATGTGCTACAGCTGACTTTGGGACATTTTTCGTTTTTAAGATATATAAAAAAAACCAAGACTTTCGCACGCGACACCAATAGAAGTGATTTTTGTGACTTCCTGCTTAACTTTCGATTGTAACGAAACGTGAAGGAATATTTTAATGCAGCTAATTTCATAGTATTCCTTGTTCTTTCTTCTTTAAAATGTATTTGGTTTGGTTACAAAATATTAGGTGGTTTTTCTGTAACCTAAAGGTAAAAAAACCGTTTAAGAGCCACTTAAAAAAATACCGAAAAATTCCAAAAAATGATTTTACTATACCTGTTTTTCTGTAACCTAAAGGTAAAAAAAAAACGTTTAAGAGGCACTTTAAAAAATACCAAAAAATTACTTTTTGTCCATATAACAGTCCTGGAAAATTATCTAAGGATACTCTTATTACTTAGCTTAGTTGAGGATCCATCTAACTAGAACCAAATATCAGTGCAAAATCATATGGAAATATGTTTTTCTCTAGTTTCACGCTTTTTTCCCAGAGAATTGCCCATATGTATAGTCCTCAAAAAGAACCCATCATCTTAATATATGTATCATCTTTTTAGAAACAAAGTTCCACCACGCCCCGCTGGCCATCGTACAGAACCAGATCCTGCTCCCGGTTTTCCTGGCTTCGGATTCGGCGACGGCTTTCACATGTCCTTCGGCATCGGCGCCTTTCCCTTTGGCTTCATAACATCTTCACTAAATTTCGGCGAGCCTCGTCCTGCTGGTAAGTTGAAATTGGAACTCCTTAAAAAAAGATCCTCGACTAACAATCTGTCCAACTTTTAGCTGCCAATCGTGGCACAACGCAATACGAGGACGAGCAGACCCTTTCCAAGCTCTTTTTGTATCTGGCCTTCATGTGCATCGCCTGGCTGTTCTTCACATAGCCAGCTGAGGGCCCCTAAGATCATAACTTGTATTGAAATGCGCATGGACGGCGTCCGAAGTAATCATATTGCAGTATCCTCCAGTTAAAGCAACAACAATATTCTTAAACACGTTGGGTAAAAAAGTAAAAGTCGTTGGTGTAATTAACTAAAGAATAAATCTACTACTTTTTCGGTTCAAATTGTGAAAGAGAAAAATGGATAATGGATGGGAATGTGCAATCCCCATGCTATTTCAAATAGTTCAACATATAAAATCATTTCTTCTGTATGTTCTCGGATCGCATTGATTTAATAAAAAAAAGTAGTTGTCAAAAAATGTAAAAATATATATATATATAATAATAAAGTCAATAATACAAAATGAAGGTAATTATTTTGATTTATTTACAAAAAATAAAATGATTAGAGTTAATTTTTATTTAGCAGATTATTTCTTGGTGGGAGAAGAGGAGGAGGAAAATTAAATAAGTTTATAATTTAACGAACGTGATGCATGATTAAGTTTGTAAAAAATAATTAAGTTTATTGCCTAACATTAGCTCTAAACTGAAATGGCCAAGAAAACACAAAGTAAAACTGGTCGCTACCTAAAATATTTTAGCTAAGCTCGGAGTTCGCCGAAAGGGATTCCACGAACTGGACGAAACGCTGCCGGCGGCTCGCGAACTGGACGACGTTTTCAGATGAAGCTTGGGCTTGGCCGCAATGCTCGTGGGACTGGGAAAGCCGGAGGAGATGCCCGATGAGCTGGCCGCCGAGAGCGTGGACAGCGAGCCCTTCGACGACAGAGGCTGCAGGTGAATAATTTATAATTTATATAAATTTATATTTATATAATTTATACTCTATATATTTACTATACCTTCAGATAGTTGCGATCCATGGGCGTTATGACCCGCAGCTCGAGTGCGGAGCCGCACGACTGGATGAGCTGGACGACCTGCTGATGCGAATACCACTTGACATCCATGCCAGCTATCTCGACTATGAAGTCCCCCTCCTTGATGCCGCCCAGCTGTAAGGATTCGGATTAATCGGAGCCAGATTCCTCTGAACCATCTACTTACGTCTGCCAGCGAATTGATCTCAACGTGGGCAATTATGACCGGCGCATCGCCGCGCACATGGAAGCCAAAGTTCTCGAACTCCTCCTTGTACAGATTGAAGCCGCCGTCGTGCTCCTCGTCGTCGTTGTCCAGCGGACATCTGTTATTGGCGGGCACGTTGTGGTACGAGGATGAACCCTTCTGCAGGCGCACACATCGCGGCGCAGTCCAGTGGCGTCGCGCCGAGAAGATTGCAATGGGCCCGAGGCGCTTGAAGGGATCCTTCACCTTGTGCGAGGTGAAATCGGGTCCCGTCAGGGATAACGTGAACTTTGAGGAAGCTGATGGGGATATTTAGATTGTGATTAAGGAATACTGGTAGCTCTATGTGCCCTCCTACCTTCAACGACTCGCTCCAGAAGGTCGCCCTCTTCGATATTATTCGCCGAAGCCTGAAGTCTGAACCTATCCAACTCCTCCTGCGACTTGGAATGCACCTCCTTCATGACCTCAGTGAGCGATGACTTGTTCTTGAAAGGGTACGATCATTATTAGGTGGGATTAATTTTTGAGGAAATTAATTTTTTTGTATTTAAAATTATTTTTTCTTATTTTTTATTTAATTTTTTTATTTTACTGTAACATTTTTTAATATTTTATACTTTGATGTTTGTTGGGTTTATTATTTCCGAGTTTAGGTATTTTTTTTCGATTTTTATATCAATCCGTTCTTGGTAAGTTTGGCTACTTGCCGTTTTTTTTGTCAACAATTTTATAGAGTACCTACTCTAGATTTAGCTGTATTCAAATTTGAAGGAGAGTTTTATTTATAGAGATTTGTGTTATCTATTTTTCTATTATGTTTTTACCATAATTGTATTAAATATTATATATTATTTTATATTTAACATTATATTTACCTTTAGGTACCGACACATTCGCTGCAATCGCTGGGCCTCCTCGATGCTGGCCAGTGCCTCCTTCAGATGAGCCAGCTTGTTGGCGTTGGAAGTGGCGGCCTCCTCGCTGGTGCCAAAATTGGACTCCACCTCCTGGGAGTTGCCGATAAAGGATTCCGTGGATAATTTGTCCTGGTTCCTGGACACCTTGATCTCGTCCGTCGCATCTATGCTGCGTGCCTTGTAGAAATGGGCAAAAGCTATCGGCAGAAGGAGAAGGATAATGAGATATAATTATTATAATATTATAATAACTCACCTTTGTAGAGTTCCGCCTTGACTGGCACCAGACCAGCCCAACATTCCGGCAGATATGTGTGCGTATCGTTCGCCTGGATATTCTTGTGCATCTCATTGTACTCGTGCGATATCTGGGCAGCCTCTCCGGCCAAATCCCGAAACGACTGCGAATCGGACTAATATATTACTATATAAATATTTTTTCTTGTTTTTTTTTTATGATTTTTTTAATTAAAATTTTGTATGGAAAGCTATTTTCAATAAATCATAAAAAATACAAGGAAAAATATTTTAAAATTTCTTTCATTGCAATTATTATAAATTTTGCTTGGGGAAAACTTTGCTTCAAAACATTTTTGTTTTAAGCCCCAGGAAAAAAATGTAAAATTTGATTTTCACAAAATTTTCTAACTTTTCAAAAGGGTGCTTAATGGGTTTAGAACATTTTTGTGTTATTTAAACGGAATTGAAGTGCTCTTTCTATAGGTGCCAAAAGCTTATATTATAAGTTTAAAATATGAGTACAGCAATGCACTTACGCAACTGAATTCGGAGAGACCTATCGCCTCGATCTGCAGCTGCAACTTCTCGAAGAGACACTCGCGTGCCTGGGAGAGCATCAGCGAGACAAGGACATCGAGGACCTGCGGCTTCAGATCCATCGAAGGGGCATTCGTGAATGTATCGTAGATGTGACGGAAGATCCCTGCTGCCCGGAGAAAGCTATCCACGGCCAAATCGAGACCCCTTTCGGTGGTGCGATCATGCCGGGCCCCGATCTGGGTGTATATCCCCCCCAGATTGAACAGGGTGCAGGCCTTCTCGAAGGCAATGGTGCGCTGGCACGAGGGAACGCCCGTCAGGGAGTCGTACCACTCGAAGTAGACACCCAAATTGCGATCGGGCGGAAAGAAGCGACGCTCCACGTAGTACAGTGTGTTGTAGTAGCGGAAAAGTAGCGCCACCCCGAGGGCGTCACGTGATGGCGTTTTGGAGGCCTATAGAAATTCAATTATATCGATTATATATCATATCGTATATGGGTAACTCCCCAACGCACCTGTCTCGTATCTGTCATATCCGCTATGGCATCTATGTACATCGAGGGCTCTTCGCTGTAGTGTTCCAAAATGAAGTCGGAAAACGGTTCCATAAAGTTAATCTCCTTGGTTTCCTTCAAGCCCAGTGGTATCATGGGCATAATGCCATTGTGACTGAGAATTTGGGGTTAAAAAATGTATTTTATTTTATTTATTTAACTCACCTTTCACTCTGATAGATTTCCACCGAGGAATTCAACTCAGCCAGCTGCTCCTTCAGCAATTGCAAATTTGAATTGACAAAGCTCAGTTCCAAGGCAACTGTGTCTCGTAACTTTCGGTTGGATGTGGCCTAAAGTGGAGGGTTAAATAGTGTTAAATAGGTTACCCAAAAGGTAAACCCCCAAAATACCTACCTTATATAGATTCTCAGCACCAGCTCTTAAGCGGAGTTCCTTGTTAATCTCTTTGTTCAACTTGCACCGCCTGTTTTGCAGTTTGCTACGACATGTTGCCGCTCTGGGATCGGAACCCTGAAGGATATTATAATATATGATATGATAATATCGTTGTATATAAAATAATCAAATGTTTCATTTATAATAAAGTTATTGTTTTGGATGCCGATGCAACATATACATTTTACTATAGATATATATTTTTCACTTACCAAAAAAAAAAGAAAATGATAATATATAATATATGATATCATTGATATGATAATATCGTTGTATATAAAATAATCAAGTGTTTTAGGACAAAAATGTATAATAATGTTATGGTTTTGGATTCCAAATACCTAGGGTAACATATATATTTTACTATATGTATATAATTTCAACTTACCCGAACAAAACAGAAGGATAACTCATTCAGCTTCTCGTCATCCTCGTTCTCCTCATTTTTCCCAGCTCTCTGGGCCAGTTCATCGGTTTTCCCATCCATGGCTCCAAGATTAAACATTCGGAGATCCGATGGGAGTCCTCTTAAGTGTTTATACTACTAAAATAAATATTTCCTTTAATTTGGGATACACTATTATTTTTATCTTTTTTTTATTCTTTTTATTTTTTATTTTTTTATTCTCCCATTTTTATCTTAAAGATCCATAAAGCCGTTCTTGAGTTATAAATGGTGTAACTATACGGTTGTCTATATGTATAAAACAACATTTCTTTAACCTTAGGAGGTCAAATGCATAATTTGCTCGTAACGGTATTGATTTCGAGAACCATTAGAATAGCTCTAGACGCATAATTTCAGAGATATAATATCAACGCGATTAATTAGCCCTCGGGGAGATTTAAAGTCAAGATGTAGAGAAGAGATAAAGATATAAAACCACTTCACAGATTGCGAATTCCTAGGCCTATTTTGAGCAACCAACAAAACGATCGTAAGAACCCATTCAGCGTTTTATTGTTTACACAATGATAAACCAACCTAATCTATAAGAACTGGTGATTCACGCCCAACCGAAGAAGCTATCTGGGACATTGGAGATTTAACTTTCGTTGGAAGATATTTCTGGGACACCCCCAAAAAAAACAATAGAAATTGATTTCATTCTGGTTAATCGTTGTGTTTTGTGAATTCTTTTTTTTTTTTTGTTTGCAGTCCGTCAGGTTTTCCCTGTTCATTTCACTGGTATTCACTGGATCGAGAGCTCCCAACTCTTCGGAATCCATAGCATAAACACACAGTATTATCGGATATATAGGGGGGAGGGGCTTTCACTATTTTATTCTGGCATTCCAGAGTCTATGACATAAATTTATGATAATCCGCTGCGTTCCACATCATCAGTAGCATACTTTTGAAGTACTGTTATGGCATAATTATTGTATACATATTTGCATTGTGGGGAGTTTAAACTTGGGGAGTTAACAAAAAGCGAACGAAACAAAAAACACAAAAAAAATTACGAATGCAGAAAAACACATTAAAACACTTGTTGCGCCCCCCGATTTTCGTGGTATTCACATACTTTTGGTAAACGTAATATTTTTAGCACTGGCTGGACAGCATTTCAGCTTAATATCAGCTATGTTGACTTGTCTTCACTACACTTTCCACTATTACCAAAAAAAAAGCAACAGGTTACTGTTACCTTTCGACAACTATAGCGCCAGGTACGAGTTTCCGAACCACCGTAAAGTCTAAAACTGGTTATTTCGCTCGGTAGTGTGACCACCTGTTGCCCGTTTGTAATATACCATCTCAAACGTTACCAATTTTAACCAATTTTAGCCATTTAACCGCCTTTTTTAAGATTGGTTGGTATACAATTTAGTTTATTAACTATTATTTATTTTGTTTCTAGTGAATGGCAACTGAAGGAGGTTTCTAAAAAATAAAAAAAGTTCCCTAGTATATCCATTTATCTGCTATCCATATCCATAATTTAAGATCGTACTTTTTCAGTTACTTTCATTGATAAATTTATAATAAACAAAGAAACCATATTTACCAAAATTAATTTTTGGGAAAAAATGTAAAATAGCTATCATCAAAAATTATAATAGGTTACTAAAAAATAAAAAAAGGTTCCCTAGTTTATCCATTCATCTGCTATCCATATCTATAATTTAATATTGTACTTTTTCAGTTACTTTCATTGATAAATAAATAGTAAATAAAACTTGGGAAAAAATTTAAAATAGCTATTATCAAAAATATTATGAATTATTGTAATTGTATTATTATTATGAATACTAATATTGTTATTTTTTATAATGTATTGATAAATATTTTCAAACTATTTTTGTATTCTCAATTTGGCTTCTTGAAAATATGAATTTATTTAATAATATTTCTAGCACCGTCGACTAAAATAAACAAGTAGGTGATGTAAACAAAAAGGCACAAGGGTTTATATAATTAAAAGGTCCTCTATAAATCTTAAAAACAAAACAAATTTATAAACTACAAGTTAAAATAGGACTAAACTGTTTTACTAACGATCAATTTTTTCAATCCGCCGAATCTTTTATTAAAAAATGCAGCGATTTATAACAGGCTTAACTCGTATTTATTCAGGGGTAGTAGGTCTTTTTGAATCTGTTCTCCTGCTTGCGGACACCCGGTCGTGCTGCCCGCGGCACGTACTCCTTGTCGTGCGTGTCGAGCGTTCGCTGCCACGGATTGATGTCCAGCTCGAAGAAGCGCCGCTTGGCCTCCATGGCGCGATTCTTGTTGTCGATCTTGTAGAGCTTCTCCCACAGGTAGATTTCGGGTAGCTCCAAATGTCGCGGTCGGTTCGAGGCCAGATGCTTGAAGGTTTTGCTAATAAAGTCGCGCTGCTCCTCGTTCTCGTAGGCGGAGATATCGGAGGCCACATACGGCTGTTGCTCCTCCAAACTCCGCTGAACGGTGGGCACATTCACATAGAAGTTGAGCAGCTGCCTTAGCGTCGTGTCGTTGAAATCCACGCACTTGCCCTGCTCCGAGATCTCAGCGTAGAGCGGCAGTGGCCTCGTGCCGCGACAGAAGTTCACCCGCGGATTTTCCTGCTCGTGGCTGCCGTGCAGCAGCAGCGTGTTCAACTGATACTCGTAGAAGCTCCACTCCCTGCCGTTGGTGATCACAGTCTGCGTGTTCAAAGGATACGTCAGTTCGTTGTAGGTGTTGAAGCCATTGTAGTTGGCCTGTGCCAACAGCCAGGCGTACGACGATTTGATGGCCAGCGCATGCAGGGCCTCCTGCTGATCCTGCTCCCCAAACGACTGCGGTCGCAGCTGCAAATGGGCGCGCGACTGAAACGAGAGGAGGCCGAAGTTCTGCTCGTTTCCCTTGGGCCAGTAGCCCGGCACATTGGTGGCATGCTGATGCCCGGTGCTGTAGCCCAGAGTGCGCGGATCGTGCCTGAACCTCGGCAATTGCTGGCTTAGCGCGGGATTCTCGCTTTCCGCCGGCGTCTTCCAAGGCGCCAATTGTCGGCGGTGGCGCAGCGAAAGATATGGCCTTCCCTTGTACTGAACCAGTCGATCGACCGACTCGTTGGCCTCCTCCTTCTGCCACTCGCGTCCCTTCTTCGACTGCTGCACGTTCTTGGGCGGATCCACGCCTCCGACGGCCCAGAAGGCCTCGTGCCGCGGATTGTAGTCCACCTCGGCTTCGGCCAAGTGTTTGTACTCCTCGCCAAGGGCCTGAAGAAGAGTCCTGTTCAGCTGCTCCACGATGATCTGCGTCAGGAGGCGCTCACGTTCCACGGGGCTAGTTGGAGTCTCCAGGTGCCTAAAAAAGGGAAGTTATTATTATTTGTTTTGTATATGAGTGATTCTGTGTGAAACGTATTGAGATTTTCTTACGATATCTCATTTTTATCACAATATTACACCATTTAAAAAGAATTTTTAAAAAGGTAAAAAAAAATGCATTTGATAGATGCGAAGATATGGCGACGCTTCTTTTTTTGTTAAATTAATTTATAACTTTAAATTAAGTGGGGTAAAAAATATATAAAAATACTCCAAAATATAATTTTTTCCAAGCTTTCAGATGAAAATAACACCGACAATGGTTCCAGTACAAAATATAGTCCAAACTTAACAAAAACAAATTTTAATCGCGGATTTCTGCAAATCGGCGTTTTTAATCTTTATAAAAAAATAGTATAATGTTCTATACATAATTCTTGTTGGCTCCTGAAAGTTTCGTCATGGGACTTCCATTACTTTCTGCATAATTTAATTTAATAAAACAATAAAAAAGTCGTTCGTTGTTATGCTTTAAATAATGTTAGAGGAACAGTTTTCGTTTTTAATGATTTTCGGAAGAACGATGGCTCCCATTTAATAAGAAAAACTAATAAGAAAAATGCATATTGTTATAACAATGAAATCCCTACAATAACTTCTTGCTAAATTATAAAAATATATTTTAATGTATATATATTTAATATGTATCTAAGGAGGGCACTAACCTGTAGTAGTCGTGGGCAAACTCGAGGGCTTCGATGACCTCCTCGCGGGTCGCCTTCAGCAGGGAATCCTCGCTGGCATCCTCTGGAGATTCAGAGGCGGAGACGGAGGGCACCACCAGATCCTCGAGAACCGTGCGCGTGTAGTGCTGCGTGAGCGGGAGGGCGTTGTAGGGGATCTTGGAGTCGTTGAAGTCGACCACCTTGTAGCCGTAGTAGCGGGGCATATTGATCTTGATCATCTTCTCCTCCACGGTGGCCACCTGGCGGATCTCCTCGTGCCAGTCGGCGGCATCCTTTTGCTTGCGCGCTTTGAAGGAGGGATCCCGGATTACCGGGTACGCCGGCTCCACATCCTCGGCGGGATTCACCTGGAGCGACTGGCCGGTGGCCAAGCAGCGCCTGTACGTCGATCGCAACTGGCCGACGAGGTTTAGCTTCAGCATCTCGCGTAAAAACGTCAAGCTAAACGCAAGTTGCGATTTATGTTTTCGAAGAAATTAAAATTTACTTGGGAATCAACGGGAGTGGGGTTATGTCATTACTATTAGAGTGACCGTAGATGACAGCTTTGAAACGGTGGTAAAGGAACGGTGAAAGTGAAACGAAACCCTGGCTGTTTTTCATTTAAAATATTTGTTTAATTAAAAATAAATTTAAGAAAATAAAGCCTTAAATAACAGGTTTTAATTTATTTATAGTTTCTATAAAATTAAAAACATCAAATATAAGTTTTGTGTTCCTCTTGCCACCGTTTCACTTTTGATACCAATTATTTTTAGTATTTTCTGCTCACCCAGAATATGGCATATTTGAACCGTCTTTGCGCGGTCACATTTGCGAAAATATGCCAAAAAAAAGAGGAGTCAATTGCAATAAATTCGCAATAAAACCGATTTATTGAAGTAAACAATATTATTTGGCTGCTTGAAAGGAACTGCTACAGATTGACTATAGCATTAACCGTGAACTGAGAGGAGAAGAAGATAGTTAGACATCCACCGGGACGCAGAAGAAGCCAATGCCGCATTCGAAACTAAACTCTGAATAGGAAATCTGAATCTAAATCTGAATCTGAATCCTTAAATCCTTAAAACCCACTATGAATCCCTGCGTGCTGCCCACCCCGTTGCCCGACTTGGACGGCGACAAGCGCTGGCACAGCATACACCGGCGCTTCCTCTCCGACTGCCGCGAAAAGGATCCCGACGTGATCTTCCTGGGCGACTGCATCTTCGAGACGGTCCAGGACAGCGAGGCGTGGAACCAGTACTTCGCCCCGCTGCACTGCCTCAACTTCAGCATCCGGGACGACTGCACCGAGCACGTACTGTGGCGCATCGAGAACGGGGCGCTGGACAATGTGAATCCCAAGATCGTCGTTCTCCATGTGGGCACGAATAATGTGAGGAATACGGCGGACGAGGTGGCCGAAGGAGTGCTGGCGAATGTCTCGAAGATCCGCCAGAAGCTGCCCAACGCCTACATCCTGCTGCCCGTGAGTTTATTATATTATTAAATATTAAATATATATATTATAAACCTAATCCCCATTTAAAAGTCTTTGCTGCCGCGCGGACAACAACCGAATAAGTTGCGGGAGAAGAATGCGCAAATCAATGAGCTGGTCAATGGACTCACCCGCGGTCAGTATCGCGTCCAAACGGTGGCCATCGACAAGGGACTCGTCCAGAGCGATGGGAGCATCAGCCATCACGACATGTTCGACTACAAGAACCTCACCAATGCCGGGGCGAAAAAGATCCTTGAACCGCTGTACGATTTGCTGTCTCAAATTCTCAACGAAAACGAACCTGAAAACGATCTCACTCCCTCCGAATGAAAAGGAATGATCAGGAAGAGCAGCAGCTATCATTATTATATACATTATATACATACGATTCCCAGAATATAACCCCAAAAACAAATGTATTTTTCGAACTCTCAAAAGCAAAAGCTGCGAGACCATCTCACAATTAGGCATAAGTTTTCTTATCGATTAGTAAACAACAATCGCATATACCATTGCAGAATAACACTATTTTACACGCATCTATTTATAAGAATTGGGTAAAATACAAGTTATCTTAAAGCATCTCAGTAATATTTGTATAAAATTGAGAGAAAAAGGGAATAAGGTAGGCCTTGATATACTGGTTTCATGTTCAGTATTGTATTTAGAGTGCACACACGACTACAGAATATTACTAAACTATTTAAGCTTCGATTTATTTAGATCACAGACACAATGCTGCGCATTCCCGGGATGCCTCTGCTTCCGGGCACTCTATTCCGCGATGTGAGTAATTAAAAACATAACAAATAACCATTAAGAATCACAGTTTTACCCTTATTTAATAGGTATCCAAGGGCCACTATCCCAAGCCGCAATCGCTGTCCAACTTCCAGGGACTCAGCATGCTCAGCGATCGCCAGCAACCGCCTCCCGTGGAATCGGGCAGCGTTACGGTGGACATAAGCTGCCCGCCCGTCGGCGCCGCCTCCATTTATCCGCCGAGATCGGGTCCCCGGATGCCGCCGTGGCTGGCCTACGACAAGAAGGTGCTGTGCTTCAACGCCTACTTCAAGCAGACCCTCCAGGAGGTCTATCACGCACCCTACTTGGTGCGCCGGGTGAAGATCTACTACTATCTCGAGGACGGCACTTTGGAGATCTACGAGCCGCGCGTCGACAACTCGGGCATCGTCCAGGGATGTGTGGTCCATCGGCAACGCGTCCCGAAGGCGCCGCCCTGCGACAACGAGTTCATGTCCTTAATTGATTTAAACGTTGATCAGACCGTTCAAATATTCGATCGGCAGTATCATATCACCAATTGTGATCAGTTCACGCGGGATTTTCTCAACAAGCGCGGCATAACCGTGCCGGATCCAGTGAAATCGCCTTGGTGAGATCGTAATTTTGCTACCCAAACACTGAAAACTAATGTAATTTTCCACAGCGATCCCACCGAGGCGTTCAGAAAGCGGCAGGAGCAACCCAAAGTGGGCAATCTTATACCGAAGAACCACCCGTTTGCCCAGTTCCTCAAGTACGATCGGCAGATACTCAAGTTTCAGGCCTACTGGGACGATCGCACCGAGTTCGGAGACGTACGAAAGCTGGAAGTGTGTTACTATCTAGCCGACGATACTATAGAGATCAAGGAACAACACATTCGAAACTCAGGTCGCGACGGGCCGACAGTATTTCTTAAGCGAGGTCGCTTGGCACGAGTGAGTATGGAGTAGATTTCATTTATTTTAGTTTTGTAATATTTTTTTTAAATTTTTTATAATTTTTAAACATTAACCCACACTACAGAGAGAGTTTTGGATGCTCTATCTTTATTGTCTTGGGAACTTCGTTCATTTCTATATTTTAGAAAATAGTTTTATAAAAGTTATTTGGAACTTATTGTAATCACTTGGGTAGAAATTAGTTTTCAACTAAAAACTACACTATACTAAGAATATTTGGTAAAAACAAGAACTCTGTAGCTTTATTATAATAATAATATTTTAAATAGAGTTTTATATATGTAATAGATTAAAGGTAGATGTAGATAAAAATATCGATTAATTATATGATATTTATCATATATCATATCATATTTAATGTTTATCATATCTCTTTTATTAAATAGATTAAATACAGATGTAAATAAAATAAATTATTATTATATTATATTATTATCATATTGGTCATATATCATATATTTAATTTTCATGGTATCTCTTTTATTAAATAGATTAAAGATAGATGTAGATAAAATAATTTATTATTATATTATATTATCATATATCATATCATATTTAATTTTCATGATATCTCGTTTATTAAATCTCTTTTTTTAATATAAAAAATTAATAAAATTATATTATATTAATATCATATTCATTTTCATGACATCTCTTTTATTTTTAGGAATTCGAAGGCCTCACTTTACCAGGTCAGATGACTCCGATGACGCTTCTGAACGTTCTGGGCACAAATATGCGCAACGTGCGCTACTGCGTGGATCCTTTGAACACGGGCAACAAGGAGATCCACTACTACAGGGAGCGGGATCTGCAGATTGGCAGCGTGATAAATGTCTATGGCCGGGCGGTGATAATCACCGAGCTGGATCCCTTCACCCAGAACTACTATCGTCAGCGTTATGGGATCCAGGACTTCACACCGCTGCCGATTCCCAGCCGATCCGACGATTGTGCGGATCACAGGGCGGGCGAACGCCAACTGCCGCCGTACAACGGATGGGGCAGCTACGAGGATTCGGTGGGCAACTGCATCTCCGTGGAGCCCAAACCGCCGCGGACGGACTTCAAGAAGTTCATCAAGTACGATCGCTACGTTCTGCGCTACGGTGCCAAAATGCTGTCGACCATCAAGGCGAATTGCGAGCGCATTTTCGTGATTAGCTACTATCTCAGCGATGATACGCTGCAGATACAGGAGATTGCGGTGCGCAATTCGGGCTTCCTGGGCGGCGAGTTCATGAAGCGCACCCGTTTGGAGCTGCCCGGCCAGGAGAGATTCTCGTGCAAGCAGCCGCAGTACTACATGCCCTTCAACTTCTTTATCGGCTCCACCATGTCGCTGAAGGACTTCATCTTCCACATTGTCTCGGCGGATGAGTACACGCTCATGTATATGGAGCACCATCCGGAGATCTTCAGCCAGGCGAATGTGGTGCTCATCATGGAGAAGGTTCGCCGCTCCCTGCAGCATCGAATGGCCGAGTTTGTGGGCTCCTGCGTGCCGGATTGTACGGATCTGGAGAAGCAGCGCGATGTCTTCGTGTCCTTCGAGAGCTTTAAGGGCTCGCTGATCGGCATAATTGGCAATCAGATCAGCGACCACGAGATTATCACCTTGTGCAGGCACTTTTCGGCGGAGCGCAGTCAGCCGCATGCCTGCGATCGTTCGACTGTGCGGGCGGCTGCCCATCTGGAGCTGAAGCGGTCCCTGTGGAATGCCCGCGAAGATCTGATGGAGCACTTCCATCACATCAATCCCACGAATCAGCCCTTCCTGCCGGAATCCAAGGTGCGCTCCGCCCTGCGCGGCTGTCGCCTGCCCTTCTCTCTGGAGTTAATCGACAACATCCTGTCCATCTTGAATCGCAACGAGTGCGATCACATCGAGGTCTGCGACCTGATGAACTTCATCGACGTTTCCTGCGGCAAGGGATGCGACATGGTGCCCGTGAACCACGCCTTCGAGCTGTGCCCCAAGATTCCGTTCCTGAACAAGGGTCGTGTGGTGAACTTCACCTGCTTCCTGCGGGAACTCAGCCTGCCCCTTGATTTGCCCTCGGCTGGCGAGAACAAGAACGACACCATTGGCGAGGCCAGGATCCTGCCGCCGTCGGTGATGTCGGACGCCGAGTTCCCAAAGCACCAGGATGAATCACCACCTCATCATTGAGCTTCTATCTATCTATATTCCGTTCCAAATTTCTGGTTGTAATTCATTCCATTCTGGTTCGAAATATATTTAAAAATCGGTTTATTCTTTCGGTTAAATCAATCCCTAGAAATATTTAAAAATCGGTTTATTCTTTCGGTTTAATCAATCCCTAGTTTTTTTTATAAGGGGGTTTTTTTAGTATAATATAAAAGTTTATTTAGATGTTGATCAACCAAATAAATGGTTATAAAACGCATATTTTTTTTCTTTTTTTTCAATATTTTTAAGAAAATATTTTTATATTTCTAACAATCCCTAGTAATTCTTAAATCTTTTGGTGGTTTTCACAAAATATTTTCTTAAAAATATCGAAAAAAAAATTCTAAAACTAATTTTATTGCTGTGCGAATTTCCTTGTTTAATAAAAGTTTTTTTAATAAACATTCGTAATATATAGTAGGAACTACTTTTATAATTTTGTCTAGAACGTTTTTGTCTAATTCCGGTTAGAGGGGCAATTCAGGACTTCATCTTGAGATCGGCAGATGAGGAGCTCTCGATCGAACCACTCTTTCCGGGGGCAATTGTGGCGCCTGGCGCGGTTCCTAGTGCACATATAGTAACGCCGGCAATGTCTGGGATCCGTCAAGTACACTCCATCGCTTATATCACGGCAATCGCGCGACGATCTTAAAACATCGACTATGATTTTTGTGCCATTACTTAAGTTCCGATCCATTATTGGGGACTCTATTAGCAGTTGTTTTGGTTTCTGGGTTGTGGTTGTAGTTTCCGGCGGACAGGTTGTGGTCTCAGAAGCTGTCGTCACAGCAGTCGCCTTGGCACTGCCATCCGGAACCGATGACCTGTTGCCCACCATATAGGTCACACTGCGGTCCCCGTTGAAGCACTTGATCAGTCCCTGCAGATTGCAGGCCTGGATCTTCGGATCGAAGTACAGACCCTCGGAGCACTCCCGTCGCACGGCCTTCCCGCGCTGGCACACATAAAAGCTCGAACAACTGACGGGATCGGCGAACGAGAGATCATTGAATCGATTCGCACAAACCGCATTCTGGGCGGAAATTAATGGAACCACCGAGCAGAGGAGTAGGATCACAAGCGTTAGATGGTCTTCATTGCCTGAAGAAACAAAAAAATTTATATAGAGAACAGAACAAATTAAAATGGTATAGAATAGAAAACTTTAAAACTTTATAGGGAATATTTTTTGATATTATAGAACCCTCTTTTAATCACAGTTTTTAATTTAATCCAAATCCAACATCTATGTACATCCAAGTATAATCCATTTTTGCCAGGTTTTATAAACTCCGTATGGTTTCTCAAGAACCTCTCTCCTTAAAAAAAAAGAAACAAAATCGTACGTACAAACTTTCATGTTGGTTAGACGGGTTTAGAGTCTGTGTTTCAAGAACGAGACCTTTTTGCATTCGAACGCTTTTATACCCAACGGCATTTTCTTATCATTTTCAGCAGACAGTTACATGGGGAACGTCGGCTTTTTGGTAAAAACACGGACTAAGTAAATAGTTTTTGCGCGTGCAGCGGAACTAGAGTCTATCGTAAATGAAACAATTAGGAAATTACCAGGGAATATCTTTCCACAGTTTTTGAAAGAGCAATGCGTGTTATATCTCTTGAATGTAAATACTTTAAGGGTTTTTATAAAATTATAATATAGTTATAGTTTTGATCCGCATGTATCAGAAAATAAACCAGTTCTATTTTTATCAAAATCTAAGATCGTAAAAAGTAACCCAAAAAATATCAGTATTTTGGCCATAACATTAGGAATAATAGTCCAAATATGGAATGTCATACCTCGTTGAGCTCGTAATTAAATTCCCAATCGATTGGCATTTCAACCTGGAAATTTTTAATTTTTGAAATTTTTCGCAAAAAATCATGATGGTACCCCTTATAAAAAATGCGAAAATTGGGTCGAAAATTAATTTTCTCAAATCAGCCGGAAATTAATTATAATTATAAGGTTGTAAGCTTGATTTGGGACCATTTTTGACCAAGTTACAGCAAAAAATCCAATAAAAAAAAATCTAATTTTTACCAAAAATCAAGATTCTGATTTTCCACACTAAAAATAACCAGTATTATGACCAGAACAATGGAAATAATGGTCCAAATATGGCATGTCATACCTCGTTGAACTCGTAATTAAATTCCCAATCAATTGGCGTTTCAACCTGAAAATTTTTAATTTTTGAAATTTTTCGCAAAAAATGATGATGGTACCCCTTATAAAAAATGCGAAAATTGGGTCGAAAATTAATTTTCTCAAATCAGCCGGAAATTAATTATAATTATAAGGTTGTAAGCTTGATTTGGGACCATTTTTGACCAAGTTACAGCAAAAAATCCAATATAAAAAAATCGAATTTTTACCAAAAATCAAGATCCCGATTTTCCGACCCAAAAAATAACAGTATTTTGGCCACAACAATGGAAATAATGGTCCAAATATGGAATGTCATACCTCGTTGAACTCGTAATTAAATTCCCAATCGATTGGCGTTTCAACCTGGAAATTTTTAATTTTTCCCATTTTTCGCAAAAAATCATGATGGTACCCCTTATCAAAAATGCGAAAAATAGGTCGAAAATGTAATTTTTCTAAGTCAGCTGAAAAGTGAAGGGAACGAATCTATTAGGTTGTTCGCTGCTTAAAACATTACGTAATCTTGATTTGGGGCCAAATTATAGCAGAATTTCCGAAAGAAAAATTACATAACTTTTATAAAAGCCACACATTCTTGTTTTTTTATCACAATATATTATAGAATTAGAAAGCCTTATTATTAGTAGGGAAATCCCTTTCTATAAATTTTCTGGGGACTAATGGTTAGAAAAATGGAATTCACCGAGGGCTGGGAAATTGAAAATGAGTAGAAGTTGAGCTTGTTCATCTGGAGCGTTTTGACAATTTGGGGCATGAAGTACATATGGCTGGACAACCAGAAACAGGCCTTCGGCGGTCCGACAGTCTTGATAATTGCATGGGGAAATACTTTTTCGATGAGCCCGCACAGCTTGAGGTACCTCCACCGATCCTCGTTGTCCGGCTGGACGACTCGAAATGGTTTCAAGCCACCTTCCTGCTGGTGCTGCTCCTCATTCAGTTCGGGCATATGGATGCGGGTCTCGACGACATAGTACGATGAGTAGTAGTTCTGCTGGATCTCGCGACGCTCCCCGATGGCGGCGATCCCCTGCTGGCTAAGGGCAGCCATTCGCAGGGCCGAGGGCGAGAACTCGGTGTCGGAGCAGGTGTAGATCACCGAGTGGCCGAGGCGGGACAGCTCATGAATGACGCGGAGCACGGTGCGCTGGGCGATGACGTCCAGGTGGGTGAAGGGATCGTCCAGCAGGATGAGCTCGGCATCGCTCATCAGGGCGAGGCCAATGCTCAGTCGCTTCAGGATGCCGCGACTGCAGAGCGATAGCAATTGAAAGCGATACTTGTGCAGGCCGAATATCTTGCACAATTTCCTGGCATCCTCCCTCAAAGATTCGCCACTCGACCTCCGGATGCGGAGCACCAACTGGATGGTCTCCCCTACGGTCAGCGTCTGAAAGATCTGCGCCTCCTGGCCACTGTAGCCCATCAGATGGCAGCCCTCCAGCTGGTGCGACTTGTACGGCACCCCAGTCGAGCTTATTATCCTTCCCGAGCTGGGCGAGTGAATGCCCAAGATGGTCTTCAGCAGAACAGTCTTTCCACTTCCATTGGCCCCGAAAATGCTCAAAACTTGATAGCTAATTGAAGGGATTAATTGGTTATAAAGGATTTTTTAAGAGTATTATAGCGATACTTACCGATTGATCATGAAGTCTATGTGCTTTATGGCCGCCCTCATGTTGAAAAACACGCTCAAATGCTCCACATGCAGCACCTTGCTCTCTATATAATTACGTTCCAGTGTGCTAACACGTATCTTTTCGGCTATCCAAGTATCCTCCAGCTCATTCGGTTGCGAAATGTGCAAAACATTCTGGTCATATTGGCCATCTGGACTGCGGAATATATATAGGTAATATATAGGTTATATTTTAGCCAAATTAAGGAGTATTTCAAGCACTCACTCACTGTCCCAAAAGTATTTGCTTTGTCGTGGCCTGCGCTTCACCAATTGCGATCGGAGGAAAACGAATATAGAGATCCACACCAGGATGGTCAATAGGTAAATACACCAAAGGTACCCGAAATGGGGGAACTCCCGAGCACTGGCATCTAAAGAGGGTAAAAAAGAGTATCCAGATTAAAAATATGATGTAATTCGGATCAGAGAATCTTTTATAAAGATCTGAGATAAATTGTAGGTATATTTTTTTTATTTATTTGAATTTTTAATAAACCTAATTGAACTATAGTTCAATATAGTTAATGTTATTATTTTTATAATATTATTTTATAGGTGAGTAAAGTATTAGATATATATTTTTTTTTTATAGGTGGGTTACATACTTCAACCAATATTTAAACACATATACGGGACTCACCACAGCAGTTGGGCGTTTTGAGGCACTGCTCCGAGTAAACACTGGTCTCAAAGATCTGCCCATCCCTGCACAACCATATCCTTTCCGAAATGCTGGCAATCCTCATCAGATTATGGAGTAGCGCATAATACGGATGGAAGTCCAGGATGAGCAGGAGAATCACATAACGATCGGCGGTGATTTGTAGTTCGTTCACCGCAATAAAGGCCACAATGCCGAGTGAATAGAAAACGAGTAGCTTCAGATAGCCATTGTGGATGTCCGAGATGCCGATGGATATCAGGATATTCACGCTGAGCACGCAGAGGGCAATGGCCACCAGGACGTAGGTGGAAAGCACTGACAATCCAATTTAAGATAGATAACTAAATAAATAGAAATATTAAGAAGCACTTACAGATGACATCGGTGTCCATTAGAAGGTCCCACTGCAGGCAAATGACAGCCAAGTTTACCGGAAAAAGGGCGAGCAACACGGCAACCATGTCGTAGATGAGGAAGGCCAGAATCAAGATGCTCATCCGCATTCCGGCAATCAGTTCAATGTAGTTGTAACGACCCTCGGGACTCAGGGTCATGAAGAGCAGCGGGATGCTCCAAACAAAGCAGAAGGCGAAGCTCAGGCAGCTGGCGAAGATCAGGTCGATGCCATCGCTGTTCAGATGCAATTGCAGCGTGTGGACCGTGGAGAAGGGCAGCGGATCCAGTTCCACCTTGATCCCCGAATCGGAACCGATGAGGGCACTGAAAAGGGATATATATTTCATTATAAGATATAGGTTATAGATTATATATTATATTAAAAAAACAACTCGGGTCGTTTTTTGTTCTAATTTGTTCCTCACACGCGGCTCCTAATTATTTTAGTAATTAATGTGATTTTTTTAGATTTTTATGTCAATCCGTTCTGGGTGGAATTCGCTACTGACCGTTTTTTAGAGGTCGAATTTTATATTAGTTTATATATTATAGACATACATTGCCAGGGAGTTCATGACCCGTGCCAAGCTATCGGGTGCTGTGAAATGCCATCGCTGGTTGAAGAGCACCTCGATCTCGTCCTCGGAAAATACGGCCGCCTCCAGAATGTCCACGTCCGACAACAGACTGTTTTCCCTTTCATAACCATAGATGTACTTGGCAATGTCTAGCCGAGGTTTAACTTCGGTGACTCCTGTTTTGCCGTACTCCTTGGAGGCTTTTAATAGCTGCTTGTTACCTCCATTTTGTTGCATCAGAATGATGCCCGATGGACGATCGGAGGTGGGAAAAGCAATCACCTCCGGTTGATGGCAGTTGTCCCAGAAATACGGCATGCTAAGGGTCCAGATGACCATCAATGCCGGCAGAGTGAATTTCATCAGGGGCAGAGAGCGGTTTCGAATATCTCCCAAGAAACGTTGGCGAAGAACCTCCCAAAGATGCTGGATCAGCGCAATATATCTCCTTCTGGGCCGGCTGATTATGGGAAATATGTGGGATTCCAAGTCTCCAAACTCAAAACTCGATTGGTCACGGGTAAATAGTTTGTAGAGGATGTCATCCAGGCTGCATTCCTCCAGTTGATAGCTATACACCTCCAGATCCTCCTTGAATCGCGACAAATTCTCCAGCAAATTAATCAATTCCGTTTGGTTTTTATTCTTGATTAGGAACACAGCCGAATCACCCAAGGTGAAGGCCATCTCGATGTCGGGAACAAAGTTTTCCAAAAATATCTGCACCTCCTTGAAATCGCAGTGCTCGTTGCCATAGAGAGTCTGTTGAAAAAGAAGGATTAAAACAGAGATCACAGCAGTCACATGCATATCTTGCATTGGGCACACGTCGATTCTTCTTTGTGTTTTGATATAAATTACTTAAATCAAAGCAGACTTACCAATCTGTAGGCCTCATTCAAGTTCTGGCACAGCCCTTTTTCAGTTCCAAATGACAAGAGTTTGCCCCGCGAAAGAATGGCAATGCGATCGGCAATTCCGCTGGCCACCTTGGGACTATTGGTGGTCAGGAAAATGGAGCGATTCTTCTTTTGATCCTGAACAAAGTCGAAGAACAGATTGGCCTTGGGCTCATCGACGCCATCGAGGGGTTTGTCGAGTATTACGATCTGTGTGCGGCCCACGAAGGCACAAAGCGATACGAGGAGCCTCTTCTGGCCGATGCTCAATCGCTTCACCGGTGCCTCCTGCCACTTTTCGATCTTCAAATGGTGACTATAGGCCCGCACCTCCTCCTTGGCTTCCGATCTTCGCAGTCCTCGCAGCCGGCAGAAGAATACCAGATGGTCAAACACGCTGAACTCGGAGAAGAGAGCGCTGCAAGTCAGGGAAATTCCGCAGCTGCGAAGTGCGAGCCTTTTGTGAGTGACTACGTTGAATCCGGATAGGTAGATCTCTCCCGCAGAGGGTTTCATCAATCCATAGGCCATCTTGATGATCGTTCTCTTGCCCGATGAATTGTGACCCAGTAGGACCACCACCTCGCCGGGATGCATACTCAAGGTGAAATTCCGAACCACAAACTTTTTGGAAAACCTTTTCGATACGTTACGAAATTCAATGCGCGCAGAGGAAGATTCCTTCTCCGGTTCACCTGAGATTTCAGATCCCATCAGGTTTAGGTTTCTGTTCCTAGCACATTTACATTTCCACATTTTCCCAAAAGTACGAGCCATCCAAATACAGGTATTATTTTCCAGCATCAAGGCGGTTAGAACGAAGGTTATGGCCTGCAAGTAGAAGCATGCGATGGGCATCCACAATCCATAATCACAGTCCATTACTTTGTACATCAGATATTTTCTAGACGGCACTTTGACGGGATAGTTTTCCAGGTAAATCAACTTCTTGAGGCCCCGACTAAAAGATACATTGCAGATTAAAGCGGTGGCCACGGCATAGAAACCGTGTGACTCCTCGGAGATCAGGTCCTCATCCGATAGAAAGGGAAGGGGCAGTAGAATCCATAGGATCGGAACCACGACCACTGCTGTCCTCGGTTTGCGCACCACCGCCGCTGTGAAGATCACAAAACTGGTCACCGAGAAGCCATAGGAGATGAGAAAGAGCAGCAGCACCGACCAGGGGCACTTATTCAATGCTGCCGACGTTCCGTTCCACTGGATCTGTAATATATTATATTTATATTATATTATATTATAATAATTGTATAGGAAATAGGTACCTTCAGTAAGAGAGCCATGAGAAACGAGACCAGGAGCAACTGGAAGAAGGCATTGAAGAACCAGGCCGCCACCTGCAACGTGGCACTGGCGTTATTCGCCTCCAGCACGAATCGCTGTCCAGCCTCGCGTTCCTCCACAATCAACTGGAAGAAACAGAACATGGTGTGTTAACTCAAGATTTATAAAATGGAAAAATATGCTATATGTTTAAGAATATGTAGGAAATGAGTGAAATGAAAATCAAAGTAAAATGTTACATATTATTATTATAGAATTTCAAATCTGAATTTTCATGTTCTAATTTAAGACTTCTAAATAGTTAAATCTCGATAGAAAGGACAAATTAATTTTATTGATTCATTTTATTATTATAAAAATTTAAATTCTGAATTTTTATGTTCTAATTTGCAATTCTATTTTATTATAAAACATAAAATACATTTTAAATTAATTTTAACATTTATTAAAATGTATTTTATTTTGTTTAGACTATAGACTGACAGAGATTTAAACTTATAGCTAAGATATCGTTAATTTTCCTATGCCATACAAAGTATTTAGTTTTAAAGGAAGCCAATAGAAACCTTAATGAGTACAGCCACTGGGAACATGAAGCCGAGAAGGATGAGCAGTATGGCCGAGGGTTCCAGTCCGTCGGAGAGTAGGACATTGGGATTCTCGTCGAATCGACGCATCTGGATTGTCGGCAATTTTTCCGCCTTGGAGGCAGTTTGTAGATATTCCAGGCTAATGAAGTATTGCAGCGCCACGAATCCCTCTTGCAAATAATCCGTGTGGCCGTCCTCCGCCTCCCAGAGATCATGTTCATGGTCGTGATCGACCAGGAAGCTGCTCTCCTTCCAGCTGTCGCCGATCCAAGTGCGCTCGTAGTTCCGCAGCTCCGAGGGCATAATTATCGCGAAATGCATCACCGCGGGCAGGCCACTTCTTGACTCATCCGCATTGCGGAAGCAGACACTTGCCAAATAGTGTTCGCCGGCGGCGTGCGTCCGCAGATCGTTGCAATTTTGAAAGTCAACAATCTTATCGCGGCCGATGGAAAGTTTCCCCAGCGCAGCATCGATGAGTTTTCGCAGCGAGGGATTCGAATTGGGGGCGAAGGCCACCCGAATTTCCGGTATGAAAACGTTTTTCTCAAAACTATACAAGAGATATGATGTAAATATTAATATATTTTATTTTTTATAGATAATATCTTAATACTTACTTACTCTTTCTGTTTCTTCACCATGTTCTTGCGTCTCGCATTTATCTTCTCGACAAGCGCACTCCAATTCAACTCCAATACCTTCGCTTCCTTCCGGTTCGAGTAGTCTCTCAGATTTCGATCATTCGAGGCACAGAAAATTAAAAGCAATAGTGCCGAAATCACAGGCAAAACAAGTGATAGAAATAGCACTAATTTGTTGTGTTTTTGCTTTTGGAAATTCTTCCAAGCCAACAGCCAAAATATATACCAAATTTTGCAAGACATTATCAGTTATTATTTTTAACAACAAGACGAGGGAAACTTTTCAGGTTTCCCCTTCACAAATGACAACTAACTAAGGGTTACTTTCTAGTCTTAATTAGATAACAAGTAATTAACATCCAGCTAACTTTGAATTTGCAATCCGCAGCCGTAGAAATATAATCTTTGCTGTTCGTCGATGAGCATTCCCTTCACATCCGCTATGCAGGTGTAACCAATTCGGCTGTACACATGGCTCCTGAGATCTATCCTATAGATCTGTCTATCTATGCTGCAGCTATAGGCATGCAATTCAGATCCCAGACAATTTATGGCCAAGGCATTCACCTGGGCATTGTGAAGCCCCAAGAACTCAGTTTTAAACTCGATGCTCTTGCTATCCAAATTGAGTACTGTGTACTTGATATTCTCATCATCGCCTCCTGATAAAATGTGCAGCAGATTATCATTTACGTATATATCTATCGTATTAATGCCCGTCACATGGAGCTGCAGTTGAATGCATATCGTTTGTAGTGCTTCATCGAAGCCGTAAACTTCGCCGTTTGATGTGGATACGAGTAGTATAGACTTGTTTCCAATCCACTGAATGCTCAGTGGGCAGCGTTTGAGGTCTGCAAAGGACTTTAGGTGGAGTTGCGAGGGTTCTGCTAGGTTCCAGATATAATGGCTTATGTTTCCATCGGCGGAGGCCACATAAATTGAGAAAGTTTCCGCCTCGGAATGCTGGGCAACATCAATTGCCATCAGTCGGGCTTCAATGGTGCTTGTTTTAGTTTTCTCTACCATTACATTCTGCAGCGTATGGGTGGATAACTCTGTGATGTGACAAATATTCGACATGTCTATGCTTAGCTGGCTAATACAGAGCTGCGATCTTCCGCCAACTGAGAAAATAAGCCATGTACTCGATTGGAGGCGATGTATTTGCAGGCTGCGAACAGTTGAAATGTGCGAGTGCAGTTCAGCGCACTGAAGCAGCGAATTCTTGAGAACCTGCGTCACCTTTATGATATTATCATCGCCAGCGGAGACAATAAAGGTTTGTTCCTGGTGTCTAAGAAGTCGAAGAGTATTGCAGTTGCGTGTATGCCAGCTATTCGGTTGTATGTCCTTAATTCGACTGGTGACTTTGTTGTACAGGTTGTTCCGATGGAAGAGCACGCGCTTCTGCTTGACAAAGGCTATGCTTAGTAGATTATCGCTCAATTGGAAGTCCCAGCAGCGATTTCCACCGCCGCAGGCCAACTGCAGCAGGACATCGTGCTGGCGGGACCAGGCCACAATGTGATTGTCGTTGAAGCCCAGGATGAGGTCCTCCGAGGGCGAGGCTTCCACCCAGGCAAGGGGAACACTCTCGCGTTGGGCAACGCATAGAGTAAAGTCCACTAAATCCACTTGGAGGTATTTTAAAAAGGCCTCATGGCCACCGCTTAAAATGCGAGCACACTTATCATTAATAGAAATCAGCTTAAAGAAGTTTGAACCCATTTTGCCATGAAGAAACTTAATGGTATCCTTCAATTGAAAGTCACTAGAGGTATCACTGCGCTGGTAGAGCATCACATGACCCTCGCGATTGCCCAGCAGGAGGCATTTCTCCGAGATAAGCAGGGCAGCCGTTATCCAAGGCTCACGGTTGTTGAACAGCGCAATGTGCGAGTCGATGCTGAGCTGGTGGCTTCTTAGGAGCAGACAGTAGCCGAGGTTATCGGAGACCAGGTAGAGATCCCTGCTGAGGAACTGAAACGAGCGGATGGTGCCCTTCATTCGGATGCCATCGAAAATTAGCTCGAAATCATTTGTCTTTGGGTTGTAACGGTGGAGAGTTATGCGCCGGTGGCCACAGGTAGCCACGATGCCATCGCAGACCTCCAAAACAGTGCGTTTATAGCTGGGGAAATCGCTGGCCACCAGCCAGTGGTTCGCCTGCAAGGAATCCCCCGTAATTCGCGTGTAATACAACCGATTCGAGCTACTCAAACCGATAATTAGCTCATCCGTTACGAACTTGAGATTTCTCACGAACTCATTGGCATCGGTAAAGTTACTTAGCAAAGTTGGGGAGTTTCTGGGTGTCTGGAGGATCTCTTTAAGGTTCTGGGCGACTAAATTACCGGTAGAACTGGTGCTATATAGCGTGCTATCATCTCTGCTGAATCCGAGTTTCCAGATGGGTGCCCCAAAGTGTTGACGACGTTTTAGGAGCAGTTCTCCAGATGAACTCCAAAGGCAGATGTAGGAATCCTCACCGCCGCTGGCCACTAGTAGCTGACCATCTGCAAAATAAATGGATTATTATAGAAAATAATAATGATATATGCACAGATAAAAAATGGTAAAGGTCAATTTGATATTTTTTAAAGATCAACTTATTCATATCATTTTGATATTATTTTTATATTATTTGCTCAAAAAATACTACATTTGGTATTTTTTATGATATGATAAAATATCATGTTGATATGTTTGAAGCTTAATTGATATGAAATAAGGTAGAAATAATCCTATTTCATATCGGTTTGTATTCTTACCCATTTCGAAGATCTCCACGCACATTACGCGTGAACTGTGACCGAAGCAACTGAAAATGGGTTGAACTTTGGCGGTGGTCCAATCCCCCGGTTTTTGTAGATTCCAGAACTTGACCGATCGATCATCCGATGTGGTGACCAATAACTTATGATCTAGGCTGAAATCAATCGAGTGTATAACTCCATTGTGGGCTGGCAGACGCAGGAGCAGGGGATAGGTCTTCATCATGGATTGGGAATCGGATTCAGATTCAAGGGGAATCTGCGTTTGCCACACCAGCAGTTCTCCAAAGGCATTTCCGCTAGTTATGGCCAGTTTTTCGAAGGATTTGCCATGCAATTTGGTGTAGTATAGAATAGAACTATCTGTGCATCGGGCCAATTCCAATATATGACAATCCCCAGGCGACTTAAGATCATATTCCATATACAGGACGACACTATGGGCTGTGTGCAGGACAAATCGCCGTTTATCAACCGATTCGTTGTCATCGTCATCCAAAAACTGGGCTGCATTGATCCAATCCTTCGTTTCGCCCTCGTAGATGAGTTCATAGTGGTCTTCCTCGGAACTGGAGGAGCTCCTTAAAATCAAGGAGTATTCATTTTCGCTATACAGCAGTAACAATCTTTGGGAACTCCTCTGAGAACTCCACGCAAATCCTCGAACTTTTCCCTCCCGCAGGCGAACCGGCATTTCCACTTTGGCCTTTGAGCTGTACAACACCGCCTGATCTCCATGACCTGTGTGTTTTTAGGCACTCTATTATTATCTATTATTAATTGTTAAACATTTTACTTACCAACCAATATCCCATTGGGGGAGACGTCCAGGCCAAAAGCGTCCGAAATCAAAACCATCACAAAAACTCAGTTTAATAACAAACACGTTTTGTTTTGATCACTTAGTGTGACCGTAGGTTGCCGAAATACCTTCTTCAGCAGAGTCCAAGAGGAACGGTGGAATCTGGAACAAAGGGGGATTTGAAAAAAGGGTTTTTGAAAATATATCCATGAACTTTATAATTTACCAATAAAATTGATTTTAAAAAACTTTTTCTAAAAGTAAAAAAAAAACCTTCACAGCTTTACAAATCAATATAATCCAGTATCCGCATAATAATATTTATTTGAAGGTATTGGATTTGGATTTGGAACAAAGGGGGATTTGAAAAAAGCAGGGACCGTAAATAACAGTTATTTGTGATTTTTATTTTAAAAAGCCTACTGAGATTTATACAAGTTTTTAATAATAATTTAACTGGTTTTTATGCACTTTATAGACATGAACAAATAACAGTTAACTTGCTTTCCAGATTTGTTGAAATGCATATACTTTGTGGACAAGAGTAAAAATAACGTTATTTTTGACGTTTAAAACCAAACATCACAGTAGTCTTTTTAAAATAAAAATCACAAATAACTGTTATTTACGGTCCCTGGAAAAAAGGTTTTAAAATTATTTCTATAAACTTTATAAATTCCCAAGAAAATAGATTTTATAGAATCTTTTTAAAAGAGAAAAAAAACTTTCAAAGCTTTACAAATCAATATAATTCCATTATAATATTTATTTCAGAATAAGCTCTCTCAACTTCCTCTTAAAATCACACAACACACAATTTACAATTAATATTTTATTACAAAATAAATTTAATAAACTAGATAATATCCCAATTCATCAACTTCAGTTATCAAACAATCTACGCGGGCGTTGGCACCAGATTCAGGGAACCGGATATAGTCTGTTCGATCGGCGGCACCTGCTTGTCCTCGTGATGTTGCAGCAGCTTAAAGATGCCCGTACCAATGCCCGCCGGCATTCCCAGGATAATGCGCTCCGAAACGCCATTGATGGCGTCTGTTTGCCCATAATAGGCGGCATCGAACAAGTGATCTGCCGTCTTCTCAAACTGAAATGATAAAAACCAAAAGAAATTAATATAAAATTAATATAATATATAATATAACCGCCCCTACCGATGCCAAATTGAAGACGCTCTCGCGCATTTTGGCCAACCCATGCCGCGTGATGCCCAGCACCTCGCCACGCGCCGTCATCTGGCTGGCCAGGAGCATGATGTGCCGCCAGTCGACGCTCATGCCGTGCCCCTCCATCACCTCCGTGATCTCGCTCATTATAATCGTGCGCGCCGCCTCGATGCCCAGCGTCTGGTAGATTTCACAGATATTATTGCTGCGCGTCCGCTTGCCCACCACGCCGTAGGTGGCGATCACATCGCGCAGTCCGTAGCCCTCGATGCACAGCTTGTAGGTGGGCGGCTGCCTTGCATCGTCCACGGCGATAACCGCTCGATTTATATTCGGCAGCCCAGCGACGACGACATTCTGCAGGCTGAGCGCCAGTCGCGCCAGCTCCGCATTTATGGTCGCCGTTCGCGTGGCCTCCACACGAACCACAATCCTCGACAGCTTCGCCACAGCCTCCACCTGCGAGGGCTTCACGCGCATGCGCGACTTCAGTATGCTAAACACAATGGTGTCCAGGTTTATGTGCAGACCCAGTAGCTTAATCCTCGCCATATCGATGCCTATGGCCAGGTAGCAACTGTAGGGTCCGCAAACAACCTCCACATACGAGGAGAGCTCGGCCAGCGTGGTCTTCTCGATGCGCGCCTTCACCTGGCGCGCAAACTCCATGCTGTGGCTATTCTCCAGCTCGGCCGTAATGATCGGTGTCGAAATGGTTTTCGTGGCATTGATAATCTCCACAATGCGCGGCACACCCTGCGTGATGTTCATCGAGGCAACGCCAGCGAAATGGAAGGTTTTCAGTGTCATCTGGGTGCCAGGTTCGCCAATACTTTGTGCGGCAATAGCTCCCACTGCTGTTCCAGGTTCGGTCACCGCTCGATTGTATCGATCGTTGATCCGGCGCACAAACTGCAGCAATTGCCCCTCGGTTAGGCATTCAATCTGGTGGCACAGGTTCATACATTTATCATACCGCTTCTGCAGCTGCTCAATCCGCTTGGACACAATGCCAATGTGGTTTCTAAGGGAAATACAATGAAGGATTAGTTAAACGAAGTACAGATTAGAGCCCTGCGTGAATCATTCAATTTTTGTTTTATCCATAGTATGCCATGAAATCTCTGATTTGTTTAATTCAATTCTATGTGAAATAAATTGAATGTTTTTCTAATTCATTTCGAATTGAATAATAGAATGAATAATTTATATGAATTTGCCAGTTTTTTTTGTGCTTTCTTTTTAGAACAAAAAGTGGAAAAATTTCTGTTTTGTTTAATTCAATTCTATCTGAAATAAAAAAGCAATGTTAACTGCTTAGTAAATAAAATACAGCCAGATTTAATCACAAAATTATGGCCCTTTCTTCTTCAAAAGAAATTGTCATTTAAATTATTTCGGAATTCATGCCATTCATTCATTGAATTCTATTAAACTCAAAATTCAAATTCATTCAATTCTACTAAACTCAAAATTCTAATAATTAATTCATTCATAAAAAACAAAAAAAACCCACCTAACATCTACTTTGAAATCCTCACGGGATTCGATAAATTCCGGCGTTTTGAAGACCTCCTCGAGGGCCTCGGGAATTTCGGCTCCCAGAAAGGGACGATCATCGCCGCGCGGATGTTGGGCACGCAGATTGTCGTACTGATGGACCAGATCGACTGGCTTGTTGCGCGTCTCCATGGCGACGGGATCGAGGCCATCGCCGCCGTAAATGGTGTCCACCATTTCGTTGACGGCATTGCGCACGGTGCCATCGTAGTGGACGACCAGATCCTCGAGGCACTTCACCAGCCGACGCTGCAGATAGCCAGTCTCTGCTGTTTTCACAGCCGTATCCACGAGACCCTCGCGACCGGCCATTGTGTGAAAGAAGAACTCGGTGGGCGTGAGGCCGGAGTAGAAGCTGTTCTGCACGAAGCCTCTGGCAGCGGGAATGGCAGCTGTAGTTTAAAGTATTTAATATATTAATTATAAATTATTTTACATTAATAAAAGGCCCCCAGTACTCACAATGCCGTTCGAAATGAGGCAGTGCCCGATTCTCGAAGCCGTTCGGCACTCGTTTTCCGCTGATGGCCTGCTGTCCCACGCAGGCAATCATCTGGGAAATGTTAATATTCGATCCCTTCGACCCACTGAGCGCCATTATCAGGGCGCTGTTGGTTGGATGCAGCTCCGCGAAGCATGTCTTGGCCGCCTGCTCTCGGATGGCCGACAGCTCGCGCAGCATCACGGACTCCAGCGTCTCCTCCGGCGTGCAACCAGGTTGGCACTGCAGGGTGCCCGCCTTGAGCATCTCGATATACTCGTTGCACTTTGAGTAGCCATTGGCCAGCAGCTGTTCCTTGTGCTGCAGGAGCTTTTTGCTCGGCGTGACGTCGCTGATGCCGAAGGAGAAGCCGCGGTTCTGCAGAAAGTACGAGGCAATCTGGAAAACAAAGAGAAACTTGGCTTTAATTCGGGTTAAGTGGAGGAAATTTTAAAGGTAACTTTAAATTCCTTGTAATCTGGCAGCAAAATATAATCTTTGCTTTAATAATATATATAAAAGTTAAAACCTAAAAACAATTAAATCGGTTTAAGTGGAGCAATTTTTTAAAGTTAACTTTAAATATATTCGGGTGGCCACTCGTCTAATCGTTGTCGATCTGGCAACGCTCTAGCAGTTAAATTTTAAAATTTATAACTATAATAAGTGAATATATATAAGAACCAAGTACGTATATAATTTGAGTTTCTAAATAAACACTCGTGCCTTTTATCTTTGATCTTTGTGTAATCAATATCTGTCGACGGCGGACAAATTACTTTCGTCGAAGTTTCTATGCCCTTGCAGTTGTGGCGAAAATTAATTGGTGTTTACCCTTTAGATAGGGGATGGTGGGCACTCGATACCCTTTCAAAGGGGTATAAATAGCCATCGAATCGATCATTTTTTACGATTACCACTAATTTATAACAAAAACATTGGTGTTCGCGGAAAACAATAAACACAAATCACTTCTAAAACCGTTCACGTTCGTAGAAGCAATTAAAAGTCGGCGTTAATAACAGGGGAATTAGTGAGAGATACCATTCGGTATTGAAAGAGCAAGACCTACGTCGAATTTACCAAGTTAAGTCGCCAGTTAATCTTATCAGAAAGTCACAATGTTAAAAAAAAATTTCGTGCAAAATACAGAGATAAAAGATAGTCGTTGTGAGTCAAGAAATTAATTAAGTTAACTTCCGACAGAGCACAAGACATGGCGCTAAACGGCGAGAAATCCTTGGTGGCTTTTCTTTTAGGGGGTATTACAGTTATTGCCCTGCTAATCCAAACCTCCGAGGCGGCCGCAATAGTAAGTGATCAGTAGTAAGATCAGAAATGGAAATTATATACTTTATCAGTCTAACTTGAATAGGAAGGACGAATTATATCGGGATCGCAGGCGAAACTGGGCCAATTCCCGTGGCAGGTGATCCTGAAGAGGGACGAATACGATGATCTACTCTGCGGAGGATCTATTATCTCGGCTACTTGTGTGCTGACTGCCGCACATTGCACCGTTGGTCAATCCTCGATCTTCCTAATCTTCGGCAGCGTGCAGCTGGATAATGCGAGTGCCCAGAGCATGACCTCCACGAACATCATTGTGCATCCGAACTACAATGAGAATCTGAACAATGATGTGTCGCTTATAAAACTCCCCGAGGCACTAGTATTCTCTACCAACATCCAACCCATTCAGCTGGTTTCGGAGTCGCAGAAATCGAACAGTTTCGTGGGCAATACAGCAATTATCGCCGGTTTTGGACTGATGGACGATGAGTATCTGGACTATTCGCAGGATCTGCTGTACGCCAAGGTGGAGGTTATTAATAACCAAGAATGCCTGCCCATCTACGGCTCCATTGTCGTGCTGGACTCCACTTTGTGTGCCCGCGGTCATGGCGGCAGCAACATGTCCATTTGCAGCGGCGACTCCGGCGGCCCGTTGATCGAATACAATGCCACCAATGGCCAGTGGCAGCAGATCGGCATCAATTCGTTTGTAGCCGAGGATCAATGCACCGCCAGCTATCCATCGGGCTATGTGCGGCTCACCTCTTTCTTGAGCTTCATTGCCCAGAATACAGAGGATGTTGTGGTGTAGAATGTGATGAAATGGTTGAAATAAATAATGAATATGAAGCAATTACCCTGGCTAATCGCCACATGGCCTTGGTGGCGTGCAGCTCGCCAAAGTCGCGGAGCAGCAGGTAGAATATGCACTGTTTGGTGCCCGAGCCCATCGTCGCCTTGTCCATGACGCCGCACATCAGTTCGGAGTTGCGTATGTGGATCCCTGGGTGGAAAAAGGTAGAAATTAGCATGGAATATATAAGAGCAACAAGAAAATAAGCTATAATTGATTTCCTATTATTTTCCCATTTATTTTCCGATCCGAAATTCAGAAATATATAAAAACATTGTTCCCAAAAGTAGAAGGTAATATTTTAAAAAAACATTAAAGCTAGATTTTTTTTCAATTTTTTACCGATTATTCCTATGGCAGCTATATGATATAGTCGTCCGATTTTTAAAAAATTGTATCCTAAATTCAGAAATATTTAAAAAACATTGTTCCCAAAAGTGGAAGGTAATATTTCAAAAAACACCGAAGCTAGATTTTTTTTTTCATTTTTTTTACCGATTATTCCTATGGGAGCTATAGGATATAGTTGTCCGATCCGGCTGGATTCGACTTATATACCTGCAATGGAAAGAAGACTTTTGGGAAAGTTTCAACCCGATAGCTTCAAAACTGAGGGACTAGTTTGCGTAGAAACGGACAGACAGACGGACGGACAGACATACGGACAATAATATATATACTTAATAGAGTCGGAAACGTCTCCTTCACTGCGTTGCAAACTTCTGACTGAAATCATTTACTCACACGAGTCGTTGCTGCACAGATCCATGTTCCTTGTGTAGTTGCGACCCTTGTTGACCATATTCAGGCGCACCTGCGACTCGTCATTGGGTCGCATGAGCAGGCTGAACATCTGCTTGCCCGTCCACAGGCGACGCGGCTTGAGAAGCGCCGGCGGCGGTAGCTTAATGTGCATCGTAGAGTCCTCGTTGGCCAGAAAGCAGGCTGCCAACTGCATGGCCTCCTCTTTGGTCAGGAAAACCTCCTTTTGGGTAAGCAAATAGCCGCCGGTGATGAAGTCCTGGGTGGCGGCAATCAGAATCTCGCCGTTCTTCGGCGTTACCAAATTCGATTGGTTGCCCATGAGGATCAACGCCTCTGCCCTTGCCTCCTCCGTTTGCGGCAAATGCAGATTCATCTCGTCACCATCGAAATCTGCATTGTAGGGCGTACAGGCGCACTCATTAAAGCGAAAGGTTCGCTGCGGCTGCACCTTCGCCCGGTGGCACATAATGGACATCTTGTGCAGCGATGGCTGGCGATTAAAAAGCACAATATCCTCATCCCGCAAATGCCTTTCCACAATATCGCCGCACTTGAGCTCCTGGGCGACCTTCTCCCGGTTGCCGTAGGCCAAATACTTCTTAAAGCTCGATCCTCGCTGCTGTACATAGTTCGCTCCCGGATGCAAACTCGGTCCATTCCGCACCAGCTCCCTCATGTGTCGCATATTCGCGGGATTCACGCGCTCCGGATAGGTTAGAATCTTGGCCACGCGCACCGGGACGCCCACCTGGTTGATCATCAGATTGGGATCCGGTGAAATAACAGTGCGCCCGCTAAAATCCACTCTTTTGCCGGAGAGATTGCAGCGAAAGCGTCCCTGCTTTCCCTTCAGCCGCTGCACAATTCCACGCGTCGTCTTCTTGGGGGCCATATTGATGGGAATCCCGCTGATTTCGCTGTGAAAGTAGAGGGCCACATGCAGCTGCAGAAAGTCCCAGTCCTCGTGGATCAGCTCGATCTTGCCGCCGGTGGCCATGTGCCGTTGGATCACATCGTTGATCAGCAGTATTTCGCTCTGCTTCATGGTCAGGTCGTCCTCCGTGGTCCCCGCCTTCACCTCCGATAGAACAGAGGGTCGAATGCAGGCGGGCGGCACAAAGACGCGCGTCACAATCAAATGCTTGGGATGGGCGTCATGCGAGCACATTCCCAGCAGCGCCACGTCGCCCTGGGGGATTTGTTCGAACAGATCCAGCACCATGAGCGGTGTGAGCTCCTCGGCGGAGCTGTAGTTGCTGCCCAGCGCCGTGTTGAGATCCCGATTGGCCTCCGTAGAGCGCAGCATTTCGTTCATGTTGCTGGTGAAGAGCGAATCCACCTTGCGTCCCTTGTAGGGATCATGGAGGATCTTCAGCAGGCCGGGACCCTTCTTTACGCCGCCATTGGGGGAGCCGCAGTGCGGGCATTTGGTCACCTTCTTGGCCTTGGCCAGCATCTGGACATGCAGGGCCTTCTTGCCCAGATACGAGAAGTTCGGATTGTGCAGCTTCTTCTCGTACAGCTGGCGATCCTCGGGCTTAAGCATCACATGGGCGCAGGCCTTGCAGATCATCTGCAGGATGTTGATGGTCGAACGAAAGTGGCCGATGTGGAAAACGGGCAGGGCGAGATCCAGATAACCAAAGTGACCGATGCACTCGTTCAGTCCCTGGCCGCAGGTCTCGCACACGGCATCCTTGGTGCTGATCCCCATCCGGCGATCGAGGACGCCATAGGGCACCGGCTGCCGCTGCGCCTGGTAGAGGTTCTTCGAGATAATCCGCACCAGAGCCTCCTGCTGGATTTCATCAGCGCCGCTGATCCCAAATTGCACATGTGAGCTGTGCGATGATGGGAATTTGGTTAGTTTTCTATGGTTAATCTATGGCAGCGGGAACTCACATCTTCTTGTTCAGCGCAGAGGCGCGAAACTGCTCCTTGGGCATGGTTTCGATTTAAAATTAAAATTCTTTATATAGCTAATATCTATTTGTTTACAAAAACCAAATAACCCGGCACGATTTTTTTAATTTCTTGACCTAGAGTGACCGCACTGCGCAGGGAAATCTTAACGTGACCAGGTGGGCGTCCAAATTGGAACGACGGAAGTGGAACGGTGGGCTATAGGAAAAGGGTTTTGAATTTTATATTTCGAAAATTTTAGAAAATTTTATATATTTTATGTCTTGGTACCACAATAAAGCTATTTCATGTACAAATGTAATGTTCTTTTTATTTTCAAAAAACCAAATTATTCGGTTTCATATGTTATAGACACGTTCTTGAAGTTTTAAATTTTATGTTTTCGAAAATTTTTGTAAGCTTTATGTCTTTTCTTTTGTGTTTTCATTTTTTTTAAACTGAAAAATATTCGGTTAGTTATTCGGTTTCATATGTTATAGACATATTCTTAAAGTTTTGAATTTTATATTTTCGAATATTTTAAAAAACTATATTTATTTGACACTCTTTGTACCATAACAAACCCATTTCATGTATAAAATTAATTTCTTTTATTATCAAAACAACAAATTAGCTCTCTATAATACCCTACGCCCTAATTATTATTTGGTTTCACATGTTAGACTCAACAAAATTAGAAAACCATAAAAAAAAACTATATTTATTTTATCTTAGTACCACAACAAACCCATTTCACGTATAAAATTAATTTCTTTTATTTTCAAAACAACAAATTAGCTCTCTATAATACCCTACGCCCTAATTATTATTCGGTTTCATATGTTATAGACTCGTTCTTGAAATTGTGCACCTTCTCGTACCACACATCATCGGTGGCCTGCTCCGTTTCGCCGTAGAACGTGGGGAATGGCGGGGCCTCCTTGTTCTTTCGCAGCGGCAGGATCGTATCGTATATGTAGACCAGGCCGCCGGTGGGCCCGGGCACCGAGCTGCCCTGCACCCACATGACGTTGTACTTCGAGTTTATCCGCCACACACGCAGTCCCTTGATGACGCGCCACCGATTGCCCATATGACCGGGCATCTTGGTGCCCGGCCAGACGCGTCCCTTTTCGCCACCGCCGCCAATGTTGCCGGCACGCCGATGTGTCTTCGTCACGCCGTGCGAGGCGGGCATGCCCTTGAAGCCGTGACGCTTCACCACGCCCTGGAAGCCATGATCAACGCTGGAATAGAGGAGATATAATTAACTATATTAATTATATATTCGTGCAAAAGTATGTAACAGGGAAAAGGAAGCGTTTGCAACCATGTCCGTCATTCTGTCCATATGAACGCTGAGATCTTGGAAACTACAAAAGCTAGAAGGTTGAGATTTCCCACACATATTCTTTGGCTTATTACGCAGCGCAAGTTTATTTCAGCCGAGCGCCACGCCCTCTCTAACGCCCACAATCGCCCACTAACGATTTTAACTTTAAAGATTTCCGAAAAGTATAAATGCAATTTGGAAATTTCGAAATGTAGAAGACATTTTTCAAATCGGACCATTAAAAAGTTATGGGCAATCAAAACAATTTTATATATCCATCTCCCTCGCACTCCCTTTAGGGTATTAGATAGTCGGGACACAAACCCGACTATAGCGTTCTCTCTTGTTTTTAATATAAAACTTAATAAGACATACTTACGTTTTGCCGCGCACATCAACAAAGTCGCCGATGCCAAAGTGATTCACGCTCAGCGGAGTTCCCGGCTCCAGTTGGGCCTCCGGTGAGACGATGAATCTTGCCAGGTTCTTCTTGGGCAGAACACCCGAGTCGCGGAACAATCCCGCGTACTCCTTGGTCAGCAGAGCCGGATTCGTGGTCTCGGAGCCAACGAGCAGGCAGCCGCGCTTGTGCAGATTGTGGACGTTGGGCCGCTGGGCGGGCACATATTCCTCGGGAGGAATGTACCTGATCACATGGTTGTCGGCAATCTGCAGCAGCGTGGTGCGAATCCGCTCGCCGTTCTTCAGCCACAGCGGATACTGGCCTATTTTGCGGGCTATAAGGCCGCACCTCCGGATGCTCGGCGTCCAAACGGCCGCCTCATTTGCTGAGGATTCCTTGGTCCTGACCAGAGTCTCCTTTTTCAGAGCGGGAACGCCAAAGTTATCACTGCCCAATTCATTGACAAACTGCTTGTTTTCCGCTGTCATCAGGTCATCGTATTTCTGTCGCAGGGAAACTTTTGATTATAAGGAATAGGATATAATGTGTAGAAGCTACATACGGTGACCTCCTTGCGCAGAAACCACTGGGGATTCCGGAGTCGCGGTCTGCTCAGGTGGCCCTTTTCGCGCACCTGGTTAATCGTCACACTGCAGCCTGTCGTACTAAGCCTGCGGGGGGAAATCAAAGTGTGTAAGTAGAAGCTTTTGAGGCTGTGAATTCCGTACCCACCTGAGGCCCAGCATTTGATTGATAACACTCCGCATCATCCTTATTTATCCTTATATAATATATTTCAATAATTCATCAAAAAACGAGCCGGTTAGCCGATGGAGAAATATCGATTGGCGTCATCGATGTTTTCTGTTAAGTTAACAGTGACGCGTTAACAGCAGAGCACGGTCTTGAGTGAAATGTTAACACTCGATAGTTGGGCTGTCGGTTGACTTATAGGCTATTCCCACAGAACGCTTTCTTGCTGAATGTCTGGAATTTTAATTAACGTATTTATTTATTATAAAGCTGAAAAAGACTGAAGTTTATTACGAAAGTTCTTAATTAATATATTTTATTTAATTAGCTCTAGTTTACTATATAATGTTTTTGTGCTGTTTATAGACATGGACACGTAATAAATTATTTGCTTTCAAGATTTTCTGTTGTTACAAAAGTAAGATTGTTATTTTTTACGTTTAAAACAAAGTATTGCAGTAGTCTCAAATAACTTTTACGTACATATTGTAATAACTTTTATTGTACATATGTATATTGGTTTTTTTTGGTTAAAATATATTTAAGACATATTGTTTGTACTTAAGTTTGCTGACTTAGTACGCTCTCCTCAAAGCTTGTAAAATCTGCTTTGGCAACCTTTTTTAAACCAACAGAATATTAAATTAATTAATTAAATAATAATCTCTAATCCTTAACATTTCATTGCAAAAGCTTACGCACATCGACAGTGGATGTGGCCAGGTGGAGACCGGCTATTAGATGCGCCTAACAGCACACTTTATATGCCTAACAGCACGTTCAGATAACTTGTGTATTTTTATCAGACCTACATTAATTTTTTTTTTTCTAATCGAAGATTTAACAGCCAAAGTAATATATATATTGTGGTGCATTTAGAATACAATTGAGTGAAATGTGCAATTGATATTGATGCTGAATAATATCCGCTGGAAATCCGCAAAGCGCGACGCGGTCGACTGGCGTTATTCGAGCAGGGCGACATTAGATATTGGGAAATTACTCATACACTAATGTTTACTCTGTGAGTAATTTTAACACGGTACAAATACACAAATGTGTGTGCGCGTTTGCGTTTGCGGTACGCGAAAAAGCGAAAAACTACCGACGGGACGGTCTCGTAACTAAGAGCATTTATTTTTGTTTTGCCCAAGTGAATTCGGATTTGGAATCGCAATCGGAATCGGAATAGGAATTCGGAATTCCGATGGGCTAAAGTCATTTTCCCCCCGTGCAGAGTGTTTTTGCGAGGATGTCGACCCGATGAACGGTGCATTTGAGGATTTGATTTGATTTATTTATTTGTGATTTTGTGATTCCACTGCATATGTATATATATATGCACATGCATATGTGCGTGTGCTGGTGTGTATCTACGTATGTGCATGCATGCATGTATATATATTATTTAGTTTTCTTTAAACAAATACATGTGTGCGGAATAAACAAAGGATTTAGTGCTGCAGTTGACTTTTCTCCGCCCGGGAATTCCATCCAATATCCATCCGAATCATAGTGCCAGTGGCCTCGCAACCTGTTTTCCAACGAATGTTTACATATGTACATCGAAATTTAACAAGTTTATGCAAAAAAAAAGAAGAAAAAACGCCTCTTGATACAGACTCCCCCGCCCCCGCCCACCATAAAAACAGTGTTGTAAAGTGCGGCAATGAGTTATTTATCATTAAGCGAACATAAACTAAAGTTATTTTTAAATAAGAAATGTACGCAACATACTTGGCAACAATATGTGTACATATGTAGATATGTGCACATTGATCCTAACTAAGGAGCGCGATAAGATAAATAATAAGGCGGAATGCTCAAGTGATTTTTAAGCCTTGAAAAGTTAGGATCACTAAAACTGAAATCGAAATGTATAGTAAAGATAGCGATAGTATAGTGTGATGGAATCCCAAGAAGTGGAATATTATAATAATATTTGCGAATACTTGGGAAGCTACAGGTGGTCTCTCTTTATAGAGGGTCTGTATTATCAACATGTGATAGGAGTTTGTATTAATTTCCTTCAAATTAAAACCCCCTATCTATTTTAAAATGTATTTTTCATGTGAAACGACGAAATTATCTCAATTTGCAAAGTCGGTTTTTGTATTTATGTAATGGTCGGGGGACTTATCAGCCTGGTGGCTAGTTTGATTGTGATAGGAAAGTATTTAGACTTGTTTTTGGTAGACGAAGCTTCTTATAAGCGGAAGAGATAAGGTGGGGTTTACGAGAGTGTGGGTGTTTTTCGGCATATAGCGATAGCGATAAGAACGAACCAGGCGTCGTCCGCACTCGATGAAAGTTAGTCGCTGACTACCCAAGTTTTATCCAAGCGCATCGGTCTTATTAATCTCCTTATATAATCTTCGATAGTATTTCATATGGGATCCGCCCTTAAATCATATTCCCTCTCAGCTCGCCATAATCAGAATCCAAAAATAAATCGACCTATAACATAAACAAGAAATCGTTAATTGTTGATTGACAGCCATTAATCATCAGTGATCCGTAATATTAAATATAAAGAATAAGGATCAAACTGTCTTAAATTCCCAATAATTATAGTGAATAGTATAGGTAGAGAAGTTTTTTTTTTTAAATAATAAACAAAGAAACATTTTCTCATATTAGTTTTATCCACAGGAATATTTCAATATGCATCGTCCACCTACTGAAAAACAGTATTTACATTGAAACGTAAATATTTAAAAGGAGCCAGAGCCACTCTTCCTGTAAATGTTTCAAACACCACAGCTTCAACGCCTGAATACAAATATACACCATACATTAGCCACCGCGGAAGAACGCAGCCTGAAATAACCTAAAGCAGCTGGGCCCGAAAATCTTCAATATTTTTGAAACCAAAAGCAAACACAATGGGCGGCGGCAAAAATATACGCCGCGGCTTGGAGCCACTGGAGTTCGAGGAATGCATCGTCGACAGTCCGGACTTTCGCGAAAATCTAAACCGACATGAAAAGGAGCTGGACCACACTAGTCATCAAATAAAACGAATAATCAAAGAGGTCAAGGATCTAATGAGTGCGGCAAAGAGTGAGTATAAAAGTTTATTCGAAAAGGGGGGAAAAAACTAATAGTTTTAATGTTCATTTGTAGCAAGGTATAAAATATTTGTGTACAACAATAGAGACTAAAAATATGATAACTTGATTAATTAACTAGTAATTAGTAACTAGACGTGAGAATATATAATGCGTAGCTACCTATGGTTAGGTAACTGGGTTTCGAAAACCCGAATCTTCATCTTAAAACTTTATTATTAATTATTAACATTATATGATTATATGGTATGATTATAAGACTATATCATTTTCATTAAAACTACACATTAAATGATTAAAATGAAGGATTACCTCCCATTTTTATTAGATATTTATTTATCAAATTGCAATTGATATTTATATTATTTATCCTTAAAACTATAAATTAAATGATTAAAACGAAGGATTAACTCCCATTTTTATTTGATATTTATTTTATGATATTTATTTATCAAATTGCAATTGATATTTATATTATTTTTCCTTAAAACTACAAATTAAATGATTAAAATGAAGGATTAACTCCCATTTTTGTTTGATATTTATTTCATCATATTTATTTTAATCAAATTGCAATTGATATTTTTTCAGTGCTGTCCACTAGAATGAAACAATTGGCCATTTTACTTACCGACTTTAACTTTGAGTGCATAGGCACTGCTCAGACCGACGACGAGAATGTCATTTGCGAAAGCCTAAAACGCTTTGGTGCTATCATTGGCAATATCGAAGATGAGCGCGAGAAAATGGTAAGTCAAAGGATCCATCGAAAGAGCTCAAAAAGTACAGAAACCCAGGTTTTTATCTGACAAATTTATCACTTAGCTAACGCTCGCTGACAAACATATTATTGAGTCGCTGGAGGATTTTCGAAAAAAGCAAATTGGCGGCGTCAAAGAAAACAAAAAGAAATTCGATAAGAAAACGGAGAAATTCTGTCAGTCGCAGGAGCGTTTTCTCAATATGTCAACTAAAAAGCCCGAGAACACAATACAGGAGGTAAGTGTTTGAAATTCGCCAATATGCCTACCACAAAACTAAAACTAATTGTTTAAATGAAGATATATATTTTGTATACAACAATGCCACAAACAAAAGATTGCGAATGCAATTTCTTAGGAATTTATATAAATAACCGAACACAAACCGAATGTGGGTCAGGTAAAATCTCCTTTTGAAAATTCATAAGAAATCACTACGCTTCGATACGATACACAAAAACCATATGTTGTCTCACCAAAGTTCTGTACATTTGAATTTTTAATTTCTGAAGTCTAGTGTAAGAAGAGCATTTGTGGAAGCTTTCGTCTCGCTTTGATTCGTAGAAAGAATCTGATTTCCGATTCCTCAAACATTTTTATTGCTACAACTTTGATGAATTATTCAAGTTATGGACTCTATCGTCGAGATATTCTGGGTTCAGGGTTTCTCTAGCCTAAGAAAGCACATTTTTCAAGTGACACTTTTTAATGATAATAACATTAATATACTATTATTTCTCTTTTGTAGGCTGATGCTAGCTTGGGCATGCACGAACGCGAGTATATCCAGGAGTCGCTGAGCTATGTCCTGCGGATACAGGAAGTGCAGGAACGAATCAAATTCGAGTTCGTCGAGATACTGCTCGCATTTATTTCTGGCTGGTTGGTGTTCTATCACACAGCCCACGAACAGGCGGAAGATCATCGCGACTACCTGCAGGATTTGAGGCACAAGGTGCAGAAGGTAAGTAAACCATATAAAAATAATAAAATAATATTATAATAATGATATAATAATAATATAATCATAATTTGTATGTGAATGGTTTTCCTAATATATTCTGTCTCTTTCAGACTCGCGAAAATTTCGAAGAGGCTCGCGAAAAGGTTACTGAGTTGAAAACAAAGTACATGGAAAAACGCACAGTAAGTTAGAATAAATTAAATATATTATATCATTTTTTAACACATCCTATTATCCACAGAAGCCCGAGGAGATTTTCACAAAGCGGGGCTACCTATTTTTAATGGAAAAAAGTACGTGTTTTGAACTACATTCTACATTCACATTTATAGGATAGCACTGCCTAAAATGCAGCGATTTTTTATTTATTATTACACTTATCATTTTGATTATCTTATATAATATATATAAATTCCCGTAGTTACCGTAAAATCTAATTACAAAATAATAATAGTAATAATAACAAAATTCACTGCCATCGACTAATTTTTCCATTGCGAACGAATTATAGGTTCCATTCTGAAAATCTCCCTTTTAGAGCCATTCAAAGCGACGTGGACGAAATACTATTGTACATTCAAGAAGCAAAAGCGCGAGTTCACGATGCTGCAGTTCAATCAAATGAATCACAATTTCACCAGGCCGGAGGCACGCGATGACGAGAAGCTGACGCTCTTCTCGTGCCAGCGAAGAGCCTCGGAGTTCGAGAAGCGCTTCTGCTTCGATTTGACCTTCAAGGAGAAGCCGGGCGTCGTCTATACCTTTCAGGCGCTAAGCGAAAAGGATCATCGCTACTGGATTAGCGCTATGGATGGCACGGAGCCGGTAAATCTACCCTCTATAACTCTATTTTGGTTTAAATCCTTAATATTATTATCTTTTCTATATACAGACTTATCTGGCGCCTGGTAAAATCAAAGTCAGCGAGGCATACCATCTGGATGAGGCCGGCTTCATGTTCATCCGCCGCTGCATTCAAGTATTAGAGATCCGTGGTCTGGAGGACGAGGGGATTTACCGGAAGAGCGGTGTGGGTACCAAAATCAGCAAGCTGCTCTCGCTGGGCCTGAATCAAAAGGAAACCGACGACGTCTTCGTGGACGACAAGTACCGGGATTTAATGGAGAGCAACACCATTGCCAGTGCCCTGAAAATGTATCTGCGAAATCTAAATGAGCCCTTGATGACCTATCAATACCACAGTGATTTTATTGAGGCAGCCAGTAAGTTTTTAATTGGGTTATTACAATCTCTAAAAATATTACAAAAATGTAAACTCTATTTTTAGAGCAAGAAACCCTGAATCAACGCGTGAACGAGGTGCACAAGCTGGTCTACAAATTGCCACAGCCTAATTTTCAGATGCTGGACATGGTTATTTGCCATTTGACAGAGTAGGTATTTCTATAGATGTCTCCATACATTATCTCATTTTATATTTATATTCACAGCGTTTCACGAAAGTACGAGAAGAACAAGATGTCCGTATTCAATCTGGGCGTGGTTTTCGGACCCACTTTGCTGCGACCTCGCGAGGAATCGGTGGCCGCCATACTGGATATTAAATTCAACAATATCGTCATTAACATTCTGATTGATAACTACGAGCGGATCTTCAAGAACAAGCCCAGCGCCGATGTAAAGCTGCCTGTGGAGGCCGCCAAGGCGCCGAGCATTATGTATCCCGCACGCAGCAGTCCACCCACGCGAATGCCGCGTGCCTCTCAAATAGGAAAGGCCGCTTCGACTGGTGCCATGGGCAGTACGAGCAGCACTGCGGCGGCGGCGGCAGCGGCGGGGAATCCGATGTTCCTCAATCAGCAGAAGATCTACCGCGTGGTCAGCAAATCCAATTGTACAGAGCCCACCATGTCGTCCAGCCTGCAGAATATTCCGAATGGCGATAACTATGCTTCGGGCGGTGCCGGCTGCATTTCCCTGTCGCCGCCCATGCATATGCTGAATGGCATACTCTCGCCGACCATCGGCAGCATCAACAATCTGCACACAATATCGAAGAACGAGACGACGGTAGGAACGACAACGGCGGCGGGCACACGGCGATACGTTCCCAACGACACGGCTGAGGTCGCGACCGATTATGGTATTATAGGTGCCAACAATGGCGGCGTGACGCTGCAGTCGCATCATGCCATACCCGTCAGCAGCACGACCAATTTCCGGCATCCCGAGTACCTAGTGACCCAGTCGGGGTCGACTAATCACCTATATACGAACAGTAGCTCTAGTGTCGCTGGTGCCGCCGCTACCTCAGGCAATCGGATTAGTCTGAACAACGTTTCCCCGCCAAATACAGCGATGCGAAAGGAGAGATTTCTCGGTAGCACCGGCAGCGGGCCGCAGCAGCATCCGCCCGTCCAACGGGGCCTCCACTCGTACGGCCAAACGAAGCAGCAGCAGCAGCAGCACTACTCACCCCTGATGCCCACGTCAACGTCGAGCTCCAACGACAGCGTATGTGATTCACTTTCTTCCAATAACGGCCAGCATTTGGGCGCACGCAACTCTAATGATTATGCCATGCTAACGTCACAGAACTCATCGCTGTCGCCGCATCTTGGACACGGATCCGCCTGCGATGAGGTCGTCACGGCCACCACCGTCAGCTGCGGCGGCTCCGCCAACGAGAGTTCCGAGTATCCGCCCAGCAAAATGCATCGTAATCGTGACATTAACCAAATAAAACGTGATTTGTCAACGGGCACAGCGTGAGTATTGGATTTTATAATTATTACTATTTATGTAGCACTAACTTTAATTATAATTTTCTTCTTTTTTTAAAGTCGAGTGCGCACACTCTATGCTTGCATGGGCGAGAGCGAGGGGGAGCTTTCGTTTGAGCCCAATCAAATAATAACCAATGGTAAGTAGAAGCAAATCAATGGGTTGTGTGATAATTATATTTCCATATATTAATTGTAGTTCGGTATTCCCACGAGCCCGGCTGGTTGCAGGGCACACTAAATGGAAAAACAGGACTCATTCCGGAGAACTATGTGGAACACTTGAAGCCCCACCATTAGATTACGCTTTGGTTCGGCTTGGGAGTTCGAATGTTCCCTCGTATTTTTTGCATTCGTCGTTAGATAAAATTAAAAAAAAAACAAAAACAAAACAAAAAAATGAAATATTAGGAAATCGAAAAATGATCGTTGTGTAAAAAAAACTAAAACTAATTTTTGAGTATGTGCCCTTGGGGTTGTTTTACATGAAATGCATTTTATTTTATGCTGGAAACCAGGAAACCACAATCTTACCTTATAACTATGTTAACCTTTATAATACCATGACCATACAATGTACTTATTTTTAATTATTTAATAAGGAGTATAAACTCAGTGCAACTGCAAAGATTTATTTACTAATTGTTACGCTCTTCATTTGTTGCTTATTTATACATAATTCACGTAATTTGTGCAAAAATGAATTACATCGTATCTAATATCTACTACATATACAATTGTATAAAAATAAATAGCAGTGCTTCGAACACTTTTAAAATGTAAACTTTAAACTGAAGTCTGCCATATATCATATCAAAAACAACAACAAAAAGAATAATAAATATTTTCTTAGCAAGGCAAAGAAAACGTAGAATGTTGAAAAAAGTTGTTTGATTGAATGGATTTTTAATACTTTATGAAGGGGAATTTTTGACCTACTAATAAACTCTATGTAATTTTTTTATTTATGTTTTTCACCAGAAATTGTAGGTTTTTTTACATTCACTTAATAACATTCCATTGTGCTCACAATTTCTAAATGAGTTTCTGTGCTCTTTTGTGCAACCTATTAACCATGTGAATAAATTAGCATATTTTCTAAAACATTAAAACTATTGTCCAGCTGAACAGAGGGGCCTTTGTATTATATTCCTTTAAATATATTCCAAATGAATATACCTACCGATTTGCATTCCAATAGCCGCAGATCTTTAAATGATTTCAGTTTTCAAAACCTTTTATTTGATCGTAGAAAATGATTTGTTCAGTGGAATTCTTATAAAAATACAAATAAATAAAATAAATAATTTTTTTTATATAAAGTAACAGCGCACCAAGTTCTTATGTAGTGAAAAAAGATGGAAAAACTTATGAATTTATCAAAATTAGTGACCCAGCGGAAGTCCATTTGACAATAGACTATTATCAGCGCTTAATTCTGTGGGTCCCTCGCCAACTTTAGTGTGAATTATATATCTAAAGGCGTTTCTTGCATTAATATCTAAAGAATCGATTTTGCTTTGCTTAGCAGACTCAAGTGAATGACTGTTATCAACCTTTGGAACCGAAAGACCTCGCAAGTACGTGGTGTTCTCTATTGAGCCACTGGGAAAGACCTTTTGAATGGCATTCAGTAGATGGGGAACATTCTCCTCCAAAACGTATAGACAGGCATTTGGCCCGGCATCGAAGGTGTAGGCAGCCTGATAGCTTCCCATTATCTCGTTATAGTCATGGATAAACGAAACAATCCTATGGGATACATCGTTCATGTAAACGCATGGGGGATACGTGTCCAAGGCGATGGCATGGAACTGATTGGAATCCTTCATCGTCAGCTCGGCGAAGGTCTGAAAGTCATGGGCCGCAATGGCATCCCTTAGCTGCTCTATCCTCTCGGGAACCACCTTATCCACGCGGTGCTTCAGCAGCTGCGAGGTCTTCACAGCCTGTTGCATTCCCTTCGTGGATGCCGTCTTCTTTCGTTCATCGTTGACCACCAAGATGAGCACATGCATTTGGGGCCAATGATTGGATGGTGCTATTTGCTTGGCCACCGAATCGCTGCCATCGTCGAGAGCTCCGCGATGCCACTGGACAAAGCCGCCGTACAGACTGCGACAGGCGGATCCGCTGCCCTGCCGGGCTACGGTAGTTAGTTCCTCATCCAGAGGGATGCCGTAGAGTCGCGACAGGGAGTAAACCAGGCAGGCATAGCCGGCGGCACTGGAGGCGAGTCCTGCGGCGGTGGGAAAGTTGTTGACCGAGGCGATGTGCAGCTTCCAGGCGGGCGGAACCTTCGTCGAGCCATTCGATAGGGCAAGTCGGCGAACTATTAAAAGAATATATCATATTAAAAAAATTAAATCGAATTTTGGGGCACTTTGGGGTCGTTTTTTGTTCTAATTTGTACCTCTTACGCGGCTACCAATTATTTTAGTAATTAATGTGATTTTTTTAGATTTTTATATCGATCCCTTCTGGGTGAAATTGGCTACTGACCGTTTTTTTGATATTGATTTAGATAAGGATGGTATCTTCCTGGAAACTCACCTTCCTTTAAACACCGCTGCAGTCGGGAACTCCCCTCGAAGGGCACCTCTTCCCCATTTAACCACATGCGATTTTCCTCAAAGGATTCCGAGGCACACACCGTTGTCTTGGCGCACAGCTTTAAAGATATCATTAAAAAAATTTATTATTATAAAGTCTAGATCATTAAAATTCAGTATTCTATAATCTCTTCAAAATGAAAAGTAAAAAAGGGGAAGGAGAAAAGTGAAAATCTTTGAGATTTTGGGAATCCAAAAGATAAATAGAAAGTTTTTAACATACAATATTTACTTTCGCGTGTAAATTGGAACCGGATCAGCACTTCCAGGTTTTAAAGGTATACCATACTAACTAATATACCTTTTAAATATTTCCCTTAGAAAATAATAGATTATTATATTTACCTCATCGGTGCTGAGAGTCATGCTAATGGAATCATTGACGGGCAGTATTAGATCTTCGTGACGCTTTCCCCCTGAAAAAGTGGAGTGTTCCTTAGGCTGGCATCGCATAGCTTTGGGCTATAAAATGTACTTACAATACTTTATCAGGGCTATGTTCACCGGGGCCACACAAGTTGCCGAGATCATCTTCGAAATATTTGTAATTTACGGAAACTCAGTTTCAGTTTCTTTCCAGCGAAAGCGACCTGTTGCAATAGAGGTTCCATATCATCAGCTGGTATCGACATTTCTAAAGGTATTGCTATCGACGTCTATCGGTGGGTTGGTGTACTCGCTAAGTCACAAAAATACAGTTAGGTTTTAAATTTGAATTAATAACATTTTTGTATAATAGAGAATTTAAAAAAAAATGTTAAAAAAATGATGATAAAATAAAATGGGTTCACTCATAAAAAAAAGTTAAGAATCGCAGGATCTACAATATAAAAAAAAATTAAAAATTCTACAATCATTAACTCAAATCATACTAAAAACTGCAACCAAGAGAAAAAATAAGTTAGTTACAAATTTTCAAAAGTTTCCACATAAATACACTCCTTTTTTCAAACATTTTCTTGACACTTCACTTTTTATACCCGTTACTCGTAGAGTAAAAGGGTATATTAGATTCGTGCAAAAGTATGTAACAGGTAGAAGGAAGCGTTTCCGACCCTATAAACTATATATATTCTTGATCAGGATCACTAGCCGAGTCGATCTAGCCATGTCCGTCTGTCCGTCTGTCCGTCTGTCCGTCTGTCCGTCTGTCTGTCTGTATGAACGCTGAGATCTCGGAAACTACAAAAGCTAGAAGGTTGAGATTTTCCACGCATATTCTTGGGCTTCCTACGCAGCGCAAGTTTATTTTAGCCGAGTGCCACGCCCCCTCTAACGCCCACAATCGCCCACTAACGATTTTAAAATGGGTCCTGCGCCCACATCTTTAAAGATTTCCGAGAAGTATAAATGCAATTTTCTTGTGCATATTTATACCTATCGAAATGTAGAAGACATTTTTAAAATCGGACCATTCATTAAAAAGTTATACGCAATCAAAATTTCTATATCTATCTCCCTCGCACTCCCTTTAGCTGAGTTACGATTATTAGTCGGGACACCAACCCGAGTACAGCGTTCGCACTGAGTGACGGGTATTAGATAGTCGGGACACGAACCCGACTATAGCGTTCTCCCTTGTTATTAATATATTTCACTCAATTGTTAACACATGTGACAAGAGAAAAGGCCCACCACCTCAAAGGTATTTTCATTTCGATAGTGATTTTCACAAGCATTTTCCTTTTCTCCCTTTTACAAGAATACAAGAATACTTGGCATATTTTTGTTTTCTTAATTTAAATGATTAAAAAGGTTTAGTACAGGTTACAAAAGAAATGTTAAACAGAAATCCAAGCATTTCTATGCTTTTCATCTTTAACAAATCAAAGGCTAAAATAAAAAGAACAATAACTGTTATATGTCTTCCTCTATTACTATACGTTATCAGTTCGACGAAGTGAGATCTTCATTCTTCAGATGGGAACAGTGATTCTAGCTTGTTTTCAATTCCCTGGGGATCTCGGGGGTTGGGTTCCCCCCTGATTGTTTTCCCTGAGTGCATGTGTCTTTCCAAGGATCCAAAGAACGAGAGGAACAGCTGGCAGCTGGTTTACCCTCCCGCATTGCCATGATGTCTCCAAGGATAACACTTTGCTTGACCTTTCTCCGTGTGTGTGTGTGTGTGTGTGTGTGTGAGCGCGTGATAAATGATGACGCCAGTCTACCAACCCAAACCCCCCTTTTCGGCCCTTTTTAGGTTACTTATTGTTTCAGCCCGCATCCTTTGTGCCCGTCCGGCGACAGTTTTGCCAAGTTTGCTACTGTTACTGTTACCACCGCCTGCCACTCCCACTTTTCCCTGCCGCCGCCTCCCCTGGATTTCCCTCGCACGTGCTCATTTTCCTTATTGCCCGGCCTGACTTAGCGCCTTTTCTGCCAGCCTCGATTTGGCTCAAAAAAATATTGACATTGATTTTGATTTCTATTCCTTTTTGCCGATTTGATGGCTTACCCCCTGCACGTAACATATACCATATATTATGATGAAGGATTCTGCAGTACCATCTGCCGCATATCAAATAAGTATCGCAATTAGTTGTTACTCGCTATTATTTTTAAATGCAAAATATGCCTTTAATTTATATTCAATTTACAAATATTAAATATTTTAAGGAATTCAAAATTTTATTTTAGTATTAAGTTCCTTTTTATTACAGTCATAACGACTAACATCATAACTAATATATTTCTAACTTGATTTAAATATTTTTAAATTAAATCGTGCAATTTAACCACAAATATCTCTACCCATTATCGTAATCCAAAATATATTATGTAATGCAATTGAGGTAAAGTCATTTATTTACTAAATTTCCATATGTATAAAAATTGTAATGTACTTTTTTTTAACAAATAGAATCAATTGAAAATGCACATAATTTCTTTGCAATTGGTCTAAACGCTTTTTCTATTTTTATTGCGCATATTTAAATTTGTCATTTATTAAATTTCATTGCACTTTTTGCATTCTTTATACCGCTGACTTTTTTGTGATAGACAGCGAATAAATTGGCAAATAATTTATGCACACACACAGGAATAAAAAAAGGCAAATCAAATTGAACACAATGTAATTAAGTTGCATTTCTCTTTTTTATCCGTCCGATGCAAATCTAATATTAATTAAGCACGCCAGATATGTCGGTTAATCGAACTAATTGTATTTGCATAAATTGGAGCTGAGAAAAAAAGCGTAAATAAGTGATAAACAAAATGTCTATCTTGTTTAAGCATCTTTGCAGGCGAAAAGGGCAGAAAAGTTGACGCCGGCATGAATTTATTTATTATTTATTATCATCGCTCAAATCACTCATGGGCCGCGAATAATAATTGGATACATCTTGCCGACCATTCAGCTAAATTGGTAACTAATTAATCAATCCCGTATGGGAATCTCACTTCTAATTATAATAATATGCAAGATTTTTCTACGGCACGAACGAGTCTTTCGGGTTTCTAGTATAATGACAGCTTAATTTGAATTGGATTCTGATTCTGATTCGTATTTGGATTCGGTTTCGGAACTGCATGTAAAACTTTTGACAGCTGGAGGCCGTCAAAACAACTTGGATAAAAGACAAAGGCAAACAAATAAATGAGCGGGAGTGGGAAAATTTATCAATCTCAAGTTTCGCAAGAAAAACAAAAAGCATAATGAAGATGGAAGATGGCGGAAAATAAGAATAACAAAGCTAGATATTTGTTCTAGCCATATGTTTGAATATTTAAAGTAGTATTTAAAGGAAAGACATCAACGTTTCATCAACTTTTCATCAAAGTGCCAATGGCAAAATAGCTTTATTTCATTACTTGATGCGGTCATCTTCTAGATGGCAGTCAATTGAAATTTGCAGATGCAGTTCATTGAGAACCCAGTGTTTACTTGGCTTTAATAGCATCCTGGCCAAGAATGCTTCAAGGTCCTCACAGCGACCCCTTCGCATTTGTCTGACAAATTGAGTTTCCGGACGGACGCCAACTCGGAAAAAGCGCAAATAAAATCAAGTGTGTGTCCGGCAGCATGAAATGCACAGCGAAATAAATAATTTAAATATATTAAATATAAACTTAAAATTCGAGCTACAGTAAACTTAGTTAACATAAAATTTGTAATAAATCAAAATTAGTTTGGGCTTTAATTCAATTTTTGAGAACTTTGGAAAAATATTTATAATCAAAAAAATATTTCTAAATTTTAATATTAAATATAAATTAAAGCTGCCTGTATAAATCGCCCCTGCAAATATTCTTATTATTTTTAAATTTTTTCTGTTTAAAAATAAAACCAATTTGAATAAAATAAATGTATTTTCCGTGTAGCGGAAGCTGCCTGGAGGAGGACGCTCTAATGACTGGGTTTCCTCCTCGGAGTCCTCATCGTATAAAGCTATTGCTCGAAGATGCCCAATTGCACATGACACTCTTTGACCGCAGAGAATTTCATTTCATTTTCAGCAGGCTAAGTTTCCTTATTTCCCCATTTATTGCTCTCGCCTTTTCTGTGTTTTTTTGTGTTTCTGTGTAAAATTTCAATTGTGCTCCAGCTCGGCCAGCAAAAATTGTCAATTAAAGCTATTAGGGGCCATTGGCAATTAGTTGCCAGCCCCATTATGCGGAAAGTCATTTGCTGTTTTATTTATTTTTGCCAGCATTTTTCTCTCGAAACACCAAAGGATCTTTGCAAGCAGGAATTCGAATTTGCATTTCATTTGAAAATACAACGAGAATGGCCTGCAGCTGGATGTGCAAATAAGTTATGCTAAAAGGGTTATGCGCCTTTAATTGGGTTGTTGTGGGTTAAGACAAGGCAATTTCCATGAATATTCAGCTGTGCAAATAAAATATAAATAAATTCAATCGATTGGCACTTGGACGTGTGGTTAAAAAGGAATGCTTTTTATTTTAGAGTGTATATTAATAATTAAGATTTTCATATTGTGCTTTAAATACAAAAAAAAAAACATATGAAACAAGGTACTAAGCTAGGAAAAAAATATTTAAAAAAAATTCCAGATCTCAGGAGCTCTCTACATGGTCTCTCCAAGGGGCTTGATGGTCAGCTCGTGGACCTGGACATGTGGGGGCGTGGCTATGGCGTACAGCACGCCCTGCGAGATGTCCTCGGAGCGGAGCATGCGGTCCCTGATGGCCTCCCTGATGCTGTCCGGCAGGATCTCCGTATCCACCACGCCCGGACTGACGCTCTGAAATGCAACCAGGGAAATAATTAGAAAATATTACAGATCTATGGAAATAAGTGCGTTGAAAGTCGTTATTTCTGGGAAGTTAATTAGTAAACTAGTAAATTACTATAAATATTTTTAGCAATAAATTAGAATAATATAGGAAATCAGAATTTCCGAAAAAATAAAAACAACACAAAAAAATTAATAAAATATATACAAAATATTACAGATAGATGGAACTTAAGGAGAAATTAGGCAAATTATAAGCATTATTTTTAGCAGTGAATTTACATCATATATTTAATCAGAATTTTTCATAAACTAAATTCAACAACAAAATAAGAAAATCTATTTTATAAATACATTTCATGTACCTATCTCCAAATTAAAATTTAAATTGCGAAAAAGAAAATATATACAAATAAATTCAGATAGACAGAAATAAGTAAGCTTAAAATTGTATTATTTTATGTTAAATAACTTAAATACAAAAGTTAAATACAATTGTACAAATTAAAAATTTAAATTAGCTTGGCATTTAACTAGACTTACAAAATGTATTCAAATAAAACCAACTACAAATATAGGTGCTTTTGAAAACTAATAAATTTAATTTGCTTAAATAGTAAATAAAATATGTAATACGAACTCACCGTAATCTTGATGCGGGTGCCCAGGGCGAGGAACTCCTGGCGATATCCCTCGGCCAAAGCCGTGACCGCGTGCTTGCTGGGCGGATAGACGTTGACGTCGGGCATCACGCCCTCCATGGCCGACATGGTCTTGTGCCCGAGGATGCTGTTGATGAGCACCACATGGCCGTCGAACTTGCGCTCCCGCATCGAGCGCACTGCCCGCTGGGTGCACATCACGATGCCCATGATGTTGGTCTGCAGGACCTGCTGCATAATCGAGGGATTCATGTCCACCAGGTGGCCAGCCTGCAGGGTGCCGGCATTGTTGACCAGCACATCGACGGCGCCCAGTTTCTGGATGACCCAATCGAAGGCCTCGTTCACCGAACTCTCGCTGCCCACATCGCAGTGAAGGGCAAAGAGCTGACCCCTCCTCTCCGCCGGCAGCTCCTTCTGCAGCTCCTTGACCCGATCGACCCGCCGGGCCAGACCCACCACCCTCATCCCGGCCAGCACGAGATCCTTGGCGATCGCCGATCCTATGCCCGAACTGGCGCCTGTGACGACGGCCACGCGATTCTGCCAGCGTTCCATGTTTCTAGCTTTGATTTCCACCGATATTTACTTGGATCTCCGACTGTTCCTCCTTATATATGGAGTGTCAGGTTGCGTGCGCAGCTCTCCGAACGAGTTCTAGCCAATAGCACTGAAAGATACTAGTTTTTTTGTATTATAAACGTATTTTTTACATTTATTTATATTAATTTAACATTTTATAATCATTAAGGGAAACGATAAATATTATAAAAATTATCATATAATTTTTTTGAATTTTTCATTTGCATTTAATTTACATATAAAAATTGAATCTTACATTCAGATAGCAATTTCTCTCAGTGAATCTTGTTAGCGTGTTGAGAAACTGCCATCTCATCGCCGAGACAATCAGTCACGCCCCCTTGATACGCAAAAGGGGCGGGGTCATTCTATTTGCCTAGTTGAAGAAGACAGTTTTTATTGTTTTTGGAAATCAAGAAGCATATATTTATACGGCCTGCTTGGGATAATCATACGATGGAAAATTGGGTCAATTAAACGCATAAACTGTTTGCATTAAATTATTCAAATTAGTGTAAACAACGTATGAATTGTATTTATTCAAACGCTGCATTAACTAAAACATGTGGGATAATTTTAGTTTGCTTACTCAATATTAATTCAACTAATTGAATTTATTTTTTTTGATTACAGCTTAAAATAATAAACTTGAGGCAAAGCTAGTCCATTCTCTTGGGAATCTTCACCGTTTTCTATTTTTATATTTGTCTGAATTAAATTCTGACAGCTCTCGAGTTAAATTAGAAAACGATTAGCATGCTGTAATAATAATACCTTTTTGCCACACACATACGCTTATTAAATAATTAGCATATTAAATATACACACACGACTCGCGTTTCTAACGCGCTTCTCACATTCAATTAGCCGCACGTTCACTCATCATCTACTATAATTATCATATCATAGGAATAAGGTATTTTTCATATATATATTATATATATATCAACACATTTTATAAAAGTGTAAATGCCACATTGTTGAGTTTGTTAATAACTATCGAAATGTAGAAGAAAATTTTAAAATCGGATGATTGATTGAAAAGCTATGAGCAAATAATGGACTGCAAGCAGTGCAAGCAGTAAATCACTTGCTTACCTTCCTGTAATATTTTTTTAAAATTTAATATTTACTTTTACCCACATTTCACCCACTTCATATAAAAAAAAGATTATTTCAGGGAGGACTCATCAAAATATTTATTTTAACTGCACCAACGGACAAACGCCAATCGCAATCGCAATTCCCTTTGCATTGCTTGGCGATTGGAAGGAGTGGAGTGGATGATGCTGTGTCCAAGTGTCGATATCGATATTCGGATGTGGCTGTAGAACTTGTTTCGGTGTTTTCTTTGTTTTTGTGTTGAAAGATCGTGTGCTGCTGCTGCTGCTGCCGTCGTGATGCCGTGGGAGATGGTAATTATTGTGTCGCAGATTGTCCTTGTAGATGTCCTACCAGAAGCCGCCCTTGGATGCACCGGATGCACTGCCTCCGCCGCCGTAGTTCATGCTCATGTCCATGCCGTTGTAGGCGCAGAAGGCCTCGCCATTGTCGATGCAGGGCTCAAATTGACCGGGTCCCTGGCCAAAGAAGGTGGCCGGCAGGTTGCAGGTGAGCGGCGAACTGACGTTCTGATAGTCGCCCATGCCCATCTGCGGGGCACTCCGCTGGACACCAGCTCCTCCACCTACTCCTAGTCCCAGTCCAGCTGGCATTCCGCCGCCTCCGCCGGCGGCAAATGGAAGATGAGTCTGCGTGGGGCACTGAGAAGCAGCTGGCTGTTGGACGCCGGTCCATCCGCCTGCTACAGATCCTCCAGATACAGATCCTCCGGGCACAGATCCTCCAGCTCCCATCTGTCCCATCAGATCGCCCATTTGCGGATAAACCGGCGCATTCACGGGCTGGCCGTTCCAGTAGGAAAACGCGTTGGACATGTTTTTCCTGCGAAGCGTTCAAAACGAAAAAATGTGTAAATTAAACTATTGAAAATTCTCGAAACTGAAAAAACGGTTGAAATTTTTTTGTTGATTTTTTGTGGTTTTTTTCTTTGCCCAAATAGAAGCCCCAAAAATTTTGTTCCGCCGAACGGTGTTAACTGTTTGAACACACAAGTAAAACTGAGGATCTGGAGCTCCGGCTGGGGTAGCTCGGTTTTTAAATTTGACATTTGATTCCATGGATATCTAGATTAGAAATTTTGCATATTAACATATTTTGGTTAAATTTGATCTTAGTTGGCCGTAATTCAGTTTAAATCTAATTTCTAAAATCTGAATTCGTTGAAAATCATTTGAGTCCAGCTTGAAAGTAAATAAATATACAAACCTTGTACAGAAAACATATTTCCCAGATATTAAAATGTTAATAATATTCAAGAAAAAGTAAATTTAAAAATAATAATTACACGTCCATTCACTTTGTTTTTAGTTTATCATTTTTTCTCAATAAATATAATAGTCTTGTACAGAAAACATATTTTCCAGATATTAATATTATTCTAGAAAAACGAACTTAAAATATAATTACACTTTAATTCATTTTGTTCTTAGTTTGTGATTTTTCTTGACCAGATTTGGCAGTTAATTTTTTCAGCTTGCAGCGCTTAAAGAAAATATCCCCTTAATGATGGGCATAATGTTTCTGGCGCTCCGCTTTTAATTCAGGTCATTCCGTGTTATTTAGCATACAATTTTGTATTGTGATAAATGACATTTCTTTTCATTTTCATTCCATCTTTTTGCTCTCATGTCTCATTTCTTATTTCTATTCTCTCTTTTTTGGCTTAGCCTTGTCGCAAAATAAGGGCGGTGTGGCCAGCGTTGTGTTAATTTTTGAAAAAGGACACTGTCGTGTTGCAGCGCAAGTGATAATGACGAAGACGTGGCAACAAACGTTTGTCTAAACAAGGGGTATCTAATGGGTGTTTAAGTTGCTTAATTCACTTAAAATTAGTTTCGAAATTCAGGCGCTTAATATTACTATTGATAATATTTTTTTTAATTAAATTTATAACCTCTACTGCCTTCTTGAAAATTCTTCCAAATTGAGGTAAATGCATTTGTCAAAAATAACCATTTGTTCTTTGGCATCATACTTTGTTTTCCTTTGTAAATCAACTTTAAACTTGAATTTCTCGCACGTTTTGGAACATACATGGCTGGCATTTTAAACAGGGTATTTATAAGGTTCTCATCCTCTTTGCAATTCATATTCCACTTGATTCTTGTGCCAAGCATAAAATGCAAAACACTTGAACTGAGTGGAAATGAAGGCGAAAGCTAAATAAGCAGCAACAAAATGTCTCATAAACCAACAGATACACTGGAAGAAATTGAAATTAAAAAAAAATGTAACTATTTGTTTGGAAAAAAAATGTTTTTTAATGGTAAAATTCATTTTAAATTATAAATGTTGAGGTCTTAGTTTTTCGTGTAAAAATTAAATTCCATGTGTTCACGTTGCGTATACGTAATATGCGTGGTGCAGATATAACGTATACGCAACGTTTGCCTTATGATGTCCAACATTTTTGTTTACTGTGCCTGAGAATAAGAAGAATAAGCAGCAGGCCGAGAAATAAAAAAAACGGCAGGGTGTTGATAATGATAGCAAAGACAAAAGCCCACGCCTAATGGGACACGGAATGACTGAGGGGCGGTTGGTGGGTTGGTCCTGGGCGATGATGAGGGGGTGGTCCTGAGGCTGGGTGGCTGTGAGCCCCGGTGACCATCCGACTGTCAGGCCCACGTCCTTGACGCGCTGCAGTGGCGACATCGTAGTTAAATTGCCTGTCCTCGGCCGGCGTCAACATTGTGTCATTGCTAGTATTAAATCAGAGCCAAACAAATGATGATACATAAGTGCGACACAAGTGCGCAGAAAAACACACAGAAGAGATTAACCGAAATGCTGGGTGGGAAAATTAAAATTACAGCGAGCAAAACCCCGGGGAATCGACCCTTGAATTTAGTTTATAACATTGCGATTACATGGGGTAAGTGAATCTTCAACATAAATAAAACATACTCGAGGCCATGTTGTAATAATAATTATAAACTAAATAATTATTAATAATATAAATATACCTTTAAAGCAAAAAACATAACTTCTAAAGGCACTTAATTTAGTGATTTACGTATATGTATATATTTTTTATTATCTTTATTTTCCGCACTAAATAGTCAGTATTTTGACTGAAAAAATTCAAAAAATGGTCCAAATATGGATTGTCATACCTTGGTGAGTTCGTAATTTCATTTAGAATTGATTGGCATTTAAGTTTGAATATTTTAATTTTTTTCCATTTTTTGCAAAAAATCATGATGTAACCATCATTAAAAAATGCAAAAATTTATCAAAAAATAAATTTCCCAGAAAGTGATGGGGATCGTTAGCTTAGGTTATTAGCTGCTCAAAACAGTCGCTCTTTTTTCTGTAGACCTTTGATTGACCAAATTATGATCGAAAACCCGCTTAAAATAGTGAATTTTGGTCAAAAGTCCTGATACGATGCTAGTTATTTAAGGTCAACAGGGAAAAATATTTGGCATAAAATAATAATTCGTATATTATATTAAATATTTCTTGTATATTGTTTCTAGCACTAACAATTCGTTTCAGTGCAACATTTGATGGAATTACTGCGAACGAGCCCCTTTTGTTTCACCCACTGTGAGTGATCAGCCAAGTTAATATTTCACGGCCTGACCTTCGGACATTCCGAATTATGTGCTGCCAACTATGTTGGATGGCGAAAGGCGGGAAAAACAGAGTGGAAGACACAGAGGCCAGTGCATAGTTCATCAAGTTTGCAAACAAACGCATACCACAGTCGGACTTCAAGGAGGATGGTCCTTCGCCGACTTGGGTCAAATATGTTGGCAGTTGCATTCTGTTTTGGCTCCGAACAGCAAACATTCAAGTAGCTGGCAAAGACAAAGGACCGGCACAGTGGGCCACAAAAGAGTGCGAATGCCTCTAAAAAGATCTTTACTAAGTGCCAAAAATATTTGTAATATTTACACATTTACATTCTAAGATTTAAAAGATTAATCGACAAAGTTTAATAAATAAATGTAAATATAAATAATATTTATACATAATAGGAGTTAGATTTTTTTTTTACTCCAAGAAATTACTAGGACTTTGAAATTACATAAAAGGTGGTTATAAATTTATTGTTGCATACTTTTGGACACCAACAGATTATTATTTCACATTTTTCTTCCGAAAACCATCTATATTTTTATATTTTCACTGTAACGCTGTGTAGTTTTATCGCATTACTGCAGTTGCAGGACCACTTTCTCCGTCTCTTTCTGTCCTATTGCCATCTCTCTCTCCGTGAATTCCCTAGCAATCTAGCCATCTACTCTTTCTTCGCTGCTTTCCTCCCATGCCATTAGCAAAAATGGGTAAATAAGCTTAGTTCGCTCTACGACCGGGACTTTAGTGGGTGGAAAAGGGAAGGGGACAGTTGCAGGGCAAGTGGTGAAAGTGGTGAGAGCACTTGAAAAAGTGGCAAAATAATTACCGATAACACAAATGCCCAGGCAACGATTCCGATTCCGTCGAACGGTCGAACTTTTTTCCGTGTGTCCGCCCCTTTCCGCTTTTCCCATCGCATTTTCCTCGCCTTTCCACGTGCCTTTTTCTGCTCCTCTTTTTTCCGCTTTTTCTGTGTTTCGCTTGTAGAACTCTGGCTTACATAAATTCAATTGTGCGCCTCTGCGAGTGTGTTTGTGTTTGGCTGTCAGTGCAGTTAGGCTAAACCGATTTGTCTCACCCCCTCCCGCACTTTCCAATTTTCCGCCCACGATCCTGCGACTTTTCCTGCAGGCTATGCTCTTCCATTCCACATTTGATTGGCCATACTCCTTTTGAGTGTCGTTTTTTTCATTTTATTTGTTGAAAACATTTAGTATAAAATAAATACATACTATTACATGCTATCTACAAGCTTTCTACAAGTCATCTACATACTTTCTACATGTTTTCTACATGTTTTCTATATACTTTCTACATGTTCCCAAAAACTTTAAAATTATAACACCTTTTAATATTTATATTAATTAATAACATTTTTTAAAAATGAATTACTTAAATTTGTTAGCTCAGAGTATTAAGTCCTGCGGCCGTCAGCTTTTGGTTGGCCAGGATTTTTACCAGTTTTTTTCCCCCTTATTTGTTGTTTGCATTGCCCAGTTGACTTTGGTGCTCTCTGTGTCAATTGATGGCCCTCGAATGGACTTGACTCGGGCGAACAGAACAGAGGAAGTCCAGTGCCGAAGCCATAGCCCCGAAAAATATCAAGTGTCGTTTGTCAAGTCAGGGAGACAACATTCGATAATGTTAATTCCGAATCCGAACATTCGGATAGCAAGTTTTGGTGGCCTTTTAATGAGTGCCGTCTAATCACTTCGCTTCAGGGAACTTTCTTGGGGACTTTGGAGAGTGAGCTCTTACCGCATCACATAGCCATGCCAATTTATTTAATATGCCGTACGTGAGCTTCCGCTTTCTGTTCTCTGTTCAGCCCCGTTTATGGCCACTGACTCTGATTCACGTCCTCTCTCCTTTTCTCTTCTCATGGCCTTGTGTGTTTTTACTTTTCGCATTTCATTTCATTTTACTGGACGTTTTCAAATTTTTCACTTGAGTGAGCTTTAGCAGGCGGTTTCACATCTTTAACGATGTGCAGAAAAAAAAGAAAGGAAGAAATTTACTGCAGGAAGAGGACTCCGAACTGTCCGACCATTTGTAATAACCAAAGCCTCCGGGGAGGCTAACATGTGAGGTCCTTCGCTGACCAGACTCCAAAGCCCCTGCACTGACAGTCGGGCACGAAAACATAAGTGGTATTGTTGGCAGTTCTAAGAGACTGTAAAAAAATATTAAGCACTGCACTCTCGAACCAGGAGGCCTTAAAAAGAAACAGAGAACGGTCGACACACAGGGAAAAAACAAGTGTAAATATTAATAATATTCTGCCAAGGTATTTTGTTTACCATTTTTTGAGTCATATTTTAACTTCTTCTATTTCGTTTATAAGCATTAATTAATAATTATTAAATAAATAAAAAATAATTGAAACCCCCTC